GCCACCTGGCTGGTCCATGACTTGCATGAAGAAGTGGTCGGACCATGCCTCTGCCCCGTTCTTGTGAATCCATTTGCCCCACCAGTCTGCTGAGCCACTGTCTTTCCACGTCTTGTGCATCACGTCGGTGCTGTTGGTCTGGTACTTGTAGCCGCAGACCTCGCCGCTGTGATCTTCGCCTTTACCGTGGAGGTCGATGATCGGGATGTCATCGCCTACGGAGCCGCCGCCTGTTTTTGGCAGGCCCGGGTCCGTTGAAGTGTATTAGTATACACGGCGGTATAGCTAAGATAGCTGCAAGGAGTGCTTACTTGTTGGGGGGCTGTCATCTCCACCAGTTGAGCTACAACGGTTCCAGTATGTCCATGCCTGAAGGGATTGTCAGCTAAAGAACATCCGCAATCCAAGCAAAGCAAATACCTTGTTCGTTTGAGGATTAACCTTGACTAGATCCGCTCGACCTTTCCCGCCCTGGTTTGTAAAGTGCTGACAACAACAATTAGCAATCCATCAAAGCCATGTAGTAGAGTGACCATTCTTACCATGTTCTCGCCTCGGTCAATAGGATTATAAAGCATGCCACGGTTGGTCCAAGAAAACGAGCTACCGCCTTGAGCTTTATGACCGTTGTTGGTAAAGACATCAACAGCAACAGTGTACTTGTCAACATGAAGAAGATCGGTTCTTCCAGACGCCTCGACATCTGCGAAACGGATATTGGCTCGATCCCTATTGAAGCGTTATTATATGTATATGACTGTGATTAGTGTTGCAACTTACCATCCTTCTGAGAACTTGATCTGGCCAACGTTTTCCAAGCCACTGGCCTTGTTGAGCCAACCAGTGATACGGCCGTTCTTCTCAATGCACAGCGCATCAGCTCGTCCATCGCCGCTAAGAAACTCGTTAGTGCCCGATTTGAAGGGCCAGGAAAGGCGTTTAGAAGGTTCAAGGCCGACTTACTCGATGTCATGGAATCTCATTCCCAGGTCAAAGATGCCAACACCCCAGCCTTGGTTGCAGTCCGTCGCAACAGGGGTACCGCTATCAAAGGAAATGCGATCAGCTCCCTTATCATACTGGTTCTTGTACACCGTCAAATGCCCAGTGGCCTTGTTCTGCACAATGACGTCGCATCTTCCGTCACTAGTCCAGTCAGCTAGATGAATACCATTTCGCGGCCCAGGAACCGTCAGTTCAATCTTGGTGCTATGTCCCCACGCTGGCGGTGAGTGGATGTTCGCATTGATCTCAGCAGCGTGGCCGTCTTGGTAGATCCAGACATAATCATCGCTGCCAGTTCCACGCATGTCGCAGTAATAGTTACCGTGCGCCTTGAGCTTGGTTCCACCGGCGCCTTGGTTCTGCCAGACCACTACGTCGAAGTGGTCTTTTTCTTCTTTCAGGAAGATATAGTCCAGGCGGTTCAAGCCGTAAATGCGTCCGAACTTGATGCTGTCTTGGATACCTGATACGGCTTGGCCGGCACGGGCTTGGCCCGCGGATCTCCATTGCGGTACCTATCTTCGTGAGCAAGGGGATCCTATCCCTCGACTATAATTAAGACTTACTATTCCGTTGCCACTGCCTCTGTTGTTGATCCATGTACTGACTTGACCGTGATCGCCGATGTACATAACGTCGCTCCGGAAACTGCATATGGGTATGAGTATATCTCTTGCTAGTAATAGAAGATGCATATCGTGTGTACTTACTCTCCGTTGAGGTCGGCTACCAGTCAGGTTAGCTACTAGACAAGAAAGAAAAGCAAGATATGACATACCAAGGATTATACCGGCCTTGTCTGGTTGGGCAGTGTTGAAAACAGTTCCACGAATGCCATTGGCCGTGCTGAACCCTTGCCACTGAGGCTTATCACCCCAGCCACCATTCCGAGAGCACCTAATACTGTCAGACCAGGCTCATCATCCTCAGGGTGGACGTACGCTATCTCTCCAGCAGACTTGACTAGGCAAAAGTCTGCTCTGCCATCGCCATCAATATCTGATATCCGTGTTAGTGTAGCTGTTTCAAAAGGCGAGGGTTGATACTAACTCATCTGCAATGCGAACATCAGTGGCTTTCAGTCCATCGAAACCACCAATGACTTGACCGATGCTCTCAAAATTGGGAGGGTTTCCGCCGCGATTCAGCGAGACCCATACAGCGTTCTCCTTTATACAGAAGAAATCGTCCAAGCCATCGTTGTTCTAGTCGAATGGTTAGCCCAATTCAATGTGCGATGGTGATCACTTACAAAATCGGCGAATGCGTAGCCTGATGAAATCACAATCAGTGGTGCTCAAAGTGAGGGAACCGGGAAGTACTCACGTGGACCCAAGTCACAGTCCATGTCAACGCTGAACTGAACTGACTTGTCGAACTTGCCTCCTCCCAAGTTCTGGCGGAACCAGTATGCGTTCTTGTCCTTGGTGTCATGGTACACACGGATCCAATCATCAAGAGAAGCCGTTCGTTCCGCATTCGGGTCACCTTTGACAATATTCGCAAAGAAAATATGCCAAGGGATCGCATCAGTAATAGACTTTGGATCACTTCCCTTGTCAATCCTGGCGCTCTCGATAACACCCTTCGAAGTACTCTTATGAGCGTAATTACCATCGTCGTGACCACTACCCATCTGAGATTGACCAGGCAAGCCAGCATTACCAGCGACCTTCTTACACTGGTTGCTCGACCCACCAGATGCATCGTCGAGATTATCAACCTTTGCGGGCGGCTGGATCTGGTCTTCTATCTTGCTGATGGCATCCCACCAGACACCCGCAAACATCTTATACCCGTCGTCGGTGGGATGATCTTTGTCAGGGCCAATGTCATCCATGGACATGACGCTTCGTACGTCGGCGAGGGCGATGCGTGCTCCTTTGTATCCTGCTGCGACCTTTCGGATTTGCTTGCTGATGTCGTCGGAGCAGGAGTTTCTGGATGAGTCCTTGTTTAGGAGGAGGGTTGATAGAACAACTGTCACGCCGGGGACATTGTCGAAGATGTCATCGACTAGACTTTTTGTTCGTTCGCCGGCTTTGTTAGGGTCGCCTCCCGAGTTGCAATCGTTCCTATTGAGTTAGCTTGGCATATGGAGGTTTCTAACCGGGTAAACTTACAACCCAGCGTTGATGAGAACCAGGTTTGGCTTCATCCACTTGCTTTTTGTCCAAGCGCCGTGGACGGACTCAATCGTCCAGCCAGGATGGCCTTCATTGTCGTAGAGAACAGTAAGTACGCTACCAATGAATAGTGATCATGGTGTATAGCTTACCGAGTCTGCCATAGCGCCATTCCGCTCTGATCCAACCATGTTGACTTTCCATCCACGGAAGCGGAGCTGAGCTCGAAGCCACTTGGGGTAACCATTGCCATCACTAGGCTTGTATCCCTGAGTAATGGAAGCCCCAAGTGCCATTACTCTCAGATAAAAGTCTTTGGCAGCTCTGCGATCAAGCTCGGCTGCAACAGTCAAGTTGTCGGATTCGTTTGGGCATAGGTCAGTACTGCTGCGAGACGCGTGTAGTTCATGGCCCTGATTTTCTGGGTGGATAATATCGGGCGCATAACCATTACCGTAGAGTGAAACGCCATCTGCATGGCTAGCAATGAGTGGATATGGGCAAAGAAGAATGATAGTCATCATTGAGATGGCGGCGTGGCCGCTGCGAAATAGCCGCATACTTGCGTCTAGACAAACTCAGGCTGAGATAATAATGAGCGTAAATAATATTCCTGGAACAAAAGACACAAGATGATTCATTTTATATTATACTCTTCTTGCTTCGTGGGCGAATCTCTCTGAAAACTTCCATTTCCGACCCTATGTTTACTGCCCCCAAGATAAGTGATACGATCCTCAAAGGATCCAGATCCCACAATGGTCGAGATGATGAAACCATTTTATCTGACTAAGATAAACATATCATCCACGTCTCGCTTGTGGGCGAGCAAATAATGGATAGGCCGGAACGAGCAGCCCAATCAGAGTGGGATCAGAATGGACAATGCCAAGAGTTGCGGACCCATAGATAAAATATCCATATGACGATGAACGGCACGATCTGACTCGGCGACATGTCAATTTGGCCGGGACCTTTGTACTTCTTCCTTTACCTCTGAGTGATATTCCGCTTCAATAGATTCCTGGATCGTTGGATACGCTCCACGACCGTCTGGAACTTGACTTACTGTCTATGCTTCTAGGGTTTGTGGGCTGCTACAAAGTGGGAGACCATAAGTATAGAAGGGGCCAGAAACAACTAGATGGGTAATTCTACGAATATTAGTTTCCTTCAGTCCTTATATGCTCTTGAGACCAATCTACAGTCGTCAACTTTGTCTGGGGAAAGCTCACTTCTGTTGGTTCACATCGCAATATTGATTTCACATATTACCCGCAAAGCCTGTCAGAAAAACTGTCGTATGATTCGACAACCCTACAAGGCTGTGTCAGAAAAGGGAGCATAGCCACGTGCGCCGCACGATCAACCGCGGTTCCTGGTCCGGAAATAAGAAGGCGATGCTGTCTGTCCCTCAGCTGTGTCTCTTATCCTCCTTGATTGGCTGCCCATGAATCTACATGTGGCCTGCCAAGTCTTGCGTTCGGCACCCATATCCGAGAACTTAATCTCACATCAGCCGGAGAGTTAATCTTAGCTAAGTCGGGAGAGGCGCTCGTAGTCGGTTAAACGGGCCCTAGTCTACCTCTTATGCACATCCAAGGAGCAGAGAACATCCGTTTTGGTTGTAAGGAACAATGTAAGTCATTTCACATCACCATTCTCAGGAAACGGGATGACAGTTTTCTACAGCCAGTGACGAAAAGGCCTCGTTGTTAACTCTACTTGCTATGCTGTGACGGTAACTCCCTCCTGTTTCGTTGATTCACATGATGACCAGGTCAAGTATCAAGGTAATTATTTTTTTATGGTCGTCATGTCTTGCATCCCTCCGCTCGTGCTCTAAAAGTAGTAACCAAAAATAGAACCTCATATGTCTACCGCCACCCGGCCAAGGAGCTTCGACTCGCCACACCCTTCCTCATCAATGAACATCTCCCGAAGCCTTCTCATCGAAAAGTGAGGGAAGTAGTACACCCTCTTCCGAGGACCCCTCGTCAACTTCTCAATCTGCCCCGCGACCATACCATATTCCTCACGCCTATGCCCCGCGTGAACACGAGAAATCATATGCTCCTTCCACAGCGGATCATGTCTTAAAAGACAAGTTCCGAGATCTTTCCACGATGTCATTACGATGTAATTCGCGCATGAAGTCTCCGAGCGGATGATGTTGACAGCGTAGTCAGTTGAACAACCGCCGCAGGACCATATACGTCCTTCGAGGGCGCTGTCCAGTCTAGCCCTTGCTTGGCAGGTTAACCAACAGTCTTCTTTGTGAGTCCATAGACACTCTTGTAGCTGTTCGCCAGGAAGGTCAAACTCTTGTAGACCTGAGTGGCGGAATGACCACTGTCCTCGTGGCCATTTGAACTCCTCTTCCGGACGAGTTATGAACGGATATATATCAGTCCATCTGATATGCCCACAGATCGAACCAAATTCGTGGCTGTCCTGAAAACTCCACCGTAGAGCTTCGATGCCTTCAATGACCTTGCTCGGCTCGCGGCCTGCATTTCGCCTCGGAAATAGAATCCTCTGTGACTTGAGAAGCACGTGTTTCTGACAGGAGAAATGCACAGTCTGATGCAGTCGTATAAGAAGTTGATCATCATGGCTGACATACGGCGCCACAAACTGTACACTCTGTTCGCCGGGAAGCAGCGCATGGGGATTGTGACGGTTGGATCTTGACATAGCCGCCATAACATCAAAATGGATCTCCCTCGAAAGATAAGGCGATATGGACAATCGCTGGAGACTTGGAGCGCCATTCCTAATACATGCCCGCCGGCCCTCCTTTTCAGTAAAGGTTTGACGACTCTTTCGAGGTTCATGGAATTTCAGACAGATCTCGCAGAGGATCTCCGAAGGCCACATGTAGCTTTGTTCAAGTCGGCTTAGGAATTTCCAACGATCATAACCGTTAAGTTTTGTGGTGTTGCTGAAGAGCTTATGAAGCCAACTCGATGTAAAAGCAAGGCTTGCCCGGTCGACTGGGGCAAGGAGAGTGACTATCTGAGTTAGAAGCTCTATAGGGAGGCTTTGAAGGCTTATCGGTGGTGACCGCTTTTTTCTGGGAATGATGATCATGTCACCAACTCCGACGGGTTCCTTTCCAGAGCTATCTCTGCTGTTGCTGCGTTCTGGGACATCACTGCTCCCGGCCGGTTTTGGTCTCGGTATTTGACTCTCCGGTAGAGACGTTTCATGTGTCTTGCGGGCAAGCAGCCTTCTCAGCTTGCCGAGAAGCATCATTATGGTTAGTTATTCTGTTTATCCAAGAACGTCACTAAAGCACATTGCTTATGGGGATTGCGGAGGGCGGCTTTCAAGGATGTAGCGCAACAAAGCAAAAAAGAAAAGGGAAATTTGGTACGTATGTACATCTTGCTTTGAGGTCTTTTAAATGAAAGGAAAAAGTTAGCCTGGTAGTGAGAGGCAAAATACATTAAGTACATTGTGAAAGTCAAACGAGTTTTAGCGCCAAGGTTCAGGGCAAAACGCCCAATCCCTGACATTGAGCTTTTTTGTTCACGAAAGTATACATCCCTGTGAAAGCTTTACCGAAACTCAGATACGATGTATACAGTTGGCTTCAAGGCTAGAACTGGACACCATGAGCTGTATTACTGCACTCCTGACCTCGTCAAAACTTACAATTAAAATTGGTTCAGAAATCATAGCACAAGGCCAGTTTCTTCTTTTTGATAAATACTTATTCAGTAAGCCTCATCTTAGACATCATCACGTGGCCAGGACTACTCCCATGCGTCTTCCTCATCGTCGTCCTCGTGCAATGCATCTTGTTCCTCCTTCTCAGTTTGGTCTTCATACCGTACTTCGAACGTCCCAATATCCGGGTCATCCTCAAATATTGCCAGAGAGGCGGACGATGTTAGACCCTCTCCTCTGAATTTTCTGGGGGTCTTCCTCTCTGTCAACTGCCATTTCTTTTAGCTTTCATGCGATTCACGGTTCAACTTGGTGACTTACTCCGCGAATAGGAACCCATGTGAATCTAATGCCATGGAAAAAGACAACGTGGCCTTTTTCGTTCTGTGCCTGTTAATTACCTTAAGCAATCAGGAAAAGCGACATAATAACTTACCTCGTCACTCTGGGTGCTTATCCATCCTTCTGCACTTCCTCCATGCAGGTAACCCCCCTTTGGAGCCACTTCACCAAACTCGAGAGCCGTTGTGCTAAACCCAACATCGACGCTTTTGTCTTTCGAGTTCCAACAATTGACCGATGCATTCTCTGCTGTCCACGTCGAAGTAATAATCCACAAGCCATTTTCTCTGACCTCGGGGTGTGATTTCACTATGCCTTTCGCGTTCTGCTTCATCCACTGAAGAAGAGGCTCTTTATGGTAATACCGCTCATGGACAACAGGACCACTGGTGAGTAGAACAGCTCCGTGGTTTGTATCTGCCTGGAACCGGAAGCAGGCGGAAACGTCGAAGGGCAGTGCGGCTGCAGCCAGCATGGGTATTGCACCAAGACCGAGAGTGAGATCTATCGCCTTTCCTCTTGTCGCCTTGCCCAGCTTTGGTCCCCATATTTGTTTCTGAGACGGCGCTTGCTTCAATGTCGTGTCGTCGATGGATGACAAACCTGATGGTAGGCTTGACGACGATGTGAGGTCTCCGATGGGATTCCAGGCCCCAGTCGCGTCAAAATACCCGATGAACCCGGGCTGAAACTGGCTCGAGGGAATGGGTAGGTACAACGCCGTGCCGAAAGGATGCGCCCGCATCAGCTCGGCGTACTTGAGATCTAAAGCCTTGCCCATCATTATTAGCTATCTTAAAGATTTTAGTACGTGATGGAGGGGTAGCAGGTCTGTTCTTATCTTAGGTAAAATAGGCAGCACGAATACCTCGTATCTCATGACCTGGTTTAGCCGATGTGGCGCCAATAGTGTGCCAATATTTATGCGCGCAGTGTTACACTGCGCTTCAGCTTGTGATATTGTATCCTATCAGCTGATTGTATTGCACAATTGTCTCGGCCATTCGATAATCACTAAAAGAATAAACGCGCCACCTATGCCGTCGAACTGGGAGTAAATTGTCCCAACATCGTTCCAATCTTTTTGTCAACTGGAACCAATGTTTCACATTTCTTACATACATGAGGATGAAAACCCCGCATCAGAGTCCAGTGATCAAATGTCTTGTTGCCTGCGCAAGTCATCTTTCCCCTCTTTTCCTGTCACTAACTGATTGCTCAACTGCCGGCTTCTCACAAAACTCGCCATGGCATCTGATCTCACGAGTCAGCTTGAACATGCTGCAATGTTGATAGCATCTCAAGAGCAAGATGAAGAGCTCATTCCAGACGGTCAGTTCTGCCGTAACAAAAATTTTCTAAAGGGCGTGGATCCAGAAATATGCAAGTATATCTATGCTGTTATGCTTTTGGATCGCTCCGAGAGAGCAAAGCGATTCTCCATGGCAAGTGAGGAAGTCTTGATGACGAGAGGTGTCGGTAACAATACGTCTGGCTTGAAGGATGCAGCTATTCTGGGTGCTCTAGCTGTTTTCAACGTTCTCAAGAGTGAGCCTATGAGAGGGGTCATGGTCAGCATGTTTGGGAGAGTTCTGCGGAGACAGTGGGAGGTTGCAAGTCCAGACAATGAGATTGAAGCTCTGGATCGGGCTGTGGAATATCTTAGAAAAGCTGTGGAGTTTGGACCACGGGATCATTCAAACCGAGCATTGCATCTCGATGATCTTGGCGACATTCTCACGCAAAGGTACAAAGTTTCCCACGAGCCGGTCGACTTTGAGGATGCGAGTGCGGCTTTCCATGAAGCGCTGGCGACAGACTTCCCCGGGAAGCCCATCTTCTATCTTGGCCTGGCAAAGCTACAGCAGGAAAGGGCATTGTTCCAGGAAGAAGAGAAGGAAACCTTACTTCGTGAGAGCATGACCACTCTGCAGCTTGCCGAAGACTCGGTCCCGAGCCATTTCGACTCGACGCCTTTCAGATACACCATTGCAGATATCCATCGCGCTCACGCCGCGTGTTTCGTTCACTTATACGACCTGAACCAGGATATCGAGAATCTTAGAAAGGCAAAGGCGTGTCTCAACAGAGGACTTGCAGTCTCAGAAGAAAAGCGTTCGAAAGACCGCTTTAACTGTCTCATCAACTTGGCGTCGCTACAGCAGAAGCTAAATGAAGAAGAGAACACACGAGACCCTTCTACTCAGATCGGCTACTTGAGGCAAGCCCTCAGGGTTCATCCAAACTCGGTAGATGCACTAGAAGAGCTAGCGAATGCACTTACTGAAAGGGCTGAGCAAAATAGCCACCGGGAAACACAGATAGAAGCAGATAAGCTCATCGAGCGGATGAATGAGCTAGAGATCGTCGATCCATCACCGAAAACACCAGCACGACTGATCAGAGACGCAGGTGCTCATGAAGAGCAATTCAGCAAGACCGGGCTCTTCTCGGAAATCGACCTGGCTGTTAAGTGCTTACAAGATGCCCTCGACCATCCAGATTTACAAGGTTACCAACAGATCAATTGCTATCAACAACTCGCCATAGCACTTCTCCTCAGGTTCGAAGCTAACGGCGACAAAGATGATCTCCGTAACGCGTGTCAAGCAAATCTCGATGTCTTGCCTTTTCTCAACGACCTCGAAGACCCGATGAAAGCTCGATGTTTGAGAGCTTCTGGGAGGGCGGCTTTTGTGTCGGCGCAGATTCCTGGACAAGAGCAATTCATCGATGGCGCTTTGACGGCACTCATTGCAGCGAAGACAATAGCCTCTCGGACGGATCCCTTTTATCTTACTGTCATGAATGATATCGGCAATGCTTACGTCGTCAAATGTCAATGTACCGGCGATGTCAAGTATCTTTCACAGGCCACTGAAGCATACCAGGACGGCCTTGATGCTTCAAAGGAGCAGGGGTCTTCTGACGGTACTATGAACATCATGTTGACTCATGGGTTGGGGAATACGGCCATGTATCAATTCAAGTTCTCTGGGAGATTGGAAGACATCAACACGGCGATCAAAGCTTTTGAGAGATGCCTGGACTCAACTGGGCCTACCGAAGTTCGGGCTGGTTCTCGGACGAGAAGTCTCAGCCATGCTCTTCAGCTCAGGTATGACGACACCCAGGACGTGAAAGATATCATCAAAGCTGGTCAAATTGTCGAAGAGGTTCTAGGTAGGAATCTCAAACTCCCACCAGTCGAAATCTCGGCACTGCACAACATGCTCGGAACAGCATATCTTCGTCAATACCACCGAGCGGAAGATCTGAGTCATCTTGCTCAAGCCGAGAAGAACTTCAACGTAGCTCTCTCATGTGGCTGCACGGATAAGTTTTACTTATTCTCGGCGCGGGTCAATTTGACGCGCACGTTGCAGTACAGAGCTAAGAAGACACTCAGCCTGCGAGACCTTCGCGATGCGCTTGTGAACTTCCAAGAGTGCATCTCGATGGGTGGCATGGACGATATCAACCGTGGAAGCCTGCTTATCAACCAAGCCGAGCTACTCATCGCGATCTGGACTGTCAGTCCAGCTCCACTGAGCACTCTGGCTGCAAATGCATACCTGATCATGATGACTCAATTCTCATCGGCACCTGGTATCGCTCGTCACGCAATCGCGTGGATGAAAGTCTATGCATCCATGTTTGCGCATGTGGTAGCCAAGGACTCGGCAGCTGCAAAGAACTATATCCGAGAAGCGGCTGAAGATCTCCCCTTCGCAGTATATGCTTGTACCACGCGCGCTGATCAATTACGCCAAGCAAAGAAATTCCAAGCCTTGCCGACACTTGCTCTTTGCTTTTCACTCGCCGCTGGAGATCCAGTGGTTGAAGCGCTACAGCTATATGAGAGAAGTCGATGTGTCTTGTGGGAGGAGATTCTCAATAAGGGTGCAGATGCTGGCCTGGATCAGTTGAGGGAAAACTTTCCAGATCTCGCAACTCGTTTTCTTGAAGCGAGGGTCTCCGAGAAAGTCAGCGGCCAGCGAGCGGCGCGGTTCGACCTTGATAAGAAGTTTCTCCAGAGTCAGACGGCTTACAACAAGTCCACTTCGTTTCAGGAGCTGATAGCCGAGATCAGAGGAAAAGATGGGTTCCAGGATTTCCTCAGGCTGCCCCGCAATGACTCGCACTTTTATGAACTTGCCGAGTCTGGTCCCATCGTCATTGTCGAGACGGAACCTCTGAGTGGTGGCTACGCTCTCATCATCACCACGACAGATATTCGGAAAATCACACTTCCCAAATTCACTGCCGACGATATCAGAGAGCACAAGCAGCTCTTTCGCGAGGCCATTGATATGTCTAATGACGGAGATGGTGAGGGCGGTGATCTTCTCCATTATCTACTTACATGGCTCTGGGAAGTTGTAGCAGAACCCATCCTACTCAATCTGGGGTATGATGGTGTTCCTCAAAATGGAGATCTGCCGAGGGTCTGGTGGTTGACGACGAGTAGCATTAATGCTTGGCCCATTCATGCAGCTGGAGATCATCGACGGGCAGTAGAGACGGGAGAGCGCTGCACGGTACTCGATCGATGCGTCCCATCGTATACGAATACCCTTCGCGGGTTGTCATTTGTGAGGGATCGGGAGAAAGAAATGATGCAATTTAATGGACATCAGAAAGCGATGCTAGTTAAGATGGAGACAACAGATCACCTTGCGCCGCTACAACATGCCCCAAGCGAGATCGACACTATTGACACAATTCTCACTGCCGGAGGATACGACACCGTAATCCATGATCGCCCAGTCCGGAAGGAGGCACTCATGGGTCTACTCAACTCACAGATCGCACACTTCGCCTGCCACGGCGAAGTCGACAACTTGAATCCAGCACGGAGCGGTCTCCTCCTACGCGACTGGTACACCCAAAATACAAATGGCGATATTGCAAGAGGAAACGTCCTCGACGTGCAAAGCATGATGTCCGCGCCAAAGAAGCTCACCTGCTCTCTCATCTATGTATCGGCATGTGAGACAGCTATTACAGGTGATCCAATGCTTCCGGAGGAATCGATCCATCTTGCCGCTGGGTTCCAGATGGCGGGTGTACCGTGTGTAGTAGCTAGCTTATGGAAAGCAGAGGATGAGACTTGTGGTCTTATGTCTAAGGTCTTTTACGCTGATTTGCTGAAAGGAGGGACCGGTGTTACGGGAGATCGGTCTGCGAGGGCGTTGAGACAAGCTGTGCTGGAACAGCGGCAGGCTGGGGTTGATCCGAGGTTCTGGGCAACTTGGGTCCATTATGGTCCCTGAAAGTTTGTTCGAGGAGGGTTTAATTGGTGCCTTGCATGGGCTGTCAGGTCAGCCAACTAAAAGTTCAAGCATGTCAACTACTCACATAAGAGCTCAAGATAAGCTGAAACCTTATCATGTGATCCATGTCTTGGTAGTATTAGCTTGCCTAAGTTGAACCCTACTTTTTCAATTTTCATCAAACTTTAGACGAATGAATGGTCATATTCCTTCTTTGTCATCATGGTGCTTATGTCTTTCTTTCAGTGGGCTCTCTATTTCCTAAAAGCATCAAATTTGGAGACATAATTCAGCCAATACTTATGATGAGTTTTGGAGTAACTACACTAAACTCATCTAAAGTGGGCCCTGCATGTCATCGCAGTCTCGCGATGTCTGTCAAACCAGGGATAGAACAGCGTTTGCACCTGCATATTCAGCCAATCAGATCGATTCGGGGCTGGCCGAGGTTCCAAAGAATATCACGGCGACTACCGAAGGAACGTGGGTTTCACTGTACCCCGTACGGGGTGAAATATTCACTAAAACATGTGAGACGTTTCGGATCAACTCATCTCTTCATATCCAATCTCATACTCGCTATTCCAGATAACACCAATACAGTCATTCCCATCAACTCGAAAACTCCACATCGCTTCCATGCAGAAATATGTACAAACATTTATATACATGCCATCTCATCTCATCTCATCTCATATTCGCAAGATCTACTTGCGGTAAGTGGTCCAAGCACTGTGCATGCGGGTCTTCTGACCAGGGGTGAACTCCTCGTAGCAAACACTGGAACAAGTATTAGTAAATTGCATCAAAGCGTCTTCCGGGAATAACTTACTCATCGGAATAATCCATAAAGTTGTGGATGGGGTCGTCACCAGCCTGGTTAGGGCAGCTATCCCGTCGAGCAGGGCATCCACTGGTCTGGCTAGCCTGAGCAGGGGTGTCGCTAACCAGATCTCCACCAGTGCAGCCATCCTGGAAAGTATGGAACAGGTTGAACCAATGGCCGACCTCGTGAACGGCAGTTCCACCGAGGTTATAAGGAGCCATTGAACCTCCAGGGACGGTCTCGGCGACAATGACGCAACCGTCGCGGATGAAGGTTGAGGAACCAGTTGAGACGTTAGGCTCAGGGAAAAAGCAGTATCCAAGAGCGTCAAGACCATCAAGCTTAGCAACATCAGTGAAGTACAAGTTGAGAGTCTTGTAGTCACCCTGACGAAGCTGTCTCTTCATGGCAACCTCGCCATTTCCAGCAGCCCAGTTAGAGTTGGTGGTGAAAGTGGTGTCGATGAGGTTAAAGGTAATATCTTGAGCACCGTAGGCATCGTTCAAGGCCTTGAGCTGGGCTTGGAGCTTAGCCTTGGTGATGTACTTTGAGGAGGATGAAGACACAACGTGGAAGTAGGTGTCGACGGTGATGGAGGTAGCGGCGACTTTGGAGACGGACTCGATCTTCTTGAGGTTCTGAGCGTGCTGGACTTGCTCGGGGGTAGGGTCTGCGATGGCGCAGCGAGGAGGAATGGCGCGTCCGGCCAGACCAGCGAGGGCGTTGCCGAAGAAGAGAGCGAGAGCGAGCTTGGAAACCATTGTTGCGGTGATGAGATGAGATGAGATAGATGAAGATGAAGATATCGACTATAATCTACGCAACTACACTTCATATTTATAATAATATTCTATTGTTCTTCGCTACAGCATAGAGCGAGCATAATCTATCCATCTTACTATCTCATGGCGATCGTTTCCAATTGTGCCATATCTCCGTTCATCCAGATCAAAGGTCCATCCCATCACAGCATAACTCGCCATCCTTATCTATCCCAATTCCCCATAAGAGCGACAACACAAGATATTCCGTAAATTTGACCTGCCGTATTGACTCATGAGTGGACGACTTGCCGCGGTGTCTATTCCGTACCTATGCTAGTGTTCAGAAATGAACCCCTGGACCTTCTGTTAAAGGAAATGGCCGCCGTGGTAAATACGAGACAGCCGAACTTCGGACGCCAAGAGACCTTCCCGACTAGGTAGGATCTTCTGCCGACGCACGGGCTTCATCTGGGCGGGTCGACCCCTGTAAGCTTAAAATGAAGCATTTTGGTATGGTTAAACTACCGGAGGTTGAGAACTTTTGCTAAGCTTGTGTTAAGTGATCACATTATCTTGATAGATTGTGGAGGTGATGCTGGGGCCCAAGCCGATGCCGGCTTGGCGAGTTGTTTGGGCTATTTCGGATGAAAGGATTGTCATCATTCAGCATCTCAATGTCTCAGAATGTTCGAGTCATTAGTGAAAACTATCAACTCATACTTATCAGATGACATTTGTTTGGAGAGCATTAGAACCCTTCTGAGAAGAGTTTTAAAAAAAAAGATAATAGTAATACCAGATACTGTATTTACTATAATTGAATTTATATACTTGATCTCTTCTGCCAGTAATAGTTCTTTACGATTTGAATCTATCTCTGTAGGGTAGTGTAGTGTGGAGGATCTTGTCGACCCATCTTATCTTATCACCACCAGATTCCAATTAGACGGTCCAATCAAATTGCATCCATGGCTAAGCTCGAATGAACACTCTACAGGGACTTTTCAATCTGACGTTATCGGCTTGCATGCAGTCTCATTCTGTGAATAATTGACAGCTGAGATATAAACTCCACGCATCATTTCAGCCAGTCAGAAGTCGTCATTTGTAAGTCGAATGTTTGTCGCAACTCTAATTATTACCACTTCTGGTAGGCATAATGCTTGGTATTACTTGTCACATGAAAACGCCGACATCGTAATCCGCTACAGGTCAATGCGTGCGTGCGCAGCCAAGATCGAGATTAATGGCTCATTATTTACCACCAGGGTTCTATAGTCGATCTTAATTCTATCTGAGTGTGTTTCCCGCTCTGTTTAATCCTCATCCCCAAATACAACTGCATGCTCAAACGCCCAGTCTCGAATGGCATCAAAGTTGCGACATGTATGCGGCGTGCTAAAATCAGGCCAGTGACCATCATAGCCGTCGTAATACTTGAATGCGAAAACACCAGTGTCGCTCTGGCACATAATGTTGTTTCGCAGAATCTCGATGCAGTGATCTACAAATCAGATTAGCATTAATCAAGTAATAAAACCAAAAATTTCGACTTACCAAGATGCCCTCTCAAGTCCATAGGCTCAACCTCAATGTCGCCACCCATCTTGGAGTAGTAATCCCTGTAGGTATCTTGTCGAAGCAAGTTCAAACAGTGAAGCTGATGGAATACTTGAATTCCGACGCGATAGCCCGTATGCCCTGTCTTGGGATCCTTGACCTTGAGAGATTTAGGGTCAAGGCCCAATTTGTCGAGCTCAGCTTGTGAGATCATTTGATCACCGACGTCGTATGTAACATGGTTCCATGCTTTATCAACTTCTGGTCCGTATCCGACAAACTCGGACATCTCGAGGGCTGGAGTAATATTGTATCGGACCGTATGGAAGTCTGCAACGCTTTCTGCGGGGGCTATTCGACGTTAACACAGGTATAAGAAAAGACGGTGATAGACTCACAGTAAGGAAAGTTTGGCTGATTGCAAACGCCACTTTGTAAAGGGCTGGCGCGAAGTAGTAAGGAAAGGGCGAAGAATGCCAATGAAAAGGAGAGTAAAACACCATGACATATCCATATCAGGATTGGATGTGCGTCTGGCTGTGAAATGAATGGCGAGATGTTGGTGTAGATGGGCAGAGGTGATAAGAGAGCGTTCTTCTCATGAGTTTGTTGCTCCTCATCTTCAGGAACTGGACGATACTTTGACCCCATTGTTGCAGAAAATGATTGACAGAACCTCGAAAAAGTTTAGAAAATGACTGGCCTGCAGTGAGAGAATAAAAGTCAACCTCCAGGGTGATGAGGGAAAAAAAGGAACAAATGCGACAGGTTTTGAAGCAATGATGTATATATCAATGCCCAGAAATCTGATTCTATAATTGGTCTTCTCTGATTTGGTGTTTGGGTTCTACAGTGAGCGGATAATCGGCTCCCAATTACAACTCTTCAAACGCCAAGACGAAACGTGAAATGGTTCGTGCGACAAGTGAATACTACATGAAGTCATCCAGACCGCCCACTTAAAACAATGTTCCAGCTTCACGGGTCTGACAGATCTCGAATGAGGAATAGCCAACCATTACTCGCCGAGAATTATAGGCCTAAACAATATCTGTAACAGGGGTTAGTAATATTCTCAGGCAACGTGAAGCACTATACGTCGTAGCCGTCAGGGGTCGTGTCGTCTAGACCAATCAAGTGAAACCAGCGAAACTTGTTTGAGTTTCATTTCCACCAATGACGCGCCACCATCGACTTTGGCATGTCACTTCGCGTTTTCGCGTTTAAGCAAACAACGTCCAGAGTCTTGGGTTTCGGCCGAGGCTGGGGTTTCATGATTCGCCGCTCTAACCGCCCCTAGACCTTGGACCTAAAATTGCCTAGCGGGAGGCCGATGAGGGTATCAAGGAGAAAGCGCCCTTTTTCGTATACGGCGTTGTTGACTCAACAGAGCGGCAATGCCGGCATCATGTCCAACATGTCTTCAAACGCTATCGGTCTTGTCTTGGCGCTTGCGTTTGACGACTCTCTGAACTTTGGGAGATCGAGGGAGGGGGGGCAAAGATCTATTCTAAGACTCAAAGAATCTGGGGTCGTCATCTCAAGTTAGACTTAACATGCCTAAGTCGAAAGTTATAAGAAGCTTAGCATCTTCAGCTCTAATCTTAATTCTTCAACCAACTCACATTTCCTTCTTCAATCATCTGAGCTTAACTTTGCTTGACGCAAACGTCTTTCTCTTCTCATCAACTTTCAAGGCTAGTCCTGCTTTTATTCTACATCACTCTCATTTTACCTGCCGGTCAGAAAAAAACAACTTCTACACCCTTTTTTCATCACTTCCAAGTCAAGATGTATTTCTCCAACGTTGTCGTCACTGTCCTCGCCGCTCAGGCCTTCTCTCAAGACAGCCGAGTATCTCGCTCTAGCTTCGGACAAGTTGCTGTAAGTTGCTCAACATGCTCATAATACTTTGAAGCTAATGTGAACAAGGCTTTGATGGCTGCTGCTGCTCTCCCAGCAGACGCTCTCGCCCTCCCCATCTTCAGCGCTGAGAAACGAGAGGTTAGTCGTGCTGATGTCTACTAGCAGCACTCCATCTAACAAGCATAGCCTCATCACCAAGGCGGTCAGAACAACAACAACAACCAGGCCCAGGGCCAGAACAACAATCAGGCTCAGGGTCAGAACAGCCAGGCTCAGGGTCAAAACGCCAACAACAATGCTAACGCTGGCGCCAATGCCAACGCCAATGGATGCAACGCCAACAACAAGCGAGATGAGGAGCTTGTAGCTCGTCACCACCAGGGCAACCAGGGAGGGAACGCCCAGGGTAATGCCAACAACAACGCCAATGGCAATGCCAATGGTAACGGAGCTGCTGCCGCTGCCAACGGCTGCAACAACAACAACGCCGCTGCTAACAACAACAATGCTGCCGCTAACAACGGTAACGCTAATGGAAACAACAACAAGCGTGATGAGGAACTCGTAGCCCGTCACCACCAGGGAGCAAAGGCCAAAGGCAGGAACGGCAAGAACAACAAGCGTGAGGAGCTCGTCGCTCGCCACCATCAGGGAGCTCAAGGTGGCAACAAGGCCAACGCCGCCGGTGCCAACCGCAATGGAGCCAACCGCAACCAGGCCGCCGCCGCAGCAACTGGCAACAACGCCAACTGCAAACGAGACCTCGAGGCCCGTCACCACCAAGGCGGCCAGAACAAGCAAAACGCTCAGGCTGCTGGTTGCAACTAAGATAATTCACTGTACAAAGTCTCTTGTAGGCTTGGATAAGAAGCAGCAAGGCATGTAATGGCTGAGGTGAAGGGGGAGAGATTATGTCTTGGCTTGGAGTGATGGGGTGCTGGAAGTAATTGGCTGGCCCATGGATTCTGGTAATTAGAGTGCTAGTTAGAATAATAAGACTAGAGAGTTCGGTTCAACTGTCGCAAGACCTGTTGGTGAATCACCTGATGCCTTGTCTGGAGTTTCTCTAATAAGTCTCTACTAAATGTACCTAACTGTTTATCTCAGATGGTAGGTAAAGTGGCTTGGTCGTGGCTGGAGATAATGCTGTGGCCGTGCCGACACCGTTTCAGCGTCGGTTCGCTTCCTAACCGAAGCCGATTTAGGCTTAGATCTGTTTGTAAACGGCATCTCCGCCCCTCCACTAAATCTTCAGGGTCCTTCACGTGATACCCCTCACGAATGCCTTTTTCCCTCGCATGGCGATATGAAGCCCTGTATAGACTAGATTGAGATCTCTATGGATTTATAATAGCAAATGTACTACAATAGCTGTTCGAAAAAGTCACTGAATATCAATTTTCAGCATTTTCTCGTATTTTCTTAAGGTTACAGCGTATCAACGTGGCTTTCGACTAACTGGCCAGAACACTCTACACCCATGTCTTTAAAGTGGGCTATCAGGCCACTTCTGAAAAGTCTTCCTCACAATCCCATCCCTTGAATCCTCTCAAAAACAAAAACACCAACAAAAAACATCTCAACTTCAACCTCAGCAAACCATCGATCGCAAATGGCGCCCCCCAAGAAAACCGAACCCGTCATCGATAATGTCGTCGCCTTTGGAAGAGTTCGCAAGAACTTGAAGATGGGATGCGTCGGTCTTCCTAATGTCGGAAAGTCGAGCTTGTTCAATCTTTTGACGGAGCAGAGCGCTGCGGCAGAGAATTATCCTTTTTGTACGATTGAGCCTAATGAGGCGAGATGTGCTGTTCCTGATGCGAGATATGTAAGTTGGGATCCTGTCGAATATCGGTGAGGGAGAAGCTAAAATCGATGAAATGCAGGACTTTCTCTGTGACCTTTGGAAGCCTCCTTCTATGTACCCTGCTTACCTTCAGGTCACCGACATTGCTGGCTTGATCAAGGGAGCTTCTCAGGGAGAAGGTCTTGGAAATGCCTTCCTGTCGCATATCCAAGCCGTTGACGGCATGTTCCATATTGTCAGGTAGGTTCTGTCGAGTGCAGTGGTAAGGAGCCAGGCTGACTTGGCATGCACAATAGAGCATTCGACAACGATCAGGTTCTGCATGTCGACGACTCGATTGACCCTGTTAGAGACTTGGGTTGGTTCAGCACCTTATCTAGAGGTGACTCAACTGACAAAGGCACATATAGACACCATTCAAAGCGAGCTCTGCAAGAAGGACCTCGGTAAGTACTTTTTCTTTGGTAATTGGACAAAACTAACGCTGAGCTTAGACATTCTCGCAAAGCAAATCGTCGCTGAGGAGCTGATTGTCAAGAAAGCTGGTGGCAAGTATAAGATGCTGCCTCTTTTCACTGAGACAACAACCAAGATCAAGGAAGTCAGTAGAAAGCAAGTGACAACCGGGAAATGAGAAGAAGACTGACACGAAATAGATGCTGGAAAAGGATCAACCAGTCCGAGACGGACGCTGGACACCTGCCGAGATCGCCCTCATCAACGAAAAGATCCAACTCATCACCACCAAGCCAGTCATTTATCTCGTCAACTTGACAATGAAGGACTACCTTCGACAGAAGTGCAAGTACCTCCCCGGTATTGCCAAGTGGGTTACTGAGCATGGTGGTACTCCTCGTGATATCATTCCCTTTTCGGTTGAGTTCGAAGAGAAACTACACAGCTTGAAGGATGACCCAGATGCTCTGGCCGAGTTCCTCAAAGACATCAAAGTGAAGTCAAAGTTGGACAAGATTATCACTGAAGGATTTACCAAGCTTGGGCTACAGTACTACTTCACAGGTTTGTCAAGATATTCCGACTCGTAGCTGAGACGCTGACCTGTATATAGCTGGTGAGAAGGAGATCCGATGCTGGACAATTCCTAGGGGCTGCTTGGCACCACAAGCCGCTGGTGCTATTCACAGCGACTTTGAGAGAGGCTTTATCAAGGCCGAGGTTGTCGCTTATCAAGACTTCCACGATCTCTGTGACGGACAAAAGTCCATGGGCCCCATTAAAGCAGCTGGCAAGTACCGACAAGAAGGAAAATCATATGTAAGTGCGCGCGACTGGACTCACATCACATTAAGCTCACTTTGTCCTTTGCAGGTTGTTCAAGATGGAGATATCATTCACTTCCAGTTCAGTAAGTACTACCCTCATGATCCTTTGATTCTATGTTGTATGCTGACTGTCTCTACTAGACGTTTCCAATAAGAAATAAGTCCATTACAGTTGTACAGAGAAATTATAATATTAAGATATTGCAAATACTTCATGATTATGTCACATCATAAATATTCATATGAAACTGCTCTACCTATCGTATAGATTATTCTCCTTAATAAAATCCTGCCACCCAGACATCCATTGTCCGCACCTTACTACCGTCAAGTCCTTGAACGGCTCTTACAACCGCCTCTCTCCCACTCCGAAGCGTGGCCTTTATCCTACTATCAGCAACACACTGCTCAATATCATCAAGAAAGCTCTTGCTTTTCATATCCCCAACTTCCCAGCCACCATCTTGCAATCCCTCATGCGGCACAATTTCCGTCTCTCGCTCAATCTTCCATCCAGCATCCCCCGCAATACTCTTGATATCAGATGGACTCAGCAGACATCGAATATTCGCCTCACTGTCTGGTCTTTGTGCCTCAAATGTCGCTCGCGTCAAAGCAGCAAGGACGTGAGGGACAGCAGCTGGCTCAGATGCCTTCATGGCGTATTCAGCAATGCAGACTCTGTTCACTCGTCCCTTGAGCGCTTTGAGCATGCGGGCAAGGGTTTCTGGCGCATCGAGATACCATAGACAGTGCACAAAGACGGCATAATCCCACTTCTTGTCCCCTGTCTCTCTTAAAAAGTCCTCGAGTTGGGCCTGCCAGAATTTCACACGCCCGCCCAAAGCGCCTTTGGCGATATGTTGTTGTGCTTGGCCAAGAGTGTATGGTGCACCGTAATCAAGAGGTGCGGGGTCGATGGCGTCAACATGGCCATCTTCACCAACCGCATGACCCAAGACAACAGTGCATGTTCCCTGACCGCATCCAATCTCAAGAATGTGAGATGAAGCAGGGACATGGAAAAAGTTGAGGAGCTGAAGCCGGTGAGTTGTTTGATCAATCTCAATTTGTAGGGACTCTGGTGTTGACAGGGAGTGAGACGCTATTGATGGAGCGATTGACAGGGGCATGGGCTGCCATGTCTCTTGAGGCTGCGCCTGAGCTGCTGTCATATCGATACCAAATTTACCGAGAATCAAGTTTGAGAACGTAAATTTGGTGTATTTAAATGCTTGACGGACCTAGTGTCTGCGATATCAGGCGGTCCAGGCTGACACTATTTATAAACAGCTGACAATCTTACCTGTGACTCATTCGCTATCATAGATCTTAACCTCCTTCCTATACGGGTAATCATCATTTGTGCTTGCAACACGACTGTAAGAATCACAAAAAGGGCATCACAGTGGAAACAGAGCTGATCAAAATCCAATTCTAAGAAGGCTAACAAGTAAGTCAACACTCTTGTCTATGACATAACAACCAAGTCGATGATACTAAGAGATCATCCAGCTGCAAGAACTACAAGTGCCGTGGTCACAACGAGTGCTTTGAGGTAAACATCTACCAGAAAGACCCTGTTAGCAAACGCCACTGGCGCACTCACATCGCAAGACCGACGGGTTCAATCGACCTCTAAGCTGCTTCTGTCAGGTTACTGTAACCCTGCGCCACCCAATAATTTCCAGGGCTCCATCCTTTGACTAACATGTACTACCGCACTCAATGATGATGCGATACGAGTGCCTACAGTGGTTGCAATACGGGAAGCATTAGGCTGTGCAGTCGATTTGCATGTTACACATGTTTGGGTGAGGGACTTTTGTAATTTAGCAGTACAGCCTTACTGCTACAGGATATTCGACGGAGGGGCTTTCAGGCTTTCAGCATAACTCTCCAATAGTGCCGCTAAAATCTGCTTTGCCACCGAGGTCAGCCACAGCATTTACCTTGTGTTTCGACAAGGTATAATTGGAGTTCAAGGCGTTCGATTCTTGTAATGTAAAAACTAAAGACAATTTATTCCTCTCTGGCTGTTAAAGTTGTACCTGTGGCATACAGCAATAGCATCATCCCTGGCGTGGCCCATTGTTAAATTGCAGCCCATCAATAGCTTCGTCACTTGTTTAGGACAGTTCAAGATCATATCTCGCCAGCTTCTGTTTTGGAGCTATGGGGGAAGTGCCCTTTTGGCCACTTTGACTTTCAAAGCCCTCGCGGTCTGGCGCAGTATGCCGTTCAACGGCTTCGGACTCAATAGTTGTCTTCCTTTAACAGAGAATGAGAGGTTTCTGTGCTTTTTATAGCGATAGACTCCGAGATACCACCATGCCCCAACTGTAAGAGCAGTAAAGCTAGCAGCAAGGACCACGTAAACCCAAAACGATGGAAACACGGATACAGTACCATCATCGGATTCCCACTCAAAAAAGCCCATTGAGAACATGCTCTTGATTGTGTGTCAGCATAGCATAAACTCTTGGTGTAGAACTTACCGCGAAGAATGTCCCGGGCAGAAATATCATGGTAACCAGAGCAATGGATTTCATGTGGCGCGAGTCCTGACTGGTTGCCAATGCTATCTCGACGTTTGTTTCACCTTGAGTCTCCATGCTATTAACAAAGGTTTCGGGACAGACGAAGAAGTCCAAGTCATGACTTACCCATTGCGTCGTCATAGCCATACCTTCAAAACCAGCCGTGCACTCTCGAATCTTTTCGTTATAGTCCTTGATAACCTCCTGGAGCCTCGCTTTCATTTTAGCACCGGTTCGTCTCATATAACCCTTAGAACTTCTTATTGACTGCAGATTCTGACTTTTATCAAACCGAAGCTCTGGAGAGATGGCATCTATATAGACTTTGTTAGTCTCCTGATCTTGTTGTTTGTTTACCAGAGATAACTCGCCAGTCGGGGCGATCCAGTCTGCACTAGAGTCTGAAGAACTCTCTCCTTGAACAGTGAACTCTTCAGAGGATCGAGTTTTAAATTGAGACGAAATAACGTCATCTCGAAATGTTGTCCGATTGAGGCGATCCGCATGTTCGTACAGGGCTTCCAAGCACGTGTTCCAGCTCATCAATTGATTGCGGAGATACAGCATATTTAACCAAGCTGATCTCTTCTCTTCCTTGCGAGCCAGCTTCTCTGCCTCCGTTATGTGCTGCAGAGACTCGGGATCATCCAGCTCCAAGAATCGGGCTTCAATTTGATCAAGCGTGTCGTCTATTATTGGTAGATGGCGCCGCCTCTCAATCTCCACCAGCATGCTAGGAACTAATAGTGGATGGCATATCTCGTAGGTGGCTGCTTCAAGCCGTGTCAATACCTCTGCTTCGACGGACAGAGGACATCCAAACATGACTGCAAATGTGAGCCTACAATGCGGAAAGTACGTAGCCGATACTGCAAGATCGCCGTCCCAAGCATTGGAAGTTCGTGCGCTGTACACTGTCCCGACATAAGAAGTCACCCCACATCAGTGTTTAGGGGACACATACCGTGTGCGAGTAGTTCATGACCATCATGCCTGGCCATTTCTAGCTTGACGGCCGAGAACTGAGAAACATTTGCTCGACTTACGACCCGGTTGATCGAGTCATGTATGTAGAACTTCTTTGCAATATCCTGGAAGCGCTGTTCGGAAAATGGCAATGTACGTAGGTTACGCTGACCGCCAGTCCCGCGTAGATTCTTGTCAAAAACAGTTTTGTTATGCATCGTTGCTTTTCGGATGGCCTTGATCCATTCTTTCGATTCAATCTTCTCTACAGGATCGAGAACGGGCTCGCCGATTCTTCTTGATAAACTGACACTATTGTCAATCTCCGGAGCTCATGGATAATAGGAATACATACATTAGAACAAGGCCCGAGTCTAATCCATCAAGCTTTGGGTGCTGCTAGAAGGCTGTCAGTCTCGGTGAACAAGTAAAGAGTAATACCGACCTTCTCAAACCAATTGTTCCAATCCGTAACATCTTTCATTGTCCATATTAGAGGCTCCTAGAAGACCGTTAGCAGAATACCGTGGATTTTACTAGGGGCGCACAAACACTTCCGTCTGAAAGTACTCGTACGAGGCTTGTTGGTCTCTCTTGATATTTGAATACTCTGCTGATTTCGTTTTCGCAGCATATCGCACTATCATTTGCCCAATTCATGTTGTTCTGGTATTGCCGAGTCAAGATGCAGGTTTCGAAGAGATAGAAACAGTCGTAGCAAACCAGCCTTTGATCAGCACAGATGTCGTTTTATTTACCTTCACTGGGGGGGCTTTGCTTGAAACACTTTGTGAAATTTACCCCTCCTTGACCGATGGACGCTAGTCGGTCGTCAATGGCTATGTCGAGGCGTTACACCGGTGAGCAACATTGCAACGTGTGACAGGCGCTTGAAGATCCTCGCACAAGCCAACCAACTGTGCCTGCGTGGCTTTCGAGACGAATGGCGTATGACAAGTGGCTATCCGCATTAGAGAATAATCAGTGCTTGAGCTACCACTTACTCCTTTTCCATAAATTTGACGCTCTAACAAAGTACATGTCCAAAAGGCTATAAAGAACGGCAGTTAAAATGTCCAAGTATTCGATTACTGCCTAAGCTTTAATAATTAATGCACCATTGGTAACTGCTTCTTGACCCTGGATTACTTATACTGATCCTACCTGCTCAGAGCCGATCCAGAGTGCATAACGCTAACCGCCTGGACTTAACAAAACCGCCAAGAGGAAACTAGATACAGGTTGCTGCGATAAGAAGGTATAGAACATCTGAATGCGCATAGTAAGTGATGTGTTAAGATTTTAGGGCTCAAATTGCGGCCCTGTTGATAAGTGCGTCTATAGAATCTACGCCGACTACATGAATCAAATGACAGACCTAAAGACCGAGCCCAGTGATCTTGGGAAGGTACCGAGGGAGAAGTACAAGTATGATGGAACTGGACTTGTTACACTGAATGGTGTATCTGGTGATCTGGGGAAACTACTACGAGATTACAGTGTGGAGGGTTTAAATGGTCGATTCTGGACTGACAAGTTGCTGCGGCATATTTTGACTCGAGAAAGAATCAAGGCTGAACTGAAACGGCCTGAACACGGCTTCGACGATCTCGAAGTCGATGAATACGTCGAAAAAATCCACCCGCCAGACGTGAAACCCTCAGCAGACCGTACTCCACCAGGGGCATTCCTCAAAGTTTTCGGATTGCTGGCATTGCAAGAGCGCTGCGGTGACATTCGGCGTTTTGTTAATGCAGGGTTCAATGACCAACAACTGCCTATCAAGATTGAAAATAACACAGTCTATCCTCTAGCCGGATCTGACCTACCCATCGCATGCTTCGAAGGCTGGAGAACTTCAGAGAAAGAATACTTTGAATCGCATCAATGGAGAATTGATACACCATATTTCAGCTCAACAGCGGACGAACCTTTCATGAAGCACCACCTACATAAATCCGCCTGTAAACCGTGGCGTCGTTCCCGCGAAACATGGTCCGAGGCTTGTGACGAAGTTTCAGATAATATGGGAGCTTTTGGAAGGGTGACACGCGTCGAGATTCACCCCACGTCACATGCCTATCAACAGCTATTGAAGAGTATGAGTAACGAACTTTGAATAACCTTTTCCAGATGTAGGAAGCTAATGCAGACAAAAAAAAAAAAAAGATCAATATCGACAGTACAAAGTTTGCAATCAAGACCCTTCACAACATGGGCCACAACAATGAGTCAAAATTCCAGCAGGAGTGGGATATGCTTAAGCGTTTCAACGGGCTCAAGCATCCTCACCTCGTAACAGCCTTGTGTGCTTTTCGTTGTGCAGACGAAAGGGGTTTATCTTTCCCAGTGCGATGTGTGACCTTGGCGAGTACCTGGAAAAGAGTGAACCCCCCAGGCACAGCAAAGCAGCAGTCTGGATATCTAACCAACTCCAAGGACTAATCGGTGCGCTACAGACGATACACAACCCGAAACATGTAGAGCAGGGAGTAGGTAGTGGCTACGGTAGACATGGGGATATTAAGTGCGATAATATCCTATGTTTCAAGAGATCAGGGGATAAAGACGAAATCATTCTTGTCATCTCTGACTTCGGCTTATCAACTTTTAACCGCATTCAGAGTCGCTCTAATATCCCAAATCAGAAGATTCTCCCAGTTCCTGGATACCGCCCTCCTGAATGCGACATCGAAGGGGGAACTATATCAAGATCCTTTGATATATGGACAATGGGGTGCTTATTTCTGGACCTAATAACCTGGTTCTTAGGCGGACCTCGGTATGTCAAAGAGTTTAATCAGGCAAGGACCACCATGTTCATCAACGGTGCAAACAACAATATCTTCTTCGCTTTCAAAAGAAGAGCTGATAAAGAGAGTTTCACGGTGCAGGTAAAGGCAGAGGTTGTGGAAGTAAGTCGCTTGGACAGATTAATTCGGTGATTTTGTTAACGTTCCACAGTGGATCATCAAGTTACATCAACATCCAGATTGCTCCGACTTCTTACATGATGCTCTTGATATCATTTCAAGCAAGATGATAGTCGTCATTGCGCAAGGCAGAAGTCGATCGTCGTCTGGACAACTTCTGGACGCTTTCCAGATATTATCTTCCAAATGCACGAGGAGGGAGGCATATGTTATTGGCAACCCATGGACTGGAGAAAAGGTTGAAATTGCCAGAACTTGGATAAGAAAGAACGATGTTGCGGTCGATGCAAGGCCTATTCGTAGCACGTAGGCTCTAATTGATGCGGTTTAGCTAGGGTTGACCATCACCTTAGCACATACGGGGATATCCTTGAGACCAAGGCTCAAGGAGTTAAACAATATAGACAAGACTTGAGTTCAAATAGTTTGAATAAATTGTATTGCACTCAAGGAGTTTAAAGTTCTTAACTTTTTTTTATCATGGTTTGGCTGGCATCCAGACATATGGTAGCGATCTACCGTACCAGAACCCTAAGTTTGTTCATAGTGCTCCACCTTCACCGTTTCCCCCATCTTTTGTTTTTCGGCCTTTCACTGTTAGAACGAAAGTTCAGAACATCAAGCGACAAGGGAACTACTAACCTCGGTAAGATTTCTCGGGAGGGTACAATGGTATTTGCCGCGTTCCCACTGTTTGGTTAGCTTGTTTGCACCTCTGGGACATCGGCAGTAAGCTTCTTACCATGACGGTTGTGTTTCCTTCCCCAAAGACGCTGATCATGAACTCTTCGATTGCTTCTTGCTCGCTGTAAGTCGCACGGACAATCTCAACGGGCATTGTAACGAGACGAACAACCAACAATGCCGACTCGGCGATATTTGTTGTAGTTTGTGGAGGATCGCACGTTTTTTGCTATTGCGAAGGAGAGGAGAGTCATACTTGACAGCTCTGAGCTTAATTGTATCCATATCTCAGTTGTCACTGAATCTATGAGGACTCTGGGGTATCTACTGCGTGATTCACAGAAGACGGCGGTCTTTCAATCACTGACTGGCGTTGACAGCAATTGACACGTCTTATCACTGAATCGTTAAGCACTCTGTAGAGTGCAATGGCGAGGCTACGTTAGGAGCTTCAGTCAAATTCAGTTACTTAAACACCATGTCACAGAGAAATTGGCTAATTGGAACCGACACCTGCACCTCGCAACATCCTCAATATCGCTGATGGGGTTGCTCCAGTCTCGCCGTACACCTCTTTTTAAGAGGTTTCTAATTCACCAAATGTAGAAAGTGCCCTTGACCTACGGCGTCATCTGATAATGGAAGAGCCCCTGTGTTCTGGTCCGTCAATTGCAATACCCGAGAGGTCTTCTCATACATCGCTGATCATGGAGCCGAGACGAGCATTATAGCAGACAATGGCAAAAACTTGGTTTACGAAGCTGAGAGTAAAAACTTTAAAATTGAACAGCCATGCTATTGACAAGGTGAAAGCTGGCAAGTGGGCGGTTGACACTCAAGGACATGCTGGGCGACAACAGAGGACATCAAGTGAGGAGGCAGAATACTGACAAAATGGAGAATACGGAGAATTCGTGGAGTTTCTGGACTTGACCATAAAAGGACTTTAAATCTTACATTAAAGAAATTAGGTGTTTCCTTTTTTATATCTTTTAATAATTATTAAAGATTAAATCTTAATAACTTAAAACGACCTGGTACTTAACACGTTTACTTTGACTTGTTTATGTAACATAAAAAGAAGAAAAGAAAGGAAAAAAGCCATAGCAATTGAGGTTAGAAGCTGTCATTTTTAAGGCCATATTAAATTATTGTCTTACAGGAGTTAATTCTTTATATATATTTCCCGCCCCTTTAGCTTTTTTTGCTTAGGGCATATAAGAGATCCACTGCCTTTATAATTATAAATATGTTAATTTTCGTTCTTCTTATATTTTATTTTCTACCTATGGCTTCCTGTTTTGATATCCAGGGCATTTAATGAAAATGGTCAGTCTCCCTTGCCTCTACGGTTACGCCGGTAAACTTTAGAACATGAGACCATGGAGTGATATAAAGTTCTCTTGTTTTAATTGCCGATTTACTTAGTTTAAGGAAAATGTCCTTGATTAGCACCTGTCTTGACTTTCAGTACGATCATACAGACGATATATTTTATAGACTTACTACCTGCATCTATGCCGCTTGTAGTTTCTGTCTACTACTTTCTAGATCCAGTATAGAGACAAACTCTTTTAGAGTGGTAGCTTAAAGCTCTGTTTTAAGTCGGAGCCGCGGTTTCACGCGATATGACACATTATTAACTTTACTCGAAGTTAGTGTTGGACATTACTTAACAATTTTCTGCCCTCTCAACTTAATAAAGCGGCCAACTTTGTAAAGTCAGGCTCACCCAGACCTGTTGCAGCATCCCACCCTGCGAGGGCCTCCCAACCTGTTTCAAAAAAGTTACCATCCGCACAACCACCCGTTTCACTACCATCTTTGACATCACGGAAGACTGAGCTCGCCTTTGAAGAGTACAGCAAAGGGTTGAGAAATCCTAATACAGGTTTCTTCGCCCTCAGACGCTTGTCGTTGACAAGTGCAATCATGGCTGCAAACACAGGTGCAGACGCGCTCGTGCCGCTGTGGATCGAAGCTTGGCCTCCGGTCAGCGTCAGATAATTATCGCCTAAAAGACTGACGTCTGGCTGTGCACGGCCGCTGACGTTGTAAAAGCCCTTGTGCTTGCCTTTCAAGGCTTTGATGTAACCTGACACAGCTTTGTCTTGCCAAGAAGCACGTTTGAAAACATTTGACATGCCCCCAGAGCTATACGAAGCCGCACCGCCATAGTCCGCCGTGGCGCCTACAGAGGTCATCCAAGGGCAGCTCGAGGGGAATGTTGGTACAAAGAGCCTCTTCTTACCAGACACTCCAAGGCAGGTATTATCGCCACCCGCTCCAGCCGCTCCTCCATCTCCAGAAGATCCAATGATAGAGATTCCGCGAGCAGCAGCTTTTGCAAAAAGATCGCAAACATGTGTCGCATAAGCAACCGGTACGTTCTTCTCGTCATCGTTGTAAGATATGGATATAACTTTGGGAGGGTCTTTTAAACCGAGTATATACTCGAAGAACTCGGCATATGGCTCGTTGTCGTCTGGTGAGATCGGCTTATTCGGGGCTTGGCCGATCTTTGGCGCGTGGCCACCTACTGAGTAGAAGGTAACAGGGAGCGGACCCGTGAAGGCCATTGAGTAGTCCAGGTCAAGTTCAGCCTCGACTGTGAGCGAGCCTCCGTCTGCTGGAGGTTTGAGGGTACCCTTGTTGACAGAAACGACGTTGATTGGAGGGATGGACATCTGATTCCGTTTATCATATTTGGTCAGGAAGGCTTTGACGTCTGTTACGTTGGGGAAGTTATTCAGAAAACCAGCTATGGCAATTGTGCTGCCCGACTTGCCGTCAGCTGGATTGTAATGAATATTGTATTGCGTGCGCAGCTGAGATGGACACACGCTGTTCGAACAATTGCTGGGTCCAGTAGGTACATGCTGTCTTTTTTGTATCATTTTGGGGCTGGTTTCCAATCGGAAGAAATGTACTGTTGGATATATGTAACTGATCGCGTCCTTCTGCGTGCTTGGAATGCTATACCCGGTAGTCCGAATCACAGTCCGGTCGGTAGCCTTGTGTCGAAATTGGTAAAACGTGGTGTTCAGAACCCGGTTCCAGTCAGCGACAGCTGTTGTGACATCGACGTGATGGGGACTTGTCGTGTAGTTGGATAACCCCTCGTCTTGGAGCCAGCCCGCCACCTTTTTAGAAACGAGATCCTTGTCGGGCAAAATCGCTCTCAACTCATGCGCTCCCAAATAACGGCCGTACTGATTGGAAGCGGGGTCGGACACCTGCTTGGCCACTTTGAGATAGGGCTTTTCCAGCTCCGCGAGATGAAGTCGCAAAGACAGTAGCTCATTTTGAGGTGCCGCTTTCAGCTGCACATAGTCACTGGGAGGCTGCTGAATGGATTCGTGACGGCGAGCATCGCAAAATGGGGAGAGAAGCAGCGAGCAAACGAAGTAACTGCACCGCATGTTGGGCAAGATGGAGCTATCGATGTATGAAGAGCTCTAGCTACTATGAGGACATGGCATCTAGTTATAATAATAACTCGAATATTGTCACAGGTACAGAGTGGACCATCAATCATATGACGGTATGTTTGAGAGGCCAATTGCAATCAATGCATACGAAAATGCCGAGCCACGTCGGGATAGCGTGCTCTTCGTATAGACAACTCGCGTAGACATGATTGGTCTAGAATATCACCGATTGTTTCGTGGCGAAAGATAGAGCCTTTCAAAGTTCCTGTCCAGTAGCGCGGATGATATAATGACCGACATGAGCTTGAGGAATGTATGGCATATCACGCTGATCTTGTTGCCGAATAACCGAAGAATGTTCGACTGGGCAAGGATAATACGAGTTCTTCCCGCGGCTAAACCCTGTCCGTCATGGAAAGACTATCTAACTATGTACAAGGGTCGATTATTATCGGCCTAACTGATGTCTCAAAAGCTTTAGCGCAATTTTAGCCTATGTATCTACGGATACTCCGTAGATTCCAAATACGAGAGATCGGCAAATACTGTACCGCTAAAATGATTCTGGCCTGGTATTTGACGAAAATGGAAAACATCCGTGCCACAGGGGCTCTACTAACTGACCGAAAAGTATATTTTATGATACGGTCTAGACGGTTTATTTTTATCACTGATGCCTATCCCTCGCATAGAGTGTGCAATATTTAAATTCTATAAGAACCATATGCTTTGTGCCTCAATCATACCTGGTATACAAGCATTACAAGTTATCAGCCGCAATGTTACTCACGATCAGTCTCCTCTCGATCGCTTCTCTGCAGGGTGTAGCTGTTACTGCTGCACCATCACAGCCGCAACCTCCCATCATTCCCATTTCATTTAGCTACGGCGGCTATCCTCGGTGAGTCATGCTTGTCTCCCCTCAACCTTGGAGCCGCGCAGAAACTGATGGTTGCAACTTAGTGTACAAGCCGATATCAGTTGGGGTACACCCGGACAATCTCCTGTGCCCACAATCTTTGACACCGGCTCCCCCAGCTTCTGGGTTTTTGGTCCCAATTCGATCATCAATGATGGTAGCAATTACCATTACGAACAGGGTCCCTGCAACAAGACTGTCAAGAGCTTTTACAACTGGCCCAAGTCAAGTTCGCATTCTAAAGGAGGCGCTACCAAGCCTAAAGGCGGACCTTTGGGCTATGCCTATGGCGGCAACGGCAAGTTGATAACAGCACCCGCTCTCATCAACGACACATTCGGCTTCTCCAATTCAAAGTTCCCGAAATTGACCAACAACCAAGTGGCATTGGCGAATTATGCGCAGATTACTCAACTCGACGATAAATGCCAGATCTCCGAAAGTACCTTTGACCACAGCATCCTCGGTTTGGCACCACTTCCTGAGGGCTTCGCTGGACCTTCTTTCCGCGATAATTTGCGCCGTAGTGGGGAGACACGTTCCTCGTCTTTCACCATGTGGTTTGATCAACAACCCAAGTCTATCAAGTCTCCTTACCTGGGCGCAGCTGTGTTCGGTGCCGCACCTTCAACGAAGAAGTATACCGGCGAGCTTGTACGCATCAAGCAGGATTATCCGGAGCGTACCTATGTGGGTTACTATTCGGCACTACCAGAGCTGACTGCTACATCGATTCGCAAGCCGGGCAAGCCCGTCAAGATTGGTCTAGCGGATCCTTCGGTCAAGCAGTGTCTGCTTGATTCCGGTACAGGCGAGGATCGTGTGCCCTTCAGCGGAAAGGAGATCATGAAGGCAACAGGGCTTATTCAGCTGCAAAATCCGTCCGTACTTGCATATAACGGGACTTGCGAGTCCATTCCGCATACTGCCACTGTCAACTTTACCTTTGCCGGAGCTACTAAAGGGAAGGCTGTGACAATCGCTGTTCCTATTCGCAGCTACGCCCGTGGGGAATTCGACGGGTTACCTGGCTACGACGCTTCCAAGTACTGTGCTTTGAGCCTCTCGCCTGACGAGTATGGCGATTGTACCTTTGGTGCCCCCTTCTTCACAGCTGCTTATGCCGTCTTCCACGATGACAAGAAGCAGGTCGCGCTGGCGCAAGGTGGTGTTTCCACTGGAACAGCCAATGGTGTAGCTGGGATTGGTCAGCTCACACCCATCCTCCCTGGTTCGAACATTCCGGGTTCAGTTTAGATAGGTAGTTTTAGTTAAGAATTGCTTAAAAAAAGCATTAGATATATCACTCAAAATTATATAATTTTAACTACCGTAATCAACACATAGTTCCATACACGAATTTGGTACATTTAGAGCATTATTAGATGACTGGCACAGCGATATATGAACCACTTTCATTCGGAAGCTATCCAATTTTGGGCAGTGCAGGATCAAGATTTTCTCAGCTATCATTTGTCTATAAGACTCAGGTTGCTATGATGACTGTTGAAGACCAACTCCTTGCAACTTGAAACCCTCCACAAAATTCACCGGAGGAGTGTACGCCTTCCTGCCGTGCGTCAGATATGCAATGGCGGCGATGATGATAACGCCAGCCCATATTAAAGGCGCCCAGTTCGCTGAAGCAGTATCTACAGGGAGAGTCAATGGGAAGCAGCAGAGAATGACGATGAACAAGCTGTAAAGCACCGAAAACGCGTTGATGGCCAGTCCAAACCGACCCAGGCTCCACCGAGCGGAAGGCAGCTGTTCACCTTTGATGCGCTTGAGGAGTACACAACCGATGCTGATGAGGTAAGTGCTCATAATGCCGAGTGTTGAAAGCGAGACCAGAACAGTGAAAGCGACGTCGGAGCCGATCTGGATGAGGCTGAGGAGAGCAGCGCCGATGGACATGAGGTAGACGGCGTTGAAGGGCATGTGCCATTTCTTGTCCCTGTCAAACGGTCAGCAGGAGATGTATGAACCTGAAGTGAGCACTTACATATGGCCAATCCATTGAGAACCCGGAAGACCCTTATCTCTAGCAAACGCCCATGTTTCACGAGCACAAGTCGCAAGAGTCGTGATGTTGCCGAGGTAGACTAAAAGCCACAAGACGACATTGAAGAACAAATTCAGTCCTTGAGATCCGGTGCGATCGAAAAGGGCGATGAAGGGCCAGTCTGCCTCGATGATGGCGTCAAGAGGGCCAATGCAGAAGAGCATTGTGATGAGCATGATGAACCCAAAAAAGACGTTGCCAACGTATGACCACCAGATCGCCCTTGGTACAACGATCGACGCGTTCTTGACTTCTTCGGACAGATGGACGATACTGTCTGAACCGAAGCAGCACCAGAGAACATAGATCTGCGATGAGATGTATGCAAAGCCCATGTTGTCCCATCCACTCTGATCAGTAAACTGCAAGAATACATCGTGCGCATCGTTCTTGTCACAAAGGACCCAAAGAGGGATCATGACTGCGAAAAATCCCAAGAGATGACCAATCAGACTTGCTGTCTCGAGCTGCGGAAAGAAAGCAGTACCCCAAGTGTTGAACGCGATGGTGATAATAATAACAGCCCACATAATCAGCGCAATCTGCCAAGGTGTAAACGCAAAATCAGGCTTCGTAACGTTGATACACGCCTGCACTTGAAAAGCGATGGTATAGCAACTACTCGCAAAACTAGCCAGCCATCCCAGCGTCGTCATCCAGCCAGAAGCATAAGAGAGAACCTTCTGGTACTTGGGCGGTGAAAACTCGCTGACCCAATGATACTGGCCACCCGATGTAGGCGCCATAGAAGCCATCTCCGCCAAACTCGCAACAACAGCAGAATACGCCGTAGTCGTAGTGACAAAACACCAGAAAACACCAGCATATCCACCGTTCGTGAACCCCGGCGCCAGCGAAATCAGCACGAATTCCCACGTCGCCATGTAAATAGCCACAAAGCCAATTGACGACCAGAGCGAAAACGTTCGTTTAAACTGCTGTTTCTTGCCCAGGCGCTGCATGTCCAAGTGGTCCTGGTGACCATTGTGAAAGCCATCTTGGTCGAGTTCTGTTTCTTCGGGGAGGAGCTTGTTCGCTTCTTTGGAGGGACCGACGGCAGCGGAGGGGTCTGTCGATGATTTGGATGAATCGTCGGCCATTTTTTACGATTGGGAAAAGGATGAGGAGAAATTTACTACGTAGAAATTAGGTGGCGAGGACTATTTATTAGGCCCTACAGGGGAAGAGATTGAGCTTTATCCTTATCGAAGCCACCGATGGATGCCCCGCAGGTACAGATCTGTACTTTATTGCGTTATGAGCTGCTAGTGAATGTGTGCAGTTCCTTAATGTGTTTGAAGTAGTGCTAAGTACTGCTGGCCAGCCAATTTCGAGTCGGAGGCGGCCCGAAGGTCTAGATCCATTAAAATGCGTTACACTAAGATCAAATAAACGTAGATCGTCCGAAGATGCGGGTCTGCTAAGGCTGAAACTGCTATTTGAGGAAGCTGGCAAACTGTCGCGGTTTCATTGACTTTCTGTTCAGGTGAATATCGCCAATTGAAGTTTCTTTCGTAGCATTCAATGATATCTCTGTAGACCAGGCGCTGTATGGTACGCAGAGAGTATCAATGCATACTCCAATCCAACAGTTTACGCAATCTCTAACCTGGCCATATCTCTGCTCTTCACTTTCTCAATGATCCGCACCAGTGGATTATTCCTCGCCTCCTCTAGGGCTTCTCCTCTAATCTCCAGTTTTGATCCACTCATCAAACTCTTCAGATATTCTTTCACCTCCTTGCTCCTCTGCCAAGGCTGATCCTCAAATTTCAGCGCTGAATCGAACGAATCTTGTTTTGAGGAAGGACACTTGACGAACGGATCCGCGCCCTTCTCAATGAGAAACTCGACTATTTCCCAGTTTTCGTAATGAGCAGCCGTCGACAGCGCTGTACCGCCCGAGTAGGTCCTTGCATTGATCTCAGCTCCGTAATTTAAAGCCATCCCCATCAGTGGTCTCCAGTCTTCCTCAGCGCCAGGAACTGAATGGCGGTGTAATCTTTTAATAGCTCCGTGTAGTGGACGTGAGTATTGTGGATGAGCGCCATACTCAAGAAGCATCTGCACCACAATCATTGGGCTCTTTTCAACTGAGAGGTCGAGTGCGAGTCCTGATGTACGGTCCATTGGTGGCGTGGCTTTCTCCCCCCAGTCATGTAGCCTTCCGTCCTTGAATGGGGCAAGGTCTGGATCTGCGCCATGTTCAAGGAGAAAACGAGTGATATCCACGTCTTGAACACAGTGGTTTATGGCAACTCCGAAATGCCCATCGCGGCTGGGTATTTGCTGATTGGGGTGATAACCATGCCGGACGCAGATTTCGAACAGCGGGAGGGAAAGGTTATCGCAAGCTTCTCTCACCACTTCACCGTTCAGAGGAGTCCATCTCTCATCGAGCAGATATCGCACTACTTCAATCTGATTCGCCCTCGCTGCGTAAACCAACCCGTCTTGGAGACCCAGCTGTTGAAGCTCTTCTATGTGTTCCCCATCTTCCGTCCAAGCCTTGACCTCATCAAGCAAGCCTTTATCGCAAGCCACCATGAAGGGCCTAACACTCTCGTTACTGTGGTTTTCCGCTCTCTTGAATAGTACACTTGTGCTACATCCTGGAAGAGGAGGTGGCAGAGGAGGAAGGTTGAGATGCTCGAAGTAGCTGTATATAATAAGCCTCAGCGGTTCTTTGGATGCATCGCTCCTAGCCGCGTCTCTGTCCATGATATCCTCGTAGGCTTGGGCGTCTATTTGACTCCAATCCCGGGAGTGGCGCGCACGTAGTTGTTTGAGTTGTGCTTCATCTTCTTTGTTTCGCTTGAATAACTCAGGCTGGTATGGAGGGATACTGGCAGGTCTAGGTACGGGAGGAGTGTCTCTCGAACCGAACCGGATATAAAAGTATAGAGCCGGTTTACGGCCAGAACGACGCATATGGCGATTGGTGTATGTCATCTTTGAGGGTATTTAGGCTCGGGTTGATAGGGTCTGAATTGTAGCATGCGTTTCCATTTTGCCGAGGAATCAGCTCATGGAGTTGGTGTTGACACCTCAGGCGTCATATTCGTTGGTTGCCTAAAGCACGTCCCATGCTGTATCATGTATATTGCTATTATCCACGTTGGCCCCCAATTGATTATTGTGTAACTACACTAGCTGTAATTTTGCCGACAGAGAAGCAATCGCCGCATGCTGTGCCTTAGATATCCATCCTCTTTGCTGGGGCGAACTGGAATCGGAGCATTTGCCCCAGGTCCACTACAACTACAATCGTTGACGCTAAGACTCGATGAATGTTTCACATGGCACGAATCAACGATCGGATAGTACGGCCGGATCATTCGGTGCATCTCGTTCATAAACGGCCCTTTACCACGAAACGGCATGATCTTGACTTTTTGTTCTCCCAGGGTCCAATGTATCTGAGGTTCTAGATGCATTACGCAAACATGGGAGGCAAGATCCAATAAGGTAGCATCGAGCACCTTGGCCATACCCTACTTGTAAGCTGAATGGACCGATAATCTGGTACTTTGCGGGGCTAATGCTAAGCGCACCAGTCCATGACACGACCAAGCATGCACTGAACTCCCAATCTGTCGATATTCCTGACGATCCCCTGGCAAGTATAAACTCAAATAGACTATTTTCTCACTAACATGAACACAATACTACAGGATAATTCTGGATAATACAAGTTCCATTTAGGCACAAATCTTACCGTGACGGGCGTCGTATTCTGCTTACGCTTGGCGGTGTGTTTTATCGCCCCCAGCTGCTTAGTTAAGAGCGCGCTGCAGCATGACAAAGAGTTTATATAGAAAACATCCAGTAAACTCTATTAAAATTGTTTTATCCGGCGGGCCAATCCTATGCCAAGAGGATACCCCGCAAACCCCGTCTTTCCAGGGGGAATAGCCTGATTTATCAAGGGGACAAACTTAGTTGAGGTCATCATCACGGCAGTTGGTATAGGAGCGAGAAAACTAGGTATAAAAGACAATGCCACGATCCACGAAGTTCCTACTCATCAGGCTTTCTTCAATCCCGTCAATCAAGCATTAGGTTCAACAGTTTGCTACGATGCAGCTCAAGTTTCTGTCTTCAGCATTGCTGTTGTCTCTGACCAGCAAGTGCGCTGCGCAAGACACTAATGATATTCCTCCTCTGATCACCGACCTCTGGTCCGCGGATCCCTCGGCTCATGTTTTCGAAGGCAAGCTTTGGGTTTACCCGTCACACGACATCGAGGCCAGTGTCGTCAACGGCACAGGAGGCGCTCAATACGCCATGAGAGATTATCATACTTACTCCATGAAGAGCATCTACGGAAAAGACCCCGTCATCGACCACGGTGTCGCTCTCTCAGTCGACGATGTTCCCTGGGCTAAGCAGCAAATGTGGGCTCCTGATGCAGCTTACAAGAACGGCAAATATTATCTCTACTTCCCCGCCAAGGATAAGGACGAGATCTTTAGAATTGGAGTTGCTGTCTCTAACAAGCCCAGCGGTCCTTTCAAGGCCGACAAGAGCTGGATCCCCGGCACATACAGTATCGATCCTGCTAGCTTTGTTGATACTGACGACGAGGCCTTCCTTATCTGGGGCGGCATCTGGGGCGGCCAGCTCCAGGCCTGGCAGGATCACAAGACCTTTAACGAGTCGTGGCTTGGCGACAAGGCTGCTCCCAACGGCACCAACGCCCTATCTCCTCAGATCGCCAAGCTGAGCAAGGACATGCACAAGATCACCGAAACACCCCGCGATCTCGTCATCCTCGCTCCCGAGACAGGCAAGCCTCTTCAAGCTGAGGACAACAACCGTCGATTCTTCGAGGGACCCTGGGTTCACAAGCGCGGCAAGCTGTACTATCTCATGTACTCCACTGGCGACACGCACTTCCTTGTCTACGCCACTTCCAAGAACATCTACGGTCCCTATACCTACCAGGGCAAGATTCTTGACCCTGTTGATGGGTGGACTACTCATGGAAGTATTGTTGAGTACAAGGGACAGTGGTGGCTGTTCTTTGCGGATGCGCATACCTCTGGAAAGGATTATCTTCGACAGGTTAAGGCGAGGAAGATCTGGTATGACAAGGACGGCAAAATCTTGCTTAATCGACCTAAGATTTAGACTTGCGCATGCGAGTAAACTTTCTCTTCTTCGGATTGGAGGATAGCTATGAGTAGATGTTCGTGTAAATAGCCAATATTTTGAGTGGAGTCGATTATTTCTTCTTCGACAACAAGACTAGTCTCTAACTCTGCGTGTCTTACTCCTATCTCTGCAGTGATTTCCAGTGTCTGACTAAATGGTCCGCAAAAGGCCCTGACCTTTTATAATTCCTCTTCCCATTCTCGCTACAGAACGGGCAGTTGTAATAGTTATCTCTGTCCCTGAAACCAGCCAGAGTAAACGGCATGTCCCCGGCAGCGAGGATCCTCTCGAGATACTCTGCTAAAGACGTTGGGATCTCATGAAATGTAGTTCCCGCCTTTTTGTCACTCGGTATCCGACACATACCGTTGTTCTTATCCACGTTGCCAGGAGTTGTCATGTTGTTAGTGGGATGCGACTTTGAACTCGGCGCTGCCTTCTCGTGAGGATTTGGATCATAGTGGATCGGCTGGAATGGATCGATACTTTTATCTGAGGCTGGGTAGGAGACCTGGCTTGCTCGTCGACTACTCTGGGGCGTATGAAAGACAGGCGACTCGGCTATGTCGTCGCCAAATGATATGATTGGGGGGAGAACCCTTGGAGACTCTGAGCGGTTGCTTCGGGTTTTCGGAGAGGTCGTGAAAGGAGAATAGTAACCATCGTGTGCGGTTCTTTGATGGCTTGGTGGCAAGTAAGATATATATCTTGGATGCGACAGATTGATATTGTCTGCAGAGGCACGTCGGAGAGGCGGTAGACAAAGAGCATCCCGAAGTCTCTCCGCCTGGTTCTGGACATCCATTTCTTGTACCGATGGAGGCGAAGATGAGGTCCCAGGTGTCGGCCTCAATGAAACAACTTGATTTTCATTCCTTATATCATCCTTCTCGGATATAGGGGCCCAAGGCGCATTCTTCTGTTGCTACAAAACCCATTAGCATGAGAGGCTCTGTATGTGGGGCCTGAGCACTGACCAAATGGCGGTAAATGCTCGTCTTCTCTATCAACTTGGTGCCCTCTTGCTCTGGATATACTTCAGACCATGCTTGCAATGATCTCTCAACCTGAGGTCTTCCGATTATCCCGATGATATCGTGACACATCGTGGTGATGACCGTCCGCAGTTCCTCCTCATTCTGCGCCGATTGAGCATGCGCAACATCTCCGCGGCACTTGGCGACAGCCTGCTCTATAAGCATCACCCGATCCAGCCATTCGTCGGTCGACATGTTTGCCTTTGATTACTATGAAACACGAAACATCGCATGTTTGAACGGATGGAGAGAGTCACAAGAACGAGGTTTGTGAAAATCATGTGAAGGGCGCTGTTGACAGGCCTTGGAAATTCTGCTTAGTGACTCGAAAGTCGGGCAGCGCTATTGCTTGCCGAACCTCGGAGGGCATGGACGAATGGCTGCTATGCGACTTAAATAGCGGCTGTCAAAAATTCATGATTCCGCTGTAAACTACTTAGTTCGCTCGAGGACGCGTATTCTGGTTGGCCGATGTGAGAAGGGCAGAGTATTCAGCTGACGGCGGATGCATCGGATAAACCGGATTATGACGATGAAAGGTGATATGTAAGCATAAAGTCTTTATTATATCTCATACTGAGATAGCCAGTGGCATCTTGAGCATTACGACAAGAACATTCAGCGTTACTAGATGTCTTCTGTGCTGAGATGAACATCAAGCATAAATTGTTGCTTTATCGGACTATTTAACTAGACTACCCGGTACTACGGCAGTGTAGGTTTCGAAAAGGTATGACCTCATAAGGATCCCGATACATCTTTCCATAACAAAGAGCTTGAAACTAAAGGAAACAAAGAGTTGATGCCATCGAGTGTTCAAAGATAGCAGTTTAAAGTAAAATAGTAAGAACGGTAACAAGACCCCGAGATCCCGCGGGATCTTGATATCATTCACCGAGATTACGGACTCCCACTAAGATAGGCGAACACGAGTAGTGGAGTTAACTCCCTAGAGGGGAAGAAGCAGCCACCAATCAGAGCCTCATGAATGTGTCACATCAGATTCCGCTTTCGCGGAACGAGATCCGGTGGCAGGTAAAGGACGAATTGTGGCTAGTTTTATTCGCGCCTTGAGGCCAAGCAGGCCGAGAACGGAGAAAACTCAGTAAAAATTACAAAGCAACAATCTGAACATTTCGATTTTCAAAGAATAAGCCACAGATCAGTGTAGCTATATTCAGGATGAGTAAGTGTAATTCACATTTGCGCAGAGACAATAGGTGCCATGTGTACGAGACGACTGGATAGGGTTACAGCTTGGGGCATGTTAAGGAGTACATAGGGTAGCGGGCAAACAATGAATGTCTGTAAGTAGTCCTTAACGGCGCTGGTTTTACCAGAGACATTTGCAAATGCCTAGCCGCAATTGAGGAGCGGGGTTCATCGTGGCTGGCTGTACTATCTGCCCGAGATTGGTCTGGACCAAACACTAGTGTGAAGGGCTGAGCAAACTATTGAACAATGGACGCCATGTCTCTCACTATGCACAGAAAGACTGCAGTCATAGGCTGGTAAAGTTCGATAGCTGCCGTAAGCTCCCTATAGTCAGACGCCCGCCTATGTATGTTTCTAAGGACGTGTTGCGAACTATAGTAGACTACATAAATGTCGCCAGCTGAGCTCCTATTGACAGTCCACACTGTTGATCATGAGGAACTTCGTCGCCTCTCTATGAACCTGCCTTTCAGGTATAAAAAGCGGTTGTATTTCCCTTGTTCATTTCTTCGGGTCATAGAAGACTTCTTCATTGCAGTTCCCTCTTTCCAAAGTTACAAATCTTTGCCACAATGACAAACTATTCTCTGCTAGTCAAGGTTCCAGGGCAAGGGGCCCTACAGCAACTTGCACAGCAAGGCAACAGGCTCTGCTTGGGTTTCGGAGTAGGAAATGACCAACCCAATGTCATTGCATCAAGCTCAGGTAGGCTTGCCTGCTCCTCTATCTGAGCCCACGCTAACGATTGCAACCAAGACCTTGCGCCTAATATCATAACCGAGTGGAGTGATGACTATGCCATTGCTGCCAGTCAATCCAACTTCATGCAAGGAGGTATGCAGACCCTGGAAATGATAGCTCAAAGGTCAATTGCTAACCAATTCTTCAGCCCGGGTTGAGGCGTCGACTGAACCCGAGTCCATCAGTCCTGGCCAGACCTACACCTTGAACCCAGATTTCACAGGCAGTGTCGGTGGTGGTGGACCTCAAGGGGGTTTCCGCTTCAACAACAAGGCGGACAGGGCCTCCCCCATTCTCTACCGAGCGATGGGATACGAGAGGGCTCCCATCTACGTCGGCTCCTCGCAACTCCCCAGAGGCGCCAGTCAGGTTATCAACCCCGGTAACAAAGTCACCGTATGGTTTCAGAGCGAAGGCTACACTGGAACCATGGTCGATGGGATTTATGCACAGAGCTTTGAAATTGACATGTCGGAAAGGACTAACGCCACAGTCATCTTCACTGATGACTTTAGGTGGTCGCTGGAGGAGTAAATACGATGGTGGGCTGGGGCTTTCTAGCAATTGTGAATATATTGGGATAATGAAAGACATATTTTGTCATTAGTTAACTGCTTCTTTCAAGTGAGAGCTCAAGTGAAGCCATGCCATCGTTACATCGGGGTAATAATTGTCGTATTCACGGGGAAATACAAGGAATATCGACTGTGTGAGCGGACAAATAACCCTCCGAAGTCGTTGACGTCATAGCTGAACCGGCCCGCGTCGGTCATTCATACGCGCCGTCCCGCGTCACAAAGGGATAACTTCTTCAAAACGGCAAATAAATTAATTATTATATATAATGTCAATAGTAGGCTCTCAATAGTTCTAGCAGCATCAAAAAATTCCACTCAACCGAACATACAATTCGCATTTGTCATTCATCACTGCTCAAATACATCACATTCTCGAAATGCGTGAAATCCAGGAATCGATCACAATTGAAGCGCCTCCATCACAAGTATGGCGAGTGTTAATGGACTTAAAGTCTTGGCCAAAGTGGAACACCTTTGTCACATCAATCGAAGTACAAGCTCCGCATAATGAACTCGCCGTTGGAAGCAAACAGACCATCACCATCGACAAAACCCAGTCGTACACCAATGTAGTATCGGTATTACAGCCTGAAAAAGAACTTCGATGGAACGGCAGTATCTTGACACCGATAATATTTGACACGGAGCATTGGTGTTGCCTGGAAGCTGTCGAGGAAGGACGATCGACACGATTTACGCAAGGAGAGCGCTTTTCTGGCATCCTGGCACCAATAGCTGCTGCGGCAGGAAAGCTGAACGAACTACAGGAGGGATACGTAAGGATGAATCGCGACCTGAAGAAAGTTGTTGAAGAGAGCAAATAGATTTGGGTCTGTAAGAGTTAATAGATCTCTACAGTTACTGTGGCCTTGTTTCGAGAGCGGATCGTCATTTTTCTTGCTACTTGTTGTCTTGGCGATGCATGTTGGTGGAGGGCCTCAATATGAGGTAAGGCAGAAATGGATGTTACACAAATCAGCCGCAGCGTTTAAAGACATCCTGTTATTGGCCATAAGCTCAACGCACATCAAACAAAAGTCCCAGAGCCTGATTTCTCAGCGCGATCAAATTGCGCGAATATGATCTGACTTTGCTCGACCATTATTCTCTAGCTCAGCTAGAACTAACCGCTTCCAAATCTACCGATATATTACCTACGACGCTTAACCCACCTGGAACGGATAGTGCTTGACAGAGACCGATAATAAGATCCTTCCAGCCAACGCTTCCCTGTTGCCATGATTCCCAGCCAGACGCTGCCGTGGTCCCTGGCCATCACTCTGTTGTTCATTCCAGGATGTTTGGCCACAGAATTCGGCGATGACTTCGCCAATAACCTATTCACAGACTTGGCGCCGTGAGTCAACAATCCAGGCCAGACCTATGATACTAATTTTCGCTCAAGACTCATTGCCCTCTTCGGAGAAAGAGTTACTATGCAGTACATGAGCCAGGCCACGGGTTGGGCTGATAGCTTTACTCTCGCGATGGCCCCGCTTGGAATCCTCACCATCATTGTCAGTGCTATTAGAGTTGGGGGGCCGTCGTGGTTGAAGGCGATTATCGGCAGAGCCAGGGAAAACCTGGCAGCCGCCGAGGTCGAGCTGATGTCTTCAACTTCTCGAGACGTGTGTGAGCTATGGAATGGCTCTGAGATTGTCCGCAGCCTTGGATCGCCTCCAGTAAGAGAATTCATTCTTCTGCTGCCCAAATCTCGGGAATCTCGGGAAGATACCTCTCCCAGTAATGGATTGTTTGAGTTCGAGTGCAAAACCATTAAAGAGGCTGAGCACGATGGTTACTTGACTACGAGTACGTATACGCCGACATGTTGAAGAAGGGAGTTAACTTGTAGATAAGGTAGGGGAAGTGGAGATTCTGAAAAAGGAACGAGTGCGCATAGTTCAGGCAGAAGTGAGTACTCATCATGCCAAAACCAGGCCAATTGAAGTTTGGTGAACACTACTGATCCTGAAGGTTTACAAGAGATCGAACTCAGGGAATTGAACAGATCAAACAAAGTCATCATCATCTATAACGAGTCAACCTCTGCACCCAACATATCGCTCAACGTTCATCCTCAAAAGCGGCACGAAGTGCGAATGGCTGCTATACTAGGCACCCTCCTCCAAGTGGGAGTTTTGATCTATGCTGGGTTCGCAACATATTATTATACCTTGAGATTCCCAAAGGAGGAGAATAAACCCGTATCAAACTACGCGTTTCCATGCACAGCGAGTGGCACAATCTTCTTGGTAACCGGACTACTGCTCTGTGCCGACGTAGTTGAGAAAAGAACTGCAGAGGTGCATCGAAAGCCACGGACCGGCTATAAGGCCTACGCAATTTGGGTGCAACGCGAAGCGACCGTCGGAGATCAGGTCTTCAGATCTTTCGGAATTCTCTCTGATGCACATAGAAAGGAGATCATAACATCACGCCGTGATAATGATATCAAGAAAGATTTCGAGGCCTCGTTCGTCGATAGAGCTGTTCAACTCGTCTGCTACGTGCCATTGCAGATCCTGGAGTTACTTAAAAAGGTGTCCGGCAAGAAGACGACGCCTGCTTCGACCCAGAACACAGTACGATCATCTAAAACATCACTCGGGGCATTTCTCAGCATTTCTGGGTACGTCATACAATTCGTGGGATTGCGAGACATGCATTGGTCTGTTTCTATTGTCCAGTTGGGAGCAGTCATATCGATGACTGCTGCTCGAGCTGCCATTCGCCGGGGACTTGCGACCTCCCCGAGCGTCCAGTCTCTAGTCCAAAACTTCGAGCTAGAGTGGCTTGCATCTACCATTGTTAGCACGGATGGCAGACGTTGGGAAGTACCTAAAGCCGACAGTCCACCCTGGACAAATTGGGTCGTTTTAGCCAATGAAGACGTAAAGCTTGACTCCACGAATGACGCAAGAGGCAGCACGGAAGTTCACGCTCATTCAAGTAACGAAGAGCATCAAGATGGAAGCCAAGAGGGCGATGTCGATGGTACTGATGAGGCAAACGATGAGGACAGCGAAGACGACAGTGAAGACGGCAGCGAAAACAATAGTGAAGACAGTAGAGAACACGATAGCGAAGACGGCAGTGAAGACGGCAGCGGGGAGGACTGTGAAGACAAGATTGATAAAGACAATGACGAAGAAGAGAATGAAGAAAAGGGAAAGAATGCAGAGGAGAGCGGCGTCGAAACAAGTAGCGATATCGGTACTCACAGCGATGGACTTAGCGACGTCGGCACCAATAGTCGTGGATACCTCAGGTCGAATGTTGTTATTGAAGCGGCACATGATAATCAAGAAGGGAGCGCGAATGAGCGCAGCGATGAGCATCCCATGAGCAAGGTCTATTCCGAGGCTCAAACAATCATGACTTTGCGGTCTCACTTTGCCAAATTAACTGGCTGGAGAAGTCCAGTATTCACCGAGGCGAATTCTCTATCAAGGGCTATCGAAGTGGTTATGAATACGCTATTCTTCAAATCCGAGCTCACGCAGTTCAACTGGCCGTTGCGAGCTATATACAACGAACGAGAGCCTCAAATTATCAACGTCTCCGTGGACCTAGTCAACGGAAATTGGAAAGTTAGCCGCCACGATATGGAAGCGATTTTGTCGCTATGGATATTCTCCATGACGAACGTTGCTACAGATGGACATGCCTCCCGAGAAATCGACGCCACTACAAACGGACCAGGAGTGCACCTGTTAGGCGCAGACACACCGCAGCTACGGCGTGACATCAGGTGGTGGATACCTCAAGACCTCAGGAAAGTAATTATTGTTCGAGAAAGCCCCAAAGGTTCTTTAGTAGTGGAAAAGTCTCTTGTTGTTGGTTGCGGAAGAGCCACTAAACCTAAGGTGAAGCTGGAGCGAATCGAACTAAACGATGACGACAATAATCCTCCCTAGGGCAAGGCCGTAGAGAAAGGGCTTTTGGCAGTGGAATCGTTCCAACCACCAGCAGCTCTGTTTTCTCTCAGTCTTTTGTCTTCATTCCTGAGTGCGGCGGCAAAAACGATGAATGAACCCGTTGAAGGCCAGGCAGAAGTAAATCCGAATGACAGCAGAAACCTTAGTTCTTGGACATCATTTACTCTACACCATGCATCATTATCGAAAATGGCCGCCGAAGTTCAAAGTACCGGACTCGCGACTCTCAGTGAAGCTTACTCGGTGATTATTCGGTCTCTCAGCATCGAAAATAAACTTCCACGGGTCGACAACATCATTGAAGTAGCTCGAGAACATGCAAGGCCATATGAAGAAAGAAATGATATGAGGAGGGCGACAGAAGTCTACCTGTGGCTGATCAGGACAGCAAACCTTTTCCCTTCCGACACAGCGTTTGTTCATAAATCTATGGCGGTGATACTCGAGCATCTAGGTCAGCTCATGGAGTACATCAAACTCTCAAGTCGACTGAAACCGGAAGCTCTTCGACGCAAGCATTTCGAAGACGAAGTTATGGCAGAAATCAATGCCTTACCGCAACAGATCGAGAGTGAGCTGCAGCTGGACAAGGTAGAAAGTAGAAACACATTTGTCCACTTGATGAGGATATACCATAAACAGGATCGTCTTTGCATATTTCCTTCTCGGCTTATCAGGATTGCACAGCAGGATCCTACCTTTCCTCAACGAAGGCGGCCGATCCCATACAGGTTTATTAACGAGGATGAAGAGCTTGCTGAAATGGAGGCTGTAACTGGATGGACAAAGCTGCATTGGGACGCCGCTAAAGATAACAGACAATCACTTCGTCATCAGATGGAGAAAGATTTTGACCCGGACACACGCGACCTTCTTGGGCATACAGCACTCCATCTAGCCTGCCAGGGGAGATGGTCTCTAGTAGCAATACTTCTTGCTAGAAACGGCGCGGATATTGATGCCAGAGCCAGAAATGGGTCAACGCCACTTCACTATGCAGCCAAAGGTAGCCATCTGTTGATTACTAAGTTCTTTGTTACGTATGGGGCGGAGGTTAATGTAAAAGATGCGGCAGGAATGACACCAGCTATGTGGGCCGCTCTCGAGGGATGCAAGGATGTTCTAAAGTGTCTGCTGAGGTATTCGAATCTGAACCTGAGAGATAGTGGCGGCAGGGCAATTCTTCATCACGCAGTGCTATCCGGATGCTCTGGTATTGTCGATGTTTTTGAATAAGGGGTAGACACTGAAGTTTGAGACCAAGAAGGTCAGACGCCTCTGCACCTGGCAGCGTTTATTGGAAAAGATGACGCACTCTCGACTCTTACTAAGAAGCTGAGAGCCAACATGAATGCCAAAGACGGACATGGGAATCATTTGCTGCATCTCGCGGCTCTCGGCGGCCAGATTGACATGATGAATCGACTGATCAGCGAATTTAATGCGAATATCGATTGCGGAGATCAGAATCAGGAGACCCCGCTACATATAGCCGTGCAGAGAAGTAAAGGCACTGTCATAGAAGCTGTGATAAAAATGAAACCAAATCTGGAGGCCAGAAATAGGAACGGGGAAACTCCTTTGATGGTTGCCTGTAAGCTGGGAAAGATCGAGATTATGAAGCGTTTGGTCGATGCTGGAGCCGACAGGCACACCACAGACAACGATACAAACTCTATCCTAATTGAAGCTGTCTTGGCAGGCCACAAAAGGATTGTTGGATATGCCTTGAACATAGGAGTCGATAAGGACCATCAGCGAGTCGGTGGTTTGGCTGCCTTGCATATCGCAGCAAAGGACGGAAAGAGTCGTATTGTTCAGATGCTTATCAATGGAAATGCTGCCAACGACAAGTCGGGCTATTACGGAATGACGCCGCTGCATTACGCTGCACAACAAGCTCATAGTACAGTTGTCGAAGTGCTACTCAATGCAGGAGTTGATATCAAAGGCAAGGATTATTGGGGCAGGACCCCGGTGCATCATGCAGCCAGTGGAACCTCGAGACCAAAGAATTCGGCTAGAGAAAGGACAGTGAGGCTTCTCTTAGAGGGAGGTGCAGAAAAGCAATGCGTCAATGACGAAGGCAAGACGGCACGAGAATTGGCAGAGGAAAAGGGCAATCAAAGAGTCGTAGAAATATTAGATATAGGCTAGAAGAAAAAATCATGGACTGCATATTTAAGCATCATGTAATTCAGGAACGGAAAGTGACAGGCATTCTTGTGAAGTCTAAGTAGAAAGACTTAAGTGAATTTCAATGACAGTTATGTATCATGAGAGAGGTTAGATAGAGTAATGCCCTGCATCAAAGAGAAGGGAGACAGATCGATGTCAGGCTTTTCTCCTTGCATTAGCTGACTCATGACTCGCCCACTACCCATTCCTAGGGTCAATCCCCAATCGGACTGTTCTGGTGGAGGCAGCGTCGCATTGAAATTCCTTCGTCCACAAACCCAGATGGTACCGTCGTTCCGGCCGGCAAATTCGAACTTTTCTCCAATAAGTGGCTCGAATGAAATAAATGCCATACTCTCAAAATTTGTCAGTAAAGGATTCTTGCAGATGATCCAGTCTCCTGCATCTGTATTCAATTGGGGGCGGAGACGTGCGGAGGGGAACAGTCGCTCACAGACGGTTGGTGTCCATGGGCCGCAGGCCAGGAGTAGCTGCTTGCATCCGACATTTGTATTCTGCTGACGGGATATCTTCAAAGTTATGGCTTGTACCTCACTCAAGGTAGATAAACGAACCCCGAGGACCTCCGAGTTTGTCATGATTTTGACGTCTCTCGCGAGGCACTGATCTGTTAGCCATTTGCCTAGACCCTTCGGATTCCTTTCAAACACGATCAGCAGCTGAACTTTAGCACATTGGATTCGGATCTTGGAAATACGCACACTGTAGCTGTATTGTTCCCCAGAACCTGATCGTCAATATCCCAGCCTGCCTCTGTCTTGATCCAGTTGGGAAGTTTATCGAGGCCCTTGCCGTCACCTTGACAAATGCCGTAGGAGGAGTTCGCGCGGTACCCCGTAGCAAGTCTGAAATCGGCAGTCTGTGCCTCCTGCGCCCATAGATCGAAAGAGTATTGTCCAAGTGGTGCGAGTACCTTGCCCGTCGGGCCAGGAAAGTGGTAGTGAAAGCAACCTGTGCAAGCGGACGAAGCAGCAGCGAATGGTCTGTCGCCAGCCTCAACGACGATGATCTTCGGTTTGCGGTCCTGGTTCTCGAATGACTTGGACAATTGGTATGCAGTGCAAAGTCCAATGCAACCGGCTCCGATGACAACGATAGCGTTGTTGTCCTCCATTATGATTGAGTTTGTATGATAGGTGCAGATCTGCTTCTTTGTTATGATATAGGCACATTGTGGCGGATAGTTTTACGGCTAGTAGGTTTTCTCGCATACGATCAACGGAAAATATTGGTTATGTGCATATATGAGGTAAATAGGCACTCGATCTTGTGCACAAATGTGAAGTTGGATCCTAACCATATTTTCGGAGTGAATGAGGTACCAAGATTAATTGCACTTCTTGTAACTATACATGACGCAAAACTCTGACACCAACTCAATTGTTTACCGCCCCTAATCGCCTAATCTGATTGGTGTACTAGAGCTATTCCATTATCAGTTCATTTTTCTTGACGCAGAGAGAAAGACGTACCGTTTAGGCAGGGGTGCCTGTCAAAGGCATGCGGTGCAGAGCCCAATACAACCCGCCCCGACAACGACGATCACTTCTTTGTCCTGCATTCTGATCATTTATTTTGTGTCTCGTTGGGGATGCATTTTTCGCTGTCCCACTTAACTATACTGATTGCTGGCCGCCTGCCTAGGGCCTTATCGCCTAAACTACCCCGCCCGCTGGGGGCATGCAGCAGAAATCTGGCGCTAAATTTTGGTGATGATGCACCAAATGGTCTCGATCGTTTTTACTCCCGCACGCTAGGCCGTACACTGTGATTGTTATGCTGTCACTTATGAGACCTGGGTTGCCAATTCATAACATGATCATTATTCGCATAGATCTCTCTTTTGATTCTGGAGCTACGGAAGGCGTCAGTGGCTACGTCATCACTATCACGTGAGAGTTAGCTTGTCTTACCGTCCGTAACACACGCTTGAGTTAGGTAGGCTACAAACATCCTCAACTACCTACATAACATAAGCAATGGCCCCCTCAGAGGCATCACCTCTAATCTCATCAGCCATTCAGCAATCTGCGACACCCGAGGCACACATAGCGCAATCTCGTCGCCGAACTATCCTCCTACTGCTTCTATACCTCGTGTTCCTCGATCTCGGATACGAGCTTATCATGCCGGCACAGACTCGGGTCTTGGAACGCATATACTGCCGAATTTACTATGACGATCATGATTATGGGCTACACGGAGGCGACGCGAACGGAGGGATTGATGAACGGCTATGCAAGGTTGGCGTAATACAGAGCGAGGTCGCTATGCTAAAAGGCTGGCAAGTTACTCTTGACAGCATCGGCAGTGAGTTCTTTACCAGATTCATCCTGAGTGGCGGAAAGGGCTGTTTGAGATAATAGTCATAGTTTTACTAATGCTGTAACATAGTGCTTGTATTCTCTGTTCCTTGGGCGCACGTTGCGGATGTCCGTGGTCGAAAACCGGTCTTGCTGTTGCTCACCTCTGCACTGTTTGCGAAATACGCCTTTGTTCAACTCGTTTGCTTCTTTGATGGCGCCATTCCCCTCCGATGGTCATGGTTTTCGGCCTTGCACACCGTGTTCGGTGGCAGTGTCACCGTTGCCACAGCGTTAATATATACCATCATATCTGACGTGGTCCCAGAAAATGATAGGTATGTCCTGTTTCAGTGTCACCAAGTGATGAGCTAACAAGAAAATCCAGAACATCAGTTTTCTTCCAGGTGATGGCCGCGATGATCGTTACACAGTTCCTTGGTCCGCTCATAAGCGCAGCACTAATGGTCTGGAGCCCTTGGCTACCAATGGTCCTTGGCCTGGGTGCTGAACAGATGAGTATATTGACCCTCTGCCTTATCCCAGAGACTCTCAATAACAGTGAATCTGGCTCCTTGGAGCCTCAACCCTCTCCATCTCCAGACTCTGATGCTGGGGAAGAACCTGCTTTTTGGAGTAGACTGATTTTACGCACCAAGAACTCAGTCTCGTTCATGACGTCGGATACACGAATTCTGGTCGCAGCGTCCGCCTTTAGTCTTCACATGTTGTTTCTGAATAGAGACATCTTGCTCCAGTACATCTCAGCACGTTACGACATATCTCTCTCAGCGGCTACACTTTTCATTTTAATCCGCTCTGGCCTTCTTATTTTTCTATGTCTTTTTATCCTTCCCAGAATTAGTCGAAATTATCATGGTCGAATAGGCTCGCTACAGGCAGACCGCATTCTTGCATGCATCAGCGCGGCTCTCCTCGCTTTGGGCTTCTTGGGGTTGAGTATGGCGCCCGACTTGGTGGCGCTATCGGTCTGTTTAGCAGTCAACTCTCTCGGCTGGGGCCTGTTCGCCTTCCTGAGAAGTTTCTTAACTAATCTTGCTGGTAAAAGCGAGGTTGCACGCTTGAACAGCATTATCGGGGTTTTCGACACTTTGGGGTTGATGGTTGGAAGCCCGTTGCTTGCAGAACTATTTTCGAAAGGAATTGAGATGAAAGGTTACTTATTCGGATTACCCTTTCTGTTCAGTGGATTCAGCGTCTTAGTCATAGTTCTTTTCTTATCGCAAGTCAATACTTGATTTCTTTTTTTAGATTTCTACGGAGATGCATGATCATTCCCATTTGAGACACCACTCTTAAACTTTCATTCCTAAACGGCAAATCTGATTTGTATACCAAAGCTATTCCTGTTATTAGTGCGCTATCATGAAAGTTGGAGACAGAAGACAAACCGTTTCAGCCCCCATACCAACAGCCTTGATCCCAGTGTATTTAGCCCAACTCCACGCCTCAATTTTCTTAGCATACGCCAAACTTCCATGTTCTGGTATGCTGGTGTCTAAGACCTTTTTTGGCAGAGCTGGGTCTATGACGGAGGGTCGAGCTAAACCGACAAGATCACAACTGCCTCCCTTGACAGCAGCTTCCATACCTTGGCGTGTCCGAAAGCCACCAGTCAGCATTATGGGGACATCTGGGAGCTTAGACCTGATGGCGTTTGCGAAGTCGATAAAGAAGGCTTCTCGAGCCTTGGTGCTTGCCTTCACTGTCGTGTGCAGGCCAGTGCTGAACATTGGATCCTCGATGGATCCTCCACTGACCTCCACAAAGTCAACTCCCGCATTAACAATGGCCTTGAGCTGGGTGATGAAGTCGCCCAGGTCTGTATGATCCGTTGAGTTGACTTTAATGCCAACACATGTCCCAGCTGGCACAGCCTTTCTGACAGCTTTGACAACGTCAATAACGATCTTAGCTCTCGCTAATGGAGATCCACCATACGCATCTGTTCGTTTATTCGACAGGGGCGATGAGAATTGTGCCAGTAAGTACCCATGTGCAGCATGAATCTCTACTCCAGCGAACCCGGCTTCTACCGATAGCTGTGCTGCTTCAGCGAATCTCGTTACCACGTCATCTATGTCAGATTGAGTCATCTCCTTTGGCGTTCCATATACCAATGATCTGATAAGCCATGGGAATAGACCCCTGCCGAGATCTAGAGGAATTGGACTCGGGGCTAGGCTCTTGACAAATGGTGCTTGCCGTCCAGGATGGTTGATCTGGACTATGGCTTTCGTCCCGTTGAGTGAACAGGCACTGACCCAAGACTTCCAAGCAGCAAGAGTCTTTTCTCTGGGGAGATCCCGGTTCACTGTGAAGTCACCCGGTGCACCGGGATGAGCGGGATCTATGTGCACGTTGCCTTACAAGTTATTTAGCCTGTACTGCCATTTTGGTGCGTCGAGTAAGTCTTACCACTAATGATTAATCCCCAGCCTCCTTTAGCCCATTCGCTGTATGTGGCAAGACATTGCGTGCCACCTGGAAGGCCTTCTTTGTCAGCCAATCTTTCAGCCATGGCTGCTTTAGTGAGCCGATTAGGCAAAGTGAGCCCGCATTTCAGCGTGATTGGTTGCGCGATAGCTAGTTCCATGATGAAAGTATTGTCAAGACCGACACGCAATTGGTGTCGAACTGGAAGCTGAGTAACGAACCAGTGTTGATATGAACGGAGATCAAAAGAAGTACACTTTTAAGAAAGCTCAGATACTGTATATTCACAATTGGCACTCCCTGCAGCATTGAAAACAGTTCCAACTTGTTGACTGCAGATCCGTGTGAGAATCCGTGCCCCTTCGCATGTCTAAGCAAAGTCCGGAACAGCACGTAATATCCCGCTATTCTCCGTACCCAATCAGATCCCAATCCGTCCACTTCAAGTCTTTTGTTGCAACTTCATCTCTGTATAGAAACTTCTGGGAAGGATCGTCGATGAAATTCTCCTTCAGCTTTAATGGGGAAGATGCAGATCAAATTGGTAGTGATTTATCCAGAAACAAAAAACAGCTTGGAAGTGCGAGACAGGTCTCTTATAGAACACGGGCGATCTTAGAACAGCATATTTCTATTGATCCAATGTCATATATAACTATAGGTGATATCCACAGGCGTGAGTTGAAAACGTGTTGTGCAGTGCCATTGACAAAGATATTTCATACCGTCTTAGATACGATCTGTAAACCGTAGAAGCATTAAAATGCCATTTAACCCAGCAAGCATGCAGATTACACCGAATAACACCGAATCATCGGTATAAAGCCACCTTAACACCAGTCTTATTCGACGGCCCAATCCTCATAACAGGAACGTACGGCTCTGGGTCGCGAGGCTCGATGCGCTTGAAGGTCTTCGCAAGATGAGCAAGGATATACGCCGCCTCAGTCTGAACCATCATCTGAGCCGGGCATCGTCTTGGTCCGCCACCAAAAGGCAGGAAGCCCCATGAGCCTCGATACCCGTCAAACCTCTCTGGCTTGAACTCGTTGGAGTCGTCACCCCAAGCCTCAGAATCACGATACATGACAGTCTTGTTGATGAGAACAAGATCGCCCTTGCGGATAAGCGTTGGTGATTTGCCATCTGGACCACCGCCAACTGGTATCACGACATCCTCAAAAGCACCGCGGAGTTGAGACACGTTGTTGGGGATCATGCGATGAGCTTTTTAGTTAGCTAGAGAATATGCGGGATGCTAGGTGATACACTTACTCTCATTCATGACGCAGTTCAGATACTTCATGTTTCGCAGAACTGAAAAGTTCATGGGAATATCACGTAGTTCGTGGACTTCCTGCCGAATCTTATCCCAAACATCAGGATAGCGAGCAAGCCACCAAACGCAGTTGCTGATAAACACAGAGGTAGTGTCAATGTTGGCCACGAGAATCAAGCAGATCTGCGATCGCAGCTCCTCAACATCTTCCAGATTCTGCACCATTGTCCAGAGAAGATCAGTTCGTTCGGGCTCCAAGTCACTTACGCCGTCTTTGATCTTCTTTTCACGCTCATGCTTCTCCTTGATGGTGTCTTGAATGGGAGGAGTAACGAAGGCATGGATCTCTTCGACTGACTTCAGCCAGGGAGTCCAATCACGAAGAAACATGAGCCTGTTAAGCTGAGCGCGGAGACGACCACCGTCAAGCACGTCAAGCATTGTGTTGGCAATCTTGGCGCGTTCGGGATATACGAGCGCCTCAGTGGATTCGCCAAAGATGAACTCCGTGGCGATATCCAGGAACTGGGTAAAGGGGTTAACGTGGGATAAACTGAGCATGACGACTGTAACTGACCCATCGTTGGAGAAGTGGTTGGAGATCGACAGTTTCCCCGTTTTCAGGTAGTAGCTTGATGAACTGGTTCGTATGTCGAGCCACTCTGTCTGTGCTTGTGTACACCTGACGATCGAAGAAAGGCTGGATAAGAAAGCGACTGTGCTTCCAATCTTCACCATCAGTAGTGATAGCGCCCTTATCAGCGAAAGGAGTCAGTCCTCTTCGAAGATTACCAATCGGTGTAACACCAAACTCCTTGAAGTGAGTAGCATAGACAGCCTTCAAAACTTCAGGATCATAAGTGTAGATCCACTTGACACCAAACATATTGATACTGAAGGTCTTGGTGTGAGGCATGCTGGCATGAAGCTTTGCAAGCCATGCCAAGAACTGGTTTGATCGTAAGGCATGGATTTGACTCGCTACTAGATCAAGACCCCATATGGGGTCCCATTGCCAGTAGCGAGTTATCGGTTTCCAGCCTTTTGCTTCAGACTTAACGTTGCTTGTGAATAGCTTCCGAAAGATAAATATGAGAAAAGCAGCCCCAATCGCAAGAACAGGGAGATTTCGAGTTGAGATTTGTTGGAGGACTAACTGATGCAGTGCCATTGTTTCGTGTGTTGTATCTAATAATGCCCTGTTTTGCTTGAATTACTTCACAAAGGGTTTTGAACCGATCTATGATCGGAAGCTGGTGGTGTATATGGATGGCTGTCATAAGCTCAAAACGATGGGCTACAGGACCTGCAGCACTGAAAGAAACCTCATGATTAGCCGTTACATCTTAGCCGTCAAGGGGCATCGGAGCAAAAGCCATGTACAGTGTGTTTCCGCTACGGCAGAGTACAACATCACACTGTGCAGCAAGGGTGAGACGGCATAGGAGGAGATTCCCCGAAGGATTTCCCGTGGAATTTTCCGTGCATACATCACCCCACTTCCATCAAATAATCTCGCATTTTCGGGTTTAGAGTGTCTATCCGAGGAACGTTATCATTATGCATCATACGAGAGAACTCGGTGTTGCTTGAAGCTACCAGTGCAGAAAGTATGCTATCTTGGGTCTCATACTAGAGCAAAACAACTCGCAAGAATGGCTATCTTCCTCGAGAATCAAACCAGTTTTATATACATGATCAAATAGAAAAGTTAACGTGATAATGATAATAATAATCAATCAGGCATCAGGCAACAGGCAACAGGCAACGACCCTGAGGTGTTCAATGATCCTCAGCCCATCCAAATATCTGACTCTGCAAGTGACTCCCTTCGCCTCCGCTTTCCCATTATATCCGAGCAAACCTTCAGCACAGCCTTCGCAGTCTCGTTAACTCTCGCGTCCACCTTTTCACTGTCCCCCTTTCTCTGTAGACTCTCAATGTAGGATGATGCGCATGAGAATAAGACAAACTCCTCTGTTGACTCCGAGCCACGTGACACCTCGACGCGCCTTTTGAACAAAGTAATTGCGTTAGACAGGATATCTCCAAGTTTTACTCGAGAAGCACTATCTAAGTTGGGAAATGAGTCTTCCTCAAAGTCTCCAATTAGATCGAGACATAGAGACATTGTGGCCTGTCTCTGCATTACAGAAAACTGTCCTGACGCGTTGGTAAGTAGTGCTGAGTACGGACCTGGGCTTGCGGTGCATGACAGTAGTTGGGCTGAGATCTCCATACGCATTCTTCGTGAATAGTAGTATTCCGGTTTCGAATATGCCTCCTCAGCAAAGGCTTCATGAAGCGCTAGCACAAACGGCTTGGCAAAGCTAGTCAAGAAACCACTCTGAAAGTCGCTGAGCTGCGAATCTAGCTTGGATTCACCCGCGGAACAAGCTGTGTTGAGCTCTGATGCAAGAATGTGGCATTCCTGATACGTTTTTGACGACCCGGGTGCGTTAACGAGTTGGAGGATCCGTAGACGCAATCTCTGGGTTTGTGCAAGGAGCATGAGAACTGATGACTGCGTCACACTCTGTGGCTCAACCCCCAGAACCAGATCATCATCCGCAATACTACTCGGCACCTCGCAATCATAGCTCTCCGGCGCAATAGGAGCCGGAAGGCCTTGATCGACAGAAACCTGTAACGACAACTCCAACATCGTAGCCCACAGCCGTCTCCGTATCTCGGCTTCTTTAACGGACATATTCGGTGACCGGACTCTTGGTTCCCGATGCAAACCCATTTGAACGGCCATGTGAGTTAGGCCGTGTCCCTCGGAAAGCCATGCTACGCCCATGGGGGCGGAATCCTGGTGGTGCGTGTGACGTGTCAGGGCTAAGAGACAGGCGATCTGTGCCATACTTAGATCTCCTCGCATGCCTTTCATGCTCTTACGGGCGAGCCAGTCTTTGACGTAGGAGATCCAGTTGATTGAGAGTTCCCGGGATGAGGTGGCCTGATCTTGTTGTGACTCCGTTGGGTTGAAGGTGATCGACCCAAGTGCTGCCACGAGAAGGAGCTTGCAGGCGAATGTTTCGTCAGCGGTCGAGACCTTTGAAGCAGAGTCTTCCTAGAAATGCTCATATTCTCTCAAGAAAGACGGCACGTGAATTATGCGTAGTACAGACTCAAAGGTCTTGATATACGCATCAACCAGTGAGTCGCAAGTTCTTCTGGCTGGAAGCATTCCGCGGGCGCCACCTTGAATTGATAAAGAATTCTCGCTGGAGAGTCTTCCTTCGTGACCTTTTCGAACATCGCGATGGAGTCTCTTATAGGTCTCAAAAAGTGGCCGAAGAGCACCTTGCTCAGGCGAAAGATGGAGATCGTCTCCGGAAAGATTATCCACGAGAAATCTCAACTTGTCGCACTTGGAAAAGGGCTCATACCAATGGTTCTCTTGGTCTTCGGCACCAAAGTATTCTCGTTCTCGAGTCTGGGCTGCTGAAGACCTACCCGAACTCTTTGACTGCGTGAGAGGTAAGTTCTGTAGTGAATTTGTGATACTGCTGGCCATTGTTGAAGGAAGACTCGAAGTTGTCCACGATGGTGATCTGGATAATCCTTGAAGAAGCGAGTTTGTCGAATCAATAGAAGCTGATTTTGAATGAGAAACATCACTCATCCCAAAGAAATCCAGGTCAACAAATCCCAGAGACACATCAGTCATTGGCGCAACATCCATATTAAAAAGATCCATCTCCGACACCTCATCAAAAGGCTGCTGTCCAAAGATCGACTGCTCATAAGGCTCTCTATGCGCGTGACTGTTCAGAGCCAACGAGTCGTGCTGCTGCTGCATCCCGGGATCCAGATAACTATCGGGAATACGACCTGTTGGCTGGTTGTTGTACACGCATCGCAGGCTCGGCATTGATTTGCTACAGGGTCCGCAGGGAGAGTGACGGTCGCAGCGAATCTTCCGTCTACGGCATTCGGTGCAGGCTACAGCGGGACGGCGCCGTTTGTATGCTGGGCCTGGATCCATTTGAAGAGGGAGCTAAAGGGTTTTGGTTATAGATCGTTTGGCTTGGTTTAGCCGTGAGTGGGTGTTGTCTGGATGACAGGAGGCACCTCTATCTTTGAAAGGGAGCCATTGATGACGGTTCATATGTATAGGAGCCTATGTCCACGGCAATAGGATTGTGTCACGAACTATGGGAAAGATACGCCCAGGGCGTCAATGTTGTCATGCAAGTACAGCATTTACCTTAGTAATTGTCCCTTCTCGGCAGCCGCGAACCGTAATCAGAAACAATATCTATTTCCCTCTGTAAACAATGCAAATAACGTTCGAGTTCCACTGCAGTCAGCCATATTCGACACGTTGTGATACGCGACGATCAAATAATTTAATCCTAGCCATATTGGGTAGCACCTCCCCCTTGACACTCGGCATCTCAATGTCAATGCGACATCTTTACATTGGTGGATTTAGAGCTTCACATTGTGTGCAATCCTGTCAAAGGAAAAGTCATGACGAATATGTCAAGGGTGTTGCTGCATGTAAGATCCTCCGGATAAAGTTCTCCGCCTAGATGCAGATTCCGCGGAAGTCTAATCAGATCATGTTCCCTCGTAATCTCAGGCTGAGCCAGCTTTAACGACCCTATCAGTATCTGGTTGCGGTATCCTATTCGTCGTGTCCTACGGACTTTAAAAGAATTGCCGTCGGCAGTGGGGCGAAGGATCAATGGCACATAACGCCATCGATCCCGAGTGGCCAGCTCGCCGTAAGTGCATTAGTGAGAACTGGATATGTCTGTGTGGGCGTGGCACGACGGCTTATAGGGCTAAAAAGCTTGGTATTCTGGGCGCTTACGCCTAGTTGCGTAGGTCAATGCGGGATTCCGTCTTGGAGAAGCTCCAAGAGGTGCAAAGGCCATGGTTCTTGATCCTCTTGGAGTAACATTACTGAGTCTAATATGATACGCGGAAACATGTCATATAATCACTGCGTTAAACTGGTTAACAGTCAGTTGTATGTTTGTATGCTGGCTAGTTGTCCTGGCAGAGGTATACCCCACAAGGTTGCTTATCTACACAGTACCGACGCCCCAAACGTAGTGACATTCGTGCACGTTTCCCCAACAATTCCTAATCAGTGTCATTGAAGAATCTTGGGGTAAATGGAATGTCGATCTCGATACGGCAGGTAAGTGACATTTAAACTTTAGCGACGTTGCAATGGGGGATGATGATGACAAGTGGGGGACATCTCAGCATTATCCACTACCAAAGCTCCTCTGACATGCAGAGAAAATCCTCCCAATATGAGTGAGTTGCAGCAACTGCTCTTACGAGTTACCTTGTACAGAAGCCAATAATCATCTCACTCGCATATTGACCAATAGTTGTTACCCGGCGTCTTCCGAGGCGGGTCCTCACACTTTATCACGCAGATCCTTCGAACTCCACAAGGCTGTAAGCGTTACAATTTGATAGGTAATAAACAGGTCAAGGGCAGTTATCTTCCATGCATGTACTCGGGTCGACTAATCTCTGATTGGCTGTTAATGTTCAGTCGAATACTTGTAGCTGAGGTAAATCTTTACTGATCATTGTGATCCCATGTGCAAAGTCAATCTTCTGCATGATTTGGGGACAGTCCAAGGTAGCCAGAAAGTAGATAGATAGTAATTCCTAATATTGGCTGGGATAGATTCTAGTTTTAACTATCTTTATCCTTCCTACCGAGTACCATCATACGGAAGTTCTAGAATCTATTTCTTAGGCTTCAAGCCTCCGGCAGGAACACGACCCCTGACAGCAAAGCTCTGAAACTCAGCCCCCTTCTCCGCAAGCTCCTTTCGAACTCTAGTGTCAAGAGTATCAAGCTGCTCAGTAGTGAACCCCTCCAACTCCGGAAGAGCTATCATCAAAAATCAGCACCAATCAATGATAAAAGGTCCGAGGAAAACTTACTGCGCGCCATAGCCACAATCATCGGCCCCGCACCAGCTGCACCGTTGATACTAGCCTGCTTCAACTCAGGTTTAGCCTTCGCGCCAACCTTGCACTGCAAAACATCGACTTGGACATCCTCTAGCCCCGCATTCTCCATCCACTCCTTGAGGTTGGGCCCAAAGTTGCCGCCCATCTTCTTGATCTTCCAGATCTGCTCGAGAAGACGGAAGAACTCGTGCGCTGCGGTTCCTTCCTCCAGGAGACTCTGGTCGCAGTCGAGTTCTACAAGCTCGACCCAACCGCCGGGTTTGGCGAGGGCGCAGAGGTTAGCGACGGCTTGCTCGAGGGAGAAGTTGCCGCAGAAGCCGAGGACTTGGCGCTGGTGGACGAGATCGAAGGATTCTTTCCACTCAGTGGGCCACGGCTCTGTAATGGATTGTTTCTTGAACTCAATCCTGTGAGGTCTGGGCTTGGGGAACAAGTCTTCGACCAGATCAGTGCCAATGTACGTCTGCTTGTCGGCAACAGGACCAGCTTGCTTGCGAAGATCCTGCAGCCAGATACCTGAATCATTGTTATCACCACCGGTGCTCCATGTCTTAGAACGTATACATACCATCTGCAGTAGCAGAGTCCAGAATCCTCAAGCCTGGCTTCTTCCAATCAACTGGTGCATACGAAAGCTTGCCGCCAGCAGCATCCGTGTACACCAAATGGTTATCAGTCAGACGAGAAATCTCTTCCTGCAAGCCACGCTTCTTAGCATCCTCCATCAGGGCATCCATTCCAGTGCCATTGGCAACATTGGAATCAGTACCCGTCTGGGGAGGTTGGTTGACTGCTTCAGTAGCCATTCTTGATTTGTGCAAATATTCACTTGTTGCTTCTGTTGTGGAGTTCAATTTTCAATATTGCTACTCTCAAATGCATCAATTACCACCCTCTTTTAACTGTTTACCTCTAATCCGTAAAACGCCTCCAAAGCTAGTGTGCGGAACGGCCCGTATCGTTGTCTGATACGGCGGCCGACACTGCATACGAGTATTTGCCGCGCTGATTATACTAAAGCCCGGATCTACGGCTCATTAGCCTGAAGAATAAGCTGAGCCAGGGGTTTTCCGTGGGGTACCGAAGGATTCAAGCACGGTAACGGAAAATGGAGGGGAAATGGGCTGATGGCTGACGCACCAAATCTTACTATGCCGGATTCATCACTGTATTTTGCCGCTCACGTCAACCGGAGTGTTTTCTCCGTGCTAGTGGTGAGAATTCACATGCCGAAGGATGGGCGGGAAAACGGCATCTTTACATCAGAACTAGTTTTGTGAAGGTGGGTTGGTTAGACAGCTTTCGTATATGCTGTCATGCTGGGTAGGTTGGGTAGTAGGCATACTGTCTCATTCCTACAGTCAGTGATTTCAACATTCGGTACCAAGGCGACCATGGAAAGTTTGCAGTTGAATACAAGAACGATGTTGGCAGTGGCAGTATCTCTCATTGCACTGCGCATCACCTACACCATCATCTACCGCTTGTATCTGTCGCCTCTAGCAAAGATACCAGGACCCAAGTTAGCAGCTCTCACGTTCTTCTATGAGTTTTACTATGATGTTATCAAACGAGGCAAATTCCTTTGGAAGATCCAAGACCTTCATCGCCAGTATGGTCCCGTTGTGAGAATAAACCCTTACGAGGTCCACATCAACGATGATGGCTTCTACGATGAAATCTATGCCAGTGGTCCTCATCATCCTCGCAACAAAGTTCGCTTCATGTCTACCCATGATGAAAGCATGTTTGACAGTTACGCTGCGGAAACACATCGAGTTCGGCGGGCTGCACTGTCTGGATCGTTCTCTAAGCAGTCTATTCGTGCTCTTGAGCCGCAGATCCTACAAACCATTCACCAACTCGCTGGTAGAATAAGCTCACTGAGAGAGAGCGGAGAGGTTGTGAATCTCAAAGCTCTTTACAGCGGTCTCACTATGGATGTCATCGCACAGTATTGCTTTGGCGAGAGCATGGATAACATGAAGCAAGACCAGTTCGGTAAAGAGCTGTTGGACTTTTTTCATGAGATGCCTCAAGCTCATCCCATTGGACGCATGTTTCCATGGTTGTTTGACATCATTCAAAAGATTCCCATCAGCTACCTTGCCAAGCTTGATCCAAAGCTACAGCCACTGGCTGACTATGACAAGAAAATCTCTGGACAGATCTCGGATGTCCTGGCCAAAGAGAAGAAAGATGGTATCAGAACTGTCTTTCATGAGATGAGAGATAGCAAGCAACTTCCTCAAGCGGATAAGACTCTTGAGAGGTTTAAATCTGAGGCAGCTATCTTTCTGGGTGCCGGCACTGAGACGACGGCTGCTGCGCTAACGACTTTGAGCTTCCATCTGACTGAAGACCCGCACATGCTGGCAACACTGAGGAAGGAACTTCAAACAGTAATGGGAGATGGGGATTCACCGGTCACTGTTGCCAAACTTGAGTCTCTCCCATACCTAGTGAGTTGACCATATACACGGCGTGACTTTTACTAATGATAACAAGACTGGAGTTATACAAGAAGGTATCAGACTCTCATTCGGCGTTCCTGGACGGCTACCTCGTTATGCACCAACAGAAGATCTTGTGTACGCTGGATATAAGCTGCCTCGAGGAGTAGGTCTCCATCCATCTCTTCCTCGCCAGATCCTAACCCTTCCAGACTCGCATGAGTTCATCCTCGTATCTCATTGACACAAACGAGGAACATTATCCAGACCCTTTCAAATTTGACCCAGAGCGCTGGATTCATGGTAAAGCCGGTCTCAGCCGCCACTTTGTGCCTTTCTGTAGAGGAAGTCGTCAGTGCATCGGTATGAACCTCGCTTATGCTGAGCTGTATCTCACTGTTGCGACTATATTCTCGAGGTTTGATCTTGAGTTGGTTGGCACGACGAAAAGGGATGTGGAGATTGCTCATGATTTCTTTGTGGGTATGCCGCCCTTGGATTCGAGAGGTGTCATGATTAGGGTTGTAAAAGATCTCAGTGCATAGTTTAGCCGGGTTTTAGGATACAATACATGATTGACTATCATAGCAGCAAGGTTCCGTAACTTATAGGGTTAGTGAATCGATCCCGACTTCCTCCAAAACACTGAAAAGGCCTTGTACATTTCTTCTAAGAGACTACTAGGCTTGGATCTCTCGAAAGGGATTTTGTCTCTACAACATCGCGAACCCGGGGGCCTAGGCAACACTGTCGTCTCTGTCTTGTACAGACTTGGAGGCCAGGTCTACGGGCAAATATCCCAATATTACGTCCTTTTGAATAAAGGTTTCTCAACCAACGGTGATTTATATCCAGATATTTATCTAACTATAGTGATGCTTTCTTGACATATGCCATCAATGGAGGCTTTGACCTCGTACCAAATGTGAGCTGCCCATCAACCCAATTTTCAGACTCAGGCGTAAGCTCAATGTCAAAGCGATACAAGAGCTTACACAACGCCAGTCGCAAAACATAAAAGCTCAGTCTTTGGTTTATTAGCATGTGTCTCAATGAAGCTCATGGAATAGTGGAACTCACTCTTGTCCGAAGCAAGACTGTGGGCCAACCGAGAACGGGTGGACACTGCCCCTCACATCATCGATACAATCCTGGGGCCGACCCTTTCCTTCGGGAAGCCATCTCTCAGGTACATACTCACTAGCTCTTGAGAAGTTTTGCTTGACTGAGTAGGTGACTTGGTGAAGCATCATCACCACCGTGTTACCGGGCACAAACTGACCTGCGATCTGAGCACCAGGTCCAGGTACTACACGGTCGGTACCGGTTGCAGCGGGTGAGTAGCAGCGAATAGACTCTTGAAGACATGCCTCCAGGTACGGTAGGTCTTTCTGAGACTGGCTGATCTTGTCCATTGTGATATCAGAATCACTAGAGAAAGCTCCGCGAACCTCTTCAAGAAGCCTTTTTCTGATGTCCGCACTCTTCTTGCGAAAGACGAAGTAGACGAAACCGGTCAGAACAGTAGGCATAGCCTCACAGCCGCCTAGCATCAGGAATGGTGCGAACTCTCGTAGCAGGTCAAGAGGCATAGTTCCCTGACGCCCTGTGCCTTCAGTGTCGCCATCTAGAACCATTTGCAGCATGTCATGGCGAGCTGAAGTGAGAGCGACACGACGATCAAAACGTGCAAAGATGGGCGCCATGAAAGAGTCACGCTCACCACTTCCCCAGCGATGAACAGCAAAGAGTAGGAATTTGTGTAAGAAGGGAAAGCGGTTGAGAACAGCGAGGATTGTGACGCCTCGAGCAAAGCGATCGAAGGAGTGAACCCAGGGAATGAACTCTGGATCTGTGAACAAGTGAAGTGATTCGCCGAGGAAGAGATCCGCGATGAGATCACAGATGAGAAAACTGTTCATATCGCGCATATCAACCGCTTCTTTCCTTTCACTAGCCTTCTGCAGAGCAGAGAGATACTCCTCAATATGCCCATTGATCATACCCTCAAGCTTCTTAACATTCTCACGCTTGAGCGCCGGGACCATCGCTTTCCTCATGATACTATGAGTCTGCTGCGATCTCGGCTTCGCAGGATCAGGGTTCACCAAATCACCGCCCACCAAAGCTGCAAGACGAGGATCTTTCGCCATTCCATCTTTTGCAGCTTTCGATGCACCGCAGATATCAGCCCAGGCGCGCTCATCAGTGAAAGTCAGAGCATCTGGGGCGATGCGAACAACGCCGCCGTATCTGTTGTGTAGATTGATGAGCCAAGGGAGTTGGCGCCCGCTGGCTGTTGCTATGAGATGGGGGATGCGGGAGATGGCACAGAGTTTTGGGCCGGGGAACTTGGAGAGGGGTGAGAAGTAGAGTTCGTAGATGATTGAGATGAGAAGGGCTGTGAGGGAGAGGGTGCTGAGGGTGACGATTACTCGTGAGGCTGGGGAAGCTGTCTGCCAGGTGGAGGCGACGCGCTCCCAGTTCATGTTGAGCTGATTCATGGTAAGGTTTGTGGGGTTTGCTATCTCAGTAAGCTCAAAGATACAGGTGATACGGAAGCAAGCAATGATGTAGCAGGGCCAATTCGTCCAGTCTACAAGATCAATTTCTAAGCTATAGCATTAACCCTCTACGCTTTGACATGAGTACAGGATAGGGGATTGTTTGGACGTCACACTAACGGCACTCACCAAGGCCAAACAGACTCTAATTCTCCGTGCCGCCCGGGCCGGTCGTGCAGCCATGAATCTGCCGGAGAATCCTTCATCATATCGGTATGGTACCCCATGCAGACCACGTCTTGGAAATCGATAACCCGAATTCTATCTCGCTATGCACTTCGGTCTCGCGTCACACTCCCCTTCGCCTGTAAAAAGGCGGAGGAATTTCAGTTCAGAACCATGATCAGAATAGGATAGCTGTTCATATCAGACGATAAGCAACACCCGTCAGCACACAATGTCGTCATCACACCCCGCTCCCCAATCCTTCGTGGCAGTCTTCGTAGGGGCAACGAGGGGGATTGGTCTCGCTACTCTCAAGGTTCTTGCCCGGACTTTGCCTAATCCGCGATTATACGTTATTGGTCGGTCGAAAGCGAGGTTTACGGGTGATCTCGCTCTGCTACACGAATACAACCCGAATGCTACGGCACAATTCGTCGAAGCTGAGGTTTCGCTTATCAAAGGTATCGATGATGCCTGCGAAAGAATTATGAAATTGGAGAAACATGTGGATTTGCTGTTTATGAGTCCTGGATCTTTGGCGTTTGGTGGACCGCATTGTAAGACACCCGTTCTGTGGAGTTTATGCTTGCTGACTTTTCTCCACAGATACTGAGGAGAAGCTTGATCTTTGTTTTTCGCTATCCTTTTACGTCCGCATGCGTCTTATCGAACGCTTACTCCCTAAGCTCATGCAAGCACCACACCCACGGGTTCTCTCCGTTCTAGCCGGGGGCCACGAAGGCCCACTGTTCACCAGTGACGGGGATATCGGATTACGAAAGAAGGAGAACTATACAGCGCCAAGGGCGGTAAATCAGGTCACTACACTGCACAGTCTTGTTTTCATCCACTTTGCGTCTCACTACCCAAAGGTGTCTTGGTTGCATGTCCATCCCGGCTGGGTGGCGACTACCTTTCTGTCTGATTTGCTGCAGAGCGCTGGCGTTATCGGTGTACTGGCTGGGAAGTTCATTTTGCCTGTTTATCGATCTGTAGCTATGTCTGAAGATGAATGTGGACTGCGGCAGACTGGTTATGCTTTGAGTGGGAGATACCCAAGCAGGGAAATGATTTGTTCTGCAGTCGTGGACGTTACTGATCAGGCAGCCTGCCACGGGCCATGTAGTGGGTTCTATCGTGTCTTGAGCGACGGGAGCACAGCCACGGATGACAAGTTGGGTTCTCTAGAGAAAGAAGGGTGGCCTCTCAAGGTCTTTATGCATACCCAGCAGGCGTTTGGTGAGATATTGAATCAGAAGTAGAGCTTATGTCATTTGAATCACTTTTGTCTTTCATTGATGAAGCATCCAGAGCTCATTGATTATGGCTTTCATAATCTATCTCCTTAAGGATATACTTGAGTGTAGAGCCCCGCGATGATCAACTCCATACTTTCTCAGACATTCATTACCCCAGTCTTGTCCCTTCAACCTTTACCTCGGGGTCACAGCGATTTTGACACCATTCAAACTACTAGGCCCAACTCTCATAACAGGAACATAACCCCTCTCGTCCCTCGCCTCAATCCCCTTGAACTTTTGGCAAAACCTTGTCAAGACATACGCTGTCTCCGTAGCGACAAGGATGTGAGCAGGGCAGATTCTAGGTCCGCCACCGAAGGGGACAAAGTGCCAAAGCGGACGAAGACCATCCCATCGTTCTGGTCTAAACTCTGCTGCATCTTCACCCCAGTAGTCAGGGTCGCGATGCATGAGGTAGCGATTACAGTGAACGATGTCGCCTTTGGCGCAGAAGATGGGCTGTTTGCCGTCTGGGCCTCCGCCGCGGGGGAGAGTTGTGTCATGGGCTGCGACGCGGATCATCTGGATACCATTTGGGATAGTTCGGTGTGCTAAAATGATCAGCAAGAGGACTCTAATGTCCGATTTGACTTACTCTCATTGATAACCCAATTCATGTACTTCATCCCGCGAAGCTTGGAGAACGTAAGCTCCTCATCCCCAAGCTCAAGAACCTCCTTCTGCAGTTTCTCCCAAGCATCCGGATGTCTCGCCAACTGATAAATAGCGTTTGAGATATGAATACTCGTAGTCTCATTACTCGGCACCCAAACAGCAGTGATCTGATCTCTGAGAAGAATCCTATCCTCAGAGGGAATTTTCTGCACCATGTCCCAGAGCAAGTCGGTTCGCTCAGGCTTGTCAGCAAACTTCTCACCTTGCTCTTTTCTCTGGTGTAATTCATCGTAGGCTTGGTCGATGTACTCATTCATAAAGTTGTGCACGAAGCGAATACTCTCATACCACTTTGGATCTCTATGGAGAAACATGAATTTGCTCATGGTGAGACGAACGCGAGCGCCGCGCATGATGTCGACCATGGCGAGCATTACGTCTTCACGTTCAGGATAGGTGAGACACTCGCGGGACTTTCCAAAAAGAAACTCAGTTGACGTGTCAAGGAACTTTTGGTGTTAGCTCTCTGCTTCAGTGTAAAAGCTCAGGTGACTTACCCATCGTCTTGTCAAAACCTGCATGTCAAAGGTGTCGCCGTTGGTGGGAATAAGATCCAGCATCTTATCCGTGAACGGCTTGAGTCTAGCCACATTGGCAAATGCCTGCCTCTCAAAATAAGGCTTGATGATACCCCGGCTATAATGCCAGAACTCTCCATCCGCTGTACTGACACCTTTCCCAGTAAAGGGCGTCGCAACACCGTTATCCACACGAATCGGCTCAAGCACAAACTCTTCCCACTGAGACGTACTCATCGCCTTCATATTCTCCATCTCAGACGAATACACCATTCTCATGCCCAGAAACCTCGCCTTGAAAGTCTTGGTTCCCTGCGCAGCCCATGTCTCCTCCATCCAAGACAACCACCGATGCTCTTTGAAAGCACGGCTCATGGAGAGAACAAAGTCAATGCCCCATATGGGATCCCAGTGGGGATAGGTCTTGAGAGGACCGCATTTGTACTTCTTCGTCTTGATTGAGTAGCTGATATGGTCCCATAGTCTGTTGAGGAAGTAGAGAATTACAAGACCGTAGAATGCTGCGAGTGAGATCGCGGACAGACGAGATGACATGTCGGACTGTGTTGGGGACTTCAGTGCGGAGGGGGATGGCGACGACGTAAGGGCAGCCAAACGTCATTGGTATGAGTGAAGAATGAAAGGGTTTGCAATGAGTCGAGGTTTGGTGGTAGCGAGAGAGGGAGAAATTACAGTGAGAGACACAAAACGTATGAAAAATACCGACAGCGGATGAGAGGTCTGCCAAAGACCCGAATAAAGTCAGACCGGGGTGATAACATCCACCTCGCCGTTGTGGGGCCGAGCCCGGAGATTCTCCACTCCAACGGAGATTTACTCCGTGTTTGTGACCGGCTGCAGGCGAGAAGGCTACTGACACACGGTGAAGTACCAACACCCGCGGGGGGATGTATCAAGGAATATCCGACAGGTTTTGGTACGTTTTGATTCAGCTACTTTGTGTCTGCTGAGCTATTTTTGACGTCATTTCCAGTGTACAGGGTAGCTCAGAACAAACGAAAGCGAAGCAAGCTGCGAAGGATACACGATCAACGCAGAAGCAACATGAAGAAGTTAATTTAGTATATGAGCTATTAGTTGCTTAGTTTATATGATATCCTGCAGTATGTTATGGCTTGCAAATACATCAATGTGCGCTAACTACAGATAAAGAATTCGCTGTGAAATTCCAACTCAAAGATGTATGAGAATTTTGCATGTTAAAGCTGCGGAGTGACGCTTAGACAATCCATGAGTCAAAAAATGTCAAGTGCACATTTAATAGCTTTGCTTAAACATTTTGCATATATTAGATCTAGTTAATCGATATTAAGTGAGAGAATTTTGCATAATCTGGGCTTGCAAAAAACAGATACATGATCTAAGTTCTGTCCGCTGATTTAAGCTCTCAGCCACAAGTCTCAACTGCAAATAACACATGACCATTGATCCAAGCGCGTCGCGACAACAAACAAACAAAATAACACGTCACAGACAGATTACCAATCTGAATCAAGTGGATACCCAACAAAGAAATTGCTAGAAAGGATAGAGCGTTCATAGGTAAGCATACATCAAGATGTAGAGGGCGTAGCAACGCGGTATATCAGCTTCTTACCACCAGCCGTTCCCATCTTAACCCTCTCCGCTCCCTTCGCGACACCCGCCAACCCCTCATCACTAACCTCAGTTGGATGCGTCATAATATCCTTATTGTCCAACAACTTCTGTGCAATAGGCGCCCACCTCTCCGCAAACGCCTTGTCCTTAGGCCTTGCCTCTCTGCGATAGGGCTTTCTCCAATCAACAGGTTTGCCCAGCGCTGTCCATGCGAGAACCCAGCCAGGACGAACATCGCGACGCGTATGACCGCGAATGGGGAATTGGTCTAGACCGATGTAGTTACCTCCGTGACTACCGATGGCAGCGTAGCAGATTTTCATGCTGCTGCTTTCAGTGATGCAGTCGAAGACGTACTCTAGACTGTCGTGTGTGAAGGTACGGATGTCTGAGGCGCAGGAGGGAGAGCGGTAGTCGAAGGCTTCTACGGCGCCTAGAGACTTGACATGCTCGAACTTTCCTGGTGAGCAGGTCGTGATGGGCTTCAACCCAGATCTGAACATCATCAGCTTAGGCTCAGAGTGTGAGGAGGATGAACTTACAGCTTGGCAGCCTGGATGGCCAAACCTCCGGTAGCCGTTCCACCACCGTAGATCAAAATGTACTGATCTCTCGCTTCGCCTGAGTAAGGAAGTGGAAGCTTCATAGTATGGTACAGTGACAAGCCGACAGTCAGTAGTCCAACACCTAATGTTGCGCCTTGCTCAAAACTCATCCAATCCGGAAGTCTGAGCAGCAACATCTCTGGAACACTGACATACTCTGCAAAGCCACCATTATTCGGGTTATCTGACCGATTGCCCGCACAAGCACCGCCAACACGATCACCAGGTTTGAATTTGTCTGTGAGAGGTCCCGCAGTGACGACTTCACCAGCGAAATCGCAACCCCATGTTGCGCCGGGTGATGCTGACATGTCTAGGGATTTCCAGTCATGGGGATTGATGCCGACACAAAAGATTTTGACGAGGACTTCATCTTCTTTTGGGGGCTCGACGGGGCTATTTTCTTGGAGGCTAATTGTTCCTGCGCCTTGAACTTTTAGAGCTTTTTGAGTAGCTGGTAGGGTCTGGCGGGAGATGATTGACTGGACTGCCATGATGAAGGTGTCGAAAATGGCAGTGAAGGGTGGATGAGTAGGAGAGTTCCAAACAGTGCAACAGGGAGATAGTCTGAAGGGATTTGAGATGGCAGATCAATCAACTAGAGCAAACGTCGCTTCTCTGAGCATAGATACGCATGCTCCAGCGACGACCGTTTTGATCTAGCACTTGGATTCCATCGCCACCATGAGAACTGTTTCCCGGAACCTTCGTGAAAGACAACTGCCTCGTTCCGAGCAATCAACACCGTAGGCCGGCATCCACTACGGGACCTTTCTCCGGACTCTCGCCTCAAGGAGCAAGAAAACATCGGGCCTAAATTTAGGGTGTCAAAATAAACGTAGCAGAGAGTCCCTTAAACTTAGGATGTATTTACCTAAAGATTTTCATCGCTTAGGGTCAAATTCCTGAGTTTCCTTTCCTCTCCTAGTCTCGGAAGCTCTCCCTTTGGAGGATCCATACCCTTGTTCGGGATATTGACCCATCCCGGTTGGCTAACGGCCACCTCCGGAATATGCTCCACACCACGCACGGCACTCGACGTAAGCACAAGCCTGTTTCGCCGATGCCGAAAACTCTGGGGCGGCACGGGAGCTGATACCGGGTCGATTTGATCGAAGTTCGAATACGAAATTCCCAGAATGGCTGTAGGATGAAAGTGCTTCGAGTTAAGATGAATGACATCCGTCGAGTGAAGTGACTGCAATCTTAGACAAACACCAAGCAATCTGTCGTACTGAACAAACCTTCAACATTATTGACATACACTTTGTCTTCAACAGCACGGCACTACACTCATTACCCAACCTATCAATCAACATGCCATCCCCAGGCGAGCCCATCGCCGTAATTGGCTCAGCTTGCCGTTTCCCTGGAGGCGCATCCTCCCCCTCCAAACTCTGGTCCCTCCTCCAATCCCCCAAAGATTGCCTCCGAGACTTTCCCAAAGACCGTCTCAACCTTGAAGCCTTCTACAACAAAGATGGCGAGCATCACGGCGCCACAGACGTCTGCAACAAGGGCTACCTTCTCGAAGAAGATAGTCGTTTGTTTGACGCGTCGTTCTTCAACGTTAACCCTGCTGAGGCAGATGGTATGGATCCGCAGCAGAGATTGACGCTTGAGACGGTTTATGAGTCACTTGAAGCTGCGGGGTATACTATTGAGGAGATGCAGGGGAGTTTGACGGCGGTTTATTTAGGGGTCATGACGGGTGATTACCATGATATTCAGTCGAGGGATCCTGAGATTATTAATCGGTATCACCCAACGGGGACATCGAAGAGTATTCTCTCAAATCGAGTATCATACTACTTTGATCTTCGCGGACCCTCAGTCACCATGGACACCGCGTGTTCGTCTTCACTCGCAGCACTGCATTTTGCGACACAATCTCTTCGCAGCGGTGAATCAACCACTGCCATCGCTGTCGGTGTGAACTTGATCTTTGATGCCGCAGGCTACGTCGCTGAGTCAAAGCTCCACATGCTGAGTCCTACATCACGCAGTCGCATGTGGGATGCTGGTGCTGATGGGTATGCCCGGGGTGAGGGTGTCGCATCCGTCATTCTCAAGCCTTTGTCGGAGGCTATCCGTTGCGGCGATCACATTGAGTGCATCGTCCGTGAGACGGGTATGAACAGTGATGGTCGTACCACCGGTATTACTATGCCCTCTGCAACCGCACAATCGGCTTTGATCCGTCGAACGTATCAGAATGCTGGGTTAGATCCTATCAAAGATCGACCGCAGTATTTTGAGGCTCACGGCACGGGGACTCTCGCCGGTGACCCTGTTGAGGCTCGCGCTATTCGTCAGTCATTCTTTGCTGATGATGAAACTTCGTCTGAGGATGCGGAGAAGCTGTACTGCGGCTCTATCAAGACGGTCATCGGCCACACTGAAGGCTGCGCTGGTTTGGCTGGCTTGCTTAAGGCATCTCTGGCAGTGCAGAACGCCACCATTCCGCCGAATCTACTCTTCAACACGCTGAACCCATCTATCGAGCCTTTCTACGATCGCCTACAGGTTCCCACTGCAGCAATGCCCTGGCCAGAAGTCCACAGCGGTCCCAGACGAGTCAGTCTGAACAGCTTCGGTTTCGGAGGTACCAACGTCCACGCTATCGTTGAAAACTACGAACCCGCCGCACCGGAGACATCCCCAGTTACTGAGAAGTTCATGGGCCCTCTGGTACTCTCTGCCGAGACCGAGTCATCTCTCGCGACCACAGTTGGGAAGTACGCCGACTTCATCCGGACCAATCCAGACGTCAATCTTGAAGAAATAGCGTTCGTCACACAGACCCGTCGAAGCGTCTTCAACAGACGAGCGTTCTTCTCCGGTGAGAACAGGGACAAGCTTATTGAGTTCCTTGACTCGGCTGTTGAGACCTCCAAGACTGGCGCTGAGATTGGCATCCAAGCACCAGGTTCATCATCGGAACTACCAGCTATTCTTGGCATCTTCACAGGTCAGGGAGCACAATGGGCTTCCATGGGCAAAACCATGATCGAGACGTCTTCCCAGTTTCGGGAGTCCATACGGAAATGTCAAGATGCTCTGCGTGACATTCCTGACGCACCGACGTGGTCGCTCATGGATGAGCTGATGGCACCTGAGGAGAATTCCCGGATTGGCGAAGCTGCTATTTCTCAGCCTCTTTGTACAGCAACGCAAATCGCGATTGTGGATGTTCTTGCGTCTGCGGGTGTTCAATTCGACGCCGTCGTCGGCCATTCATCAGGCGAGATTTCTGCTGTTTACGCTGCAGGTCTGCTCTCAGCCACTGATGCAATGCGCATTGCTTACTACCGAGGTCTCTACGCCAAACACGCCTCTGGGCCATCTAGTGCTAAAGGATCCATGATGGCTATAGGTATGGGCTCCGAAGATGCGACAGCCTTCTGCGACCAGGAGCAGTTCACGGGACGAATCAGTCTTGCAGCGAGCAACTCTCCGTCCAGTGCTACTATTTCTGGCGACGAAGATGCCATTTTGGAAGCGAAGGAGATTCTAGAGGAGCAGAAGACGTTTGCTCGCCTTCTCAAAGTTGATACGGCATATCACTCGCATCACATGAGAGCCTGTGCAGAGCCATATCTTGAGTCGCTAAAGGCGTGCAACATCACTGTCAGCCCTCCTTCTAGCAACTGCATCTGGGTCTCTTCTGTCTACGGAAACGCAGACATGCTTGATGATGAGGATGATCTCTCGGCCCTGTCAGGGCAGTACTGGATCGACAACATGGTTCGTCCTGTTCTGTTCTCTGAGGCACTGGAGTGCTCACTTTGGAGGGCTGGTCCCTTCAACCTCTCACTCGAAATCGGTCCCCATCCAGCTCTGAAAGGTCCCGCTTCGCAAACAATGAAGACTGCTCTGGGCCATGTCCTTCCGTACGCTACGTTCTTGAGGCGTGGTTATGATGACGTCGAAGCATTCTCGGGCGGAATTGGCTACATCTGGGCATATCTTGGATCTCACGTCGATTTTGCTGGATACCACAAAGCTATACATGGTCCTGAAGCAAGGAAGCCAAAGATGATCAAGGGGCTCCCGTCTTATACATGGAACCACAACAAGGTCCACTGGAAAGAGTCCCGCATCTCCCGCCGTTACCGTCTCGCCGAGACAGCTCCACATGAACTTCTCGGTCGTCGCACTGCAGATGACTCCGAGTTTGAGATCCGTTGGCGCAACATCTTACGCCTCAACGAACTTCCCTGGATTCGCGGACACGCTTTCCAGGGAATGGCTCTCTTCCCAACATCTGGATACATGGCTATGGCTATCCAGGCCGCAATGGAGATAGCCGGCTCACGACCTGTCAAGTTAGTTGAGATCCGCGACCTTGTTATCCCTCGGGCGTTGACTATCGAGGACAATAATCCCGGCATCGAGTCTATCTTCTCTGTCAAGAAGATTGGTGGCCATGTTGATGAGGACGTCTTTTATGGAGAGTTCTCTTGCCATACTTGCCCCGCCGAAGCTGAAGGAACCCTGGAGAGGAACTGCACTGGTCTGATCACCATTGACTTTGGTGAGCCTTCGGATCATGATCTTCCGCCGCGAGCACCTGGGAAGTCGGGTATTACACCTGTCGACACTCAGGAGTATTACGACTCGCTTCTCAACATCGGCCTCAACTATCAGGGTCTCTTCAGAGGTCTCAAGTCTGTGCAGCGAACAATGGGATATGCTACGACAAAGGCAACCTGGGACAAGTCTGAGGTAGGCGACCAGTATGTTATTCACCCAGGACCTTTGGACGTTGCTTTCCACTCCATCATTGCAGCCATGTGCACGCCTCTCAGTGGGGCTCTCTGGGCGCCTTATCTACCTGTCAAGATCGATAGGCTTGCTATTGCTCCCAACACCGACTATGAGGGGATACCAGGCGAAATCAACTTTGACGTTGATACTTTCATTACCGAGACAACGTCCAACACGTTCAGAGGAGATGTACACATTATCAGCCCTGATGGCAAGACAGGTCTACAGGCTGAAGGTCTCACCTTGAAGCTCTTCACTGAGGCAAGCTCCTCTGATGACCGACACATGTTCTCCAAGACAATTTGGCGCGCTGATATCCTGGACTCTTCCGATAATCTTGACGAAATCAATCCTGATGAGCAAGAACTTGCACTCGCTGAAGCTATCGACCGCACATCTTTCTACTTCATCAGGAAGACCTTTGACCATCTGTCGGAAGCCGATGTAAAAGACTGGAAGTGGTTCCATCAAGCCTTCTACAAGGCTGCGAAGGAGGTTCTGCAGGAGACAAGAGATGGAAAACACCCAACTGCGCAGAAGGAATGGTTTGATGATACCGAGGAGTTGATCCAGGAGTACAAGGACAAGTATCCTGAGCAAGCGGATCTCAAGCTCATTCACGCCGTGGCAGAGAACCTCGTTGGCGTCATGACATCCGACACCCAGCTCTTGGAGGTCATGCTTGTGGACAACATGTTGAGCAACCTATATACAGACGGACGAGCCATGCAGCCTCTGAACAGGATAGTCGCAGAGCTCTTCCAGAACCTGTCTCACCGATACCCTCGCCTCAATATCCTTGAGATCGGAGCTGGTACAGGTGGAACGACGAACTCAGTCCTCAACGCCATTGGAGACACATATGGTCGATACACGTACACCGACATCTCAGCTGGATTCTTTGAAGCTGCCAAAACTCGCTTCCATACACATAGCAACCGGCTTGACTACAAGGTTCTCGACATTGAGAACGATCCCACAGGCCAAGGTATTCCCGAAGGCAGTCAGGACGTCGTTCTAGCCGCGAACGTCCTCCATGCCACTCGCAACCTCAACGAGACCATGACCAACGTTCGCAAACTTCTCAAACCTGGTGGCTATCTCATCATGGTTGAAGTCACGGGATACTATCTACAGATGATGTTTCTCATGGGTGGTTTGCCTGGTTGGTGGCTTGGTGTTGATGAGGGGAGAACTCGTGGTCCTGGTATCGGGCTGACGGAGTGGGATGAGATTCTCCGGGATTCAGGCTTTACTGGAGCTGATAAGTATGTCACTGACTTACCTGACTCTCTCAAGCATGTGTGCTCTGTCCTCGTATCGCAAGCCGCCGATGAGAGGGTCACAATGCTCCAGGAGCCGCTGTCGTTCCTCGACGAGATTCCGCTGGAGCAGCGACTTCTCATCATTGGTGGCAAGAGTCTACCCATATCCCGAGTCGTCAAGAGTATCCAGCGTCTCGCATCCCGAATCGCAGATCAGGTTACTGTCGTCGACAGTATCGACTCCCTATCAGACAAGCATCTCAGTGCTGAAACATCGGTCATCTGTCTCACCGAACTCGAGAAGCCCATATTCTCTACTCCAATGACATCTTCGCGTCTAAGAAACCTCCAGTCTCTGTTCTCCCACTCATCACACGTCCTCTGGCTCACAGCAGGTCGCCTCGATGAGAACCCCTACGCCAATATGACAATTGGTCTCGGGCGCGCCATCATCAACGAACTTCCTCAACTGAACCTTCAGTTCCTTGATCTTCCCAAATCCTCGACTATTGATGCGAAGATGGTAGTTGAGGCTTTCTTGAAGCTCAAGCTCGGAAAGTCACCTGAGTTTACGAAGACGCCGATGCTGTGGAGTACAGAGCCTGAGGTGCTACTGAGGGATGGTCTCGTGACGATTCCGAGGGTGGTGCCTGATAAGGAGAGGAATAATCGGCTGAACTCTCAGAGGAGGAAGATTACGAAGGATGTTTCTCTTGGAGAGACAGAGGTTATTCTGAAAGTCACTGAGGGCGGCCTCTGTCTCGAGGAGAAGGCCCCTTGGGCCAAGTCTCTGACGGGCGATGGAATTGTCACTATCCAAGTGGAGCAGTCACTTTCACTTCCCTTCTGCGGAGATAATGAACGGGTTCTCTGCATTGGCAAGACTGATGGTCAAGTCACCATGGCCATCGCTCCACACCACAGCTCAACAGTCTCAGTTCTGGCAACGGAAGCATTTAATGTTCCCAAGGCAGAGGTTATGCAAGCACAGACTGATGTGTTGGCTGGCGTAGCTATCAGCCTGACAGCATCAATCGTTCTTTCGAGCATCTCATCGGCTGCACTCACTACTGAGGATAGTAGCCTTCTGGTCTACGGCGCGTGCACTGACATACAGAGTGCCCTCACCGCCCAGGCTTCTCACAATCTTATCTTCGCCAGCTCTGAGGTCCAGTCCGACTCTATCTTCATTCACCCCAGAGCATCCACCAGGACCATCCAGCACCTCCTTCCTCGCGGCATCAGCCACTTCGTCGACCTCTCCGAGAAGACTGACGACAAGATCAGACAGCATCTATCTCATTTGTATGAGGCCATCAGCTTTGTGCCCACACAGGCATTGGCCACTAAGACTGCCCTAAGTTATCATAAAGTTGATCAAAGTTATCATAAGGCTACTCAGATTTATCCTAAGATTGCGTCATTGGTTGAGACTGCCCATCGTTTCTGCTGCAAATCACAACTCGTATCACCTCCAGCGACCGTTTCTGTGCAGGACGTCACATCCCTTCCAGCCCTCGACCTTACACGCACCATCGTCGACTGGACCAAACCCCAGCCTGTTAGTGTCACCATCCGCCCCGTCAGTGGGCAAGGCCTCTTCTCCAACGAAAAGACCTACCTCATGGTCGGTCTTGTCTCAGACTTTGGTCGATCCCTCTGTCGCTGGATGGTTGAGAACGGTGCCAAGTATATCGTCCTCACCAGCCGTAGAGCGCAGGTCGACCAACTCTGGCTTCAAGAAATGGAGGACTTGGGCGCAGTTGTCAGAGTTTACCCTATGGATGTATCCAAGCGTGACTCTGTACAGGCCGTGTGCGATTCCATCAAAGATCTTCCGCCTGTTGGTGGTGTTTGCAACGGCGCCCTTGTTCTCAAGGATCAGCTGTTCGTTAAGATGGAACCCGATGCATTGAGCGACGTGTTTGCGCCCAAGGTTGATGGAACAATTCATCTTAGCGAAATCTTCTCAGAGCCGACTCTTGACTTTTTCGTCCTGTTTTCGTCCATGAGTTCTGTCGTCGGTAATGCTGGTCAGTCTAACTACAACGCAGCGTCTCTGTTCCAAGCTGCCATTGCTCAGCAGAGGCGCGAAAGAGGTCTCGCAGCGTCAGTTATGGCTTTGGGTATGGTCGCTGATGTGGGATACATCGCTGCAAAGGGCCCAACACTCATGGAGCGGCTAAAGAAGGCTTTTTACATGCCCATCTCAGAGTCTGATGCTCACCAGATCTTCGCTGAAGCTGTTGCTGCTAGCAAGCCTGGACTGACAGCTGACGACACGATCGAGATGGTCTCAGGCATTCAACCCTTCAACTACACGGCCTCCACCAAGGCTCGACCTCCTTGGGTCAACAATCCACGCTTTTCGCACTTCGTTCGTGAGGAAGAAGGTTCGAAGGATGTTGATGCAACTAGGGCAGGCCAGAGCAACATTCGCATCTTGGAACAACTGGACGCCGCTGGCTCTGAAGAGGAGGCTGCTGCTGCTCTTCTTGTTGCCTTCAGAGCAAAGGTTGAGACCATGCTGCAGATGACTCCGGACAGTCTCAACGTTGAGTCATCACTACTGGATGTCGGTATCGACTCCCTCTTGGCTGTGGAGATCCGGTCATGGTTCTTGAAGGAGGTTCACGTCGATGTACCTGTCCTCAAGACTCTCAGTGGTGATAACGCGAAAGATATCTGCGCTGACGCAGCGAACAAGTACCTCTCAGCCAAGATGCAGGAGAACAAGTCTGATACTGGTGATGCGTCCAAATCAGATTCAGCAGCCAATGGTTCAGCAACTGGGACATCTAGCGACGGTAGTTCGAGTCCAGTTAGATCAGGCCACGCAACACCGCCCAGTACAGTTGGGGAAACGGAGCACCAAGAGGAGGTCAAGCAGGAGAAAGAGTTGGAACGAGTGGAAAAGTTGTCGTATGCTCAGTCGAGGTAGATATTTCATGGCAGTAACAGGATGTACTTTAGCTAAATTGTATATAGGTTATGGTTTTTAAGTCAGTTTTCCAAAGATGACACCTCTTACAACTGCGTCTACGTTTACAAGGTCACTGGTAACATCCAGATTCCTCGATTGAAGAGGGCCGTTTCCACTGTTGCAAATCACCATGACTCCTCGAGGACGTGCTTCTTTACCCGACCAGGAAGTGGTGAGCCTGTTCAAGGACTCCTTGCCTCAGCGAGAGACTGTTTCAAGCATGTCAAGGATGAAGATGGTCACAGTTTGGAACAAGAGAAGAAAATCTGGCGAAACCATGTTTGGCAACTCTCTGACGGAGACGTTCTCAGAGTCATACTTGTCACTCATGGACCTGAAGAGCACTCCCTCATCATCGCCTACCATCACATTGCCATGGATGGTGTGAGCATGCATCTCTTCCTGCGAGATCTCAACGCCGTATACATGGGACACAAGCTCAATTCGTCGCCGAAGCAGTACATGGACATCTCAGTCGAGGAACGAAGGGCCATCGAGAGTCGCCAGATGGACGACAGAATCTCCTATTGGACCAAGTTGCACTCACCACCTGCAGACACTCTTCAATTATTCCCATTCGCTCGTGTCAAGTCACGACCCATTCCGAAGACCTATCGTAACGTTGAGTCTCTCATCGACATTGGCAGTGACCTCTCAGAGCAGGTCAAGCGAGCAAGCCAGTCTCTACGTATCACCCCTTTCTACTTCTACCTTGCCGCTCTTCAAACACTCTTCAACAAGCTTTTGGATGTGGAGGACATCTGTATCGGCGTCACTGATGCGAACCGCGGCGAAAGTAGCTTACAGACCATTGGCTTCTTCCTGAACTTACTGCCTCTCCGTTTTGAGGTTGAGAAGCATGCGAAGTTCTCAGATCTTGTCACAAAGACAGCCCAACAATATCGAACAGCACAAGCTAATATGGGAGTTCTTTCGATGTTATTCTCGACAAGGCTAATGTTCCTCGAGAGCCAACGAGCACTCCACTGTTCCAAGTCGCCATGAACTATCGGCAAGGAAATTTCTCCAGAATCCCGCTTGGTGGAAGCAATCTGGAGTTCAAGGATGGCTTTGATGCCCAAAGTCCTTATGATCTTGCCTTTAGCGTGACGCCGAACAATGACACGACTTACGTACAAGTTGTTGCAAGAGAAGATTTGTATACAAGAGAGGGTACCGACACTCTATTATCTGCATATCTGGCACTGCTGCAAGATGCTTCGCGAGATGTAAGCCAGAGGTTGGAGACCATCGACAGCTACGGTCAAGCTGGTATCGACAAGGCACTAATACTTGGATACGGGGATGTTGTGGACTTCCATTGGCCCTCCACGCTAACAGAGAAGGTGGATGAGGCTGTCAAGAACCCTCATGATGTCGCTATCAAAGATGTCAATGGTCGGCTCACCTATGGAGACCTTGCCGTCAGGGTCAACAACCTTGCCTCAGGCATCCAGTCTCAGCTTCGGCCTGGTTCATCGGTAGCAGTTCTCTGCGAGCCAACCGCAAGTTGGGTCATCTCCATGTTGGCCATCATCCGTTCCGGATGCATCTACGTTCCTCTGGATGGGAAGTTACCTGACGAGCGTCTCAAGGTCATTCTTGAGGCTGTTGCACCTGCCTTGATCCTCTGTGAAGACTCCACCATGGAGCGTACTCACAACATATCTATTGGGGCACCTATCCTTTCCGTGACTGGGCAACCCGACTCGACCGATAACTCAGCAAACCTAGAGCACGTGACTGAGACGACCTTCATCTTGTTCACGAGCGGATCGACAGGTACACCAAAGGGTATTCGACTCTCCTCTCGAGGTATCATCAATTATCTCGCCACGAAGAGCTCGAGGCTCTCTCTGGGTCGAGAGGTGGTTCTCCAGCAGAGCGCTCTTGGCTTCGATATGTCTCTTGCCCAAGCCTTCATGGCTCTCGCACTAGGTGGTACACTGGTCATAGTGCCCAGTGTCAGTCGGGGTGATCCACTCGCTCTGAGTAGGCTCATGGCTGATGAGGGAGTCACCTTCACGTTAGGAACTCCGACTGAGTATCTTATGCTCATTCGACATGGAGGTCAGACCGTGAAGTCAATGCACTCTTGGCGGAACGCAACCTCTGGTGGTGAAGCCATCACTCCTCAGCTGAAGGCAGCTTTAAAGACATTGCAACATCCTCCAGCTCTCACTGATTGTTACGGACCCACTGAGATCTCATGCTGCGTTACCATGAGGACTATAGACCTCAGTGATGACGGAGAGGACGATGTCTACTCGCGTGTTGGTCCAGCGAACCCTAACACTTCCATTTACATCCTTGATGAGCGCGGACATGTGGTGTCCCAGGGACTCGCTGGTGAGATCTGCGTTGGCGGTGTTGGCGTTGCACTCAGCTATCTCGACGAGAACTCAACCTCACAGAAATTTGTACCGAACCCGTTTGCGACGGCTGAGCATACTGAAAAGACGTGGACTACGATGTATCGGACTGGAGACAAGGGCCTCATCCGTGCTGATGGCGGTCTTCAGTTCATGGGCCGCATGGATGGTGATACAACTGTTAAACTTCGTGGGCTACGCGTCGATCTTGATGATATTGCCAACGTCATGCTACAACAGTCCAAGGGCTCTCTTGGGGATGTCGTTGTTACGGTCCGTGGTGATCCAGCTTTCCTCGTTGCGCATGTTGTGCTGAGCACGGGAACCTCTATGGATGCCTCGGAATTACAAGATTTAGCGAGCGCCTTGCCACTTCCTCAGTACATGAGACCAGCTACGGTTATACCGCTGGAGAAGCTGCCGTTGAACAGAAGTGGAAAGGTGGACCGTCGTGCTATAGCAGCCCTCCCTCTCCCTACATCGCCTGCATGCCCTGGTCCCTCCAAAACGGCTCCAGACAGGAAGTCAACGCTTGTTGAAGGAGAGTTGAGACTTGTTTGGCACAACGTACTATCTCAGGCAGGTCTTGTCAATACTGCGGGGCTTGAGCCTGACACGGATTTCTTCCACGTTGGAGGCAACTCACTACTTCTTGTGAGACTACGAAGCGCAGTTGAGATCTCAATGGGCGTCACACTACCTCTCAGCGACATGTACCGTTCTAGCACACTAGCTGGAATGGCGGGCCTGGTTGCGCAGCAAAAGAGCTCTGACTATGTGCGTGAGGTAATTGACTGGGAGGTCGAGACAGGCGTCCCTTCTCCCATCAACTTAACCTACTCTCGCCAAGCAATCCCTGTCAGGACACAGACTGGTCTTGAGATTCTCATGACTGGCTCAACGTCATTCCTGGGCAAACAGATCCTCCAGTCTCTTTTGAGCCGACCTTCAGTCGCACGCATATATTGCATCGCCGTTGACCCAGACACTGAGGCCAGTCACCTCAAGGACGATCGTGTCACGGTGTATCCTGGTAGCCTAAGCGAGCCCATGTTGGGACTCAAAAGAGAAACGTACCAGCACCTTCAAGCAACTGTAGACACTGTCATTCTCGCGGGAGCCCAAGGCCATTGTCTCAACAACTACTCAACCCTTCGCGCACCTAACGTGGAGTCGACGCGACAGATGGGTCTCTTCGCTCTTGCTCGCCGAATTCCTATTCATTACATCTCATCTAACCGAGTTACACTGCTTGACTCCAGCGCAGATGCAGCCCTTCCACCAGTTAGCGTTAAGGACCATCAACCTCCTACAGATGGATCAGAGGGGTTCACAGCAGCTAAGTGGGCAGGTGAAGTATTCCTTGAGAAACTATCAGAAGTAACAGCTGCGAACGCAGAGAAAGGTCTCTCTGTCTCTATCCATCGGCATTGCGCCATTGTAGGTGATGAGGCCTCTATCGAAGACGCACTCAATGCCTTGCTTCGATATTCCAAGCTTATCAATGCTGTACCGCGTGTATCTAGCCTGAATGTCGGCGGTTACTTTGACTTCCTCCCTGTCACGGATGTCGCCGACTCTTTTGCCGATTTTGTTGTGTCCTCACAAGGAACGCACTCGGGCGTGGCTTTCAAGCATTACTCGAGTGGCGTCAAGGTACCGCCAAAAGAGTTCGCCTCATACATGCAAGGGACATATGGAAACGATTCCCGAGAACTGGACTTGGACGATTGGGTCGAGGAGGCTAGGAAGGAAGGAATTGAAGAGTTAATTGTGTTATATTTGCAGGCTATCGTGGAAAAAGGAGAACGGATAACATTTCCTTACATGGGGAACAATGAGTAGGTATTGGTCTAGGGTGCAAGACTTCTGACATTAAATTGAGGCACTGAAGATACTTGGTCTAAGATCTTCTGATTCTATACTAAATTATGCCAAGTTTACTCAAGCTTATTAAGTTTACCTAAGTTTAGTTTACCCAGGTTTATTAAGTTTACCTAAGACTTTTTGTCATTTAAGATATAGGTCCTAAGATTTGTTGCATCCTCTTGATTGTGAACTAGGATAACCATATCGAAACACGCTCTACGCTTTCTTAGCCACTACGACGACAAAGTTGGGATCGTTGAGATACTCCTCCCAAAACTCGTGGTCGTTTTTGACAAGCTCCGTCTCTTCGGCCGGGGCAACATGTATCTCAACCAGTCCGAGTTCCTTTCCGATGTCATCAGAAAGCGAGAAAGTCGATTCCATTGAAGTAGCCTCAAATGAGAACGGCGGCTCGGTCACGCAATTGACTTGGTATCTCAAGCCGCCCGGGATCTCAGTGACATCCGTGAAGGTGACACCGTATTTGCCCTGGCTCATGTACTCGGCGCGGATGCTCTTTGACCTCACGCCGATGAACTTGCCCCCAGGCTTCAGGTTCTTGACGACATTTTCATACATGCTTCTCAGATCTGAGACAGAGGAAGCATGATCGAAAACCCAATTGGCCATGACAATATCGTAACCGTCTTCCAACTTGACTTGCTCCGTGACGGGTTTGGTGACATCAGCCTCGAACCAACGAATTCGATCCTTTCGCCCGAGACTCTTCTCAATCTCCTCACCAGCTTTCATCATCTCGGGTGAAATATCAACGACATCAACAACACTAGCCCCAGCATCAATCGCTCTTCGGGCATGAAGTCCACTTCCTCCACCAAGATCTAGCACCTTCAAACCCGTACAATCCCCCAGAGCATTCTTCACAAGCTGGCCCTCAAGTTTGGAACAGGGCAACTCCTCCACAGAAGCATACTTGGGTGCGAACGAATCGTATTGCGTTTTCTCGGCGTGAGACATGCTGGGCACAGACACTGGGTAGTGATTGGTTTGTTGGTCGTTGATTTGCGTGTTGGTTCTGGCAATATCACTCAAAACCCCGCTCTTTGCCTTGGATATCGACAGGGATGTTGATGTTCTGATCTAACCACTATAACGCTAGTGTTGATGTTATCGGGCCTCAAGGAGCAAGAAAATACTGGATTATTAAAATAAGGTGTAAAATAAACTTAGTAGAGAGTTCCCTAAGCTTATGCTAGATTTACCTAAATATCTTTATCCCTTAGGGTCAAGGTCCTGGGTTTTCCTCCTCCCCCTTCTGGTTCTGATCTAGCCGCTATCCCGCTATCATGCTAGTCTTGATAGTATCACGATACAGACTAGAATGAAATTCTTATCACACGTGACTGTTGACAGATCATCCGTCTCCAAACCCCACTCGTGCCGACCGCTATTTCAATCTAATGTCACGTCACGTCAAACAGTAAATCGAATCCTTGACGATGTGCGCGGACGAAGAACCCCTTGCTGTCGATGAGCATGTATGCATCTACTGTGGCTGAAGACTTATTGCATGCGACTAACCGATTGGACAGGCAGCTCAGGACGACACTGATGCTGACTCCGCCATTGGAGACGTAAGTGGATGTTTCGAGGGCGATCGCAGTAGCTAACGAGTAAAAGGACAATGCTAGCGATACTACGTCATTAAGATCAAGTATTTTGAGATACCGTGAGGAGAATGGCAGGACGTATCATGCTTATAAGGACGGAGGTGAGATATGAGGATGTGCAACAGATGTGACAAGAAGTTGAACTAATTGACACAGCCTATGCACTTCCAAATGACGAGGTAAGCCTTTGTCACTTATCATAGGAATTGCTACTAACCTGATAAAGATTGAGAACGAACGACTAGGTACACCATGATACCACCCCCCCCCCCCCCCCGTCCATTGATAATCCCTCAGATCTTCAGCATCATCTCTTTCTGCTCACTTTCGACGAAAGACTGCACGCAGCTCCCCTGCCCAAGACGCTGAACCGCGTTTTCGATGCGGGCTGTGGCACTGGAATCTGGGCCATCGAGTTTGGTGAGTAATGCAAGCTACACTACGATGACCATAACGCTGACAACCTGGACAGCTGATGAGCATCCCGAGTGCGAGGTGAGCTTTACGAAGATGACTTAGAAGACTACTGCTAACTTTTCAGGTCATTGGCGTCGACTTGAGTCCGATTCAGCCTTCAGCGTATGTATTCATTCTCGTGGTAATGGGGCTTACTGACATCTCAAAGCATTCCACCCAACGCCTCCTTCTACGTAGATGATCTAGAAGAGTCATGGGACTACTCCAACAAGTTTGACTTTGTCTTTGCTCGCTTTCTCACAGGCTCCATCCTAGACTGGCCCAAGTTCTTCAGCGAAAGCTACAAGTACATCATCCTCCTGTCCCTACTCCTGAGGATATTGTCTAAAACCTATCAACAGGAATCTCAATCCTGGAGGCAGAATAGAAATGATCGACATCATCTACCCTCTCCTCTCCGACGATGATACCCTCACAAAGGACTCGGCATTATCTAAGTGGTCAGAACTTCTACACGATATCTTTACTAAGAATGGCCGTCCCATGGATAGTGCGCTGAAGTACAAAGATCAACTTGAGGAAGCGGGCTTTGTAGATGTAAACATTGTGAAGCGCAAGTGGCCTTTGAATCGATGGCCCAAGGATCCCAAACATAAGCAGATTGGTTAGTTCATCGCCGCTTTATTTCTTGGTGTTTTCCTAACACTAGCGAAGGTACCTGGGCCCAACAGAACACGTTGGATGCTCTGGCAGCTTTGAGTCTAGCTGTATTTACGCGTCCTGATGGTCAAGGTGGACTTGGCTGGAGTAAAGAGGAAGTCGAGGTTTTCCTGACAGATGTGCGAAAGGATATTAAGAATGTCAACATTCATTCATACTGGCCAATGTAAGTATCTGACCCTGCAGCGAAGTATTGTATTAATAGTGAAACAGTTGGTCGGTCTATGCCACAAAGCCCAATTAAAGCACTAGCTAGAGCAGGCAGCTCTACGTATCCCCAATAAGGACTCACACACTTTGAAATTTAATGACATGCCCTGAGACGGAACCGATAAAGATCGTTGCAGAGTTCCCACTGACCCAACATTTGACGCTTCCATCAAGCGGCCTGTACTGTGGAGGCACCCATAAGAGGTGGTCACTGTCGGCTGAGAAGGCCATTGCTTCGATCCTGCTCTCAGTGAATGATAAAGCGCATAAATGGGTACCGGTAATGACGTTACGTAGATGAAACTCATATTCGCAGAAACCATTGTGTACTGCATATGCCAATAAATGACCATTTTGTGAAAAGATATGTAAGCACATGGCTCGATCAGCGTTCTGAATCACTTGGATACGTGCGCTCAAGTGGACCTCAATACCTTGTATCTCCAGTCCTAGGTATGCGCTACTGCCAAATCATTCGACGCCCTATGCTTCTAGCGAGAGAGATGAAGATTGAAGATCCATAAAGCTGAAAGAGGAGCAAGCTCTATAATCGTGTTAAACGCAGCGATTACTCTAATTGAATCTCGGACGAAAGGGGCAAAGTCCTGGCGTAGATCACTGCATGTCTGCAAAGTCAGCTCAGGGACGTGTTATAACGTTGACTGCCTGTTATACCTGACTCATCTCTAATAATTCCCTTAACGTATTCACACCATCTGCCAGTCTCCCTAAGAGCGATAGCACCTCTACCCAGTGTAGGAGATGGTCGAAGAGAAATGTGTACGTAAAGGAACTCAGCGATCGATCACTGCGTTTCAGGTGTAAGAACCAGTAGTTGCAAGCATACTCGAGTTCAGGAGGGATGCCACTCTGTATTAACTTCGCATCGATCTCGTATTTGGTTGTCTCTGGATTCTTAATTTCGCACATATCATATTTGAGATTTGCTTCCATACATTGGATGCAGGCCTCTGCAAGATTGGCATGTATCTCTCCTTTATTGATCTGGTACTTGTGACGGCCTGAACCTTCGTCGCTGGAGAGGAAGTCGAAAAATGACTTGTGAAGAAGCTGTATAGGTTGGTAGAGCTCGGGAGGTACATGCAACACTGCATAGAGCCTTGGAACCCACCAGCTAATATCATCCAGATCCGTGCCAAGTAGAAGGGTAAGAGACTTTGCTGAGAGTGGCCTGACCAGAAGTACAATGGTACCGAGAAATCGTAACTTCTGACGAAACTCGTCTTCATCAAAACCTAAGAATGCTTGGTCAAGAAGAGGACTGTATATCTGTTGCAGTTGCGAATTGCTCCCTTGTTCCAACCACAGGATTAGCTGTTGGATCGGACTCCTATTCTTATCTGAAACGAATCGACATAAAGTTGCGGCGTAGATGAACAAGGGTTCAGGCGTGGTAGAAAGTTCTACAAGTCGATCAAGGTCTTCCATTGTTGGCCATGGGTCTTTTTGTACCTTCCTTTTATACTTAATATCCGCAAACCTCACTTCTAAAAAGTTGCGAACGTCCAAAGTGGTATCGCCTAAGAATTCTCGGTGGAGCTCTACAGTATGGACTGTCTTGCTCTGCAAGGGAGGCTCGAAAGCTTCGACAATCTCAGGTGCATACCTGCTGGTAATTAATACACGCAGGTGAAGCTTAGAGCTAGTGCAAAGCTTCGAAAAAAGCCCCAAAAGCCTTGTGAGATTCTCGGGCCTCCCACACTCATCTAGAGCGTCAATGATGATTATCTTTGGCAAATGATTTGCCTCTGTGGGTTTCAAGGTCTCCAAGGGCTCCCATAATAGCTTCTGGAACTGACTTTCGAGGCTACTCTTGTCTACTGCATCCTTATCGAGACCTTCAAGTGATTTCCGAAGACTCTCTTTAAAGAGGGAAACAGTATCTGCCAATTGCGTCGCAAGTGTAGTGAATAGCCGGTTAGTGTCATTCCGGTCCTGTTCTCCCCTTTTAAACATGTATCCAGCAACCAGTCTCTCGTTTCTCTCCAGAGAGTCAATTACACTCCTGGTAAGAGTAGACTTACCAGTCCCGGCAGGACCAATAAGCCAAAGTATTGGTGGGCCTGAGTCCTGGTCTGCCCAGTTTTGGATGAGCTCAAGGATACGAGCTCGTGTGCCAGGTTCGCACCTTGGACTCTTTTTGACGTCTTCGCTATTGCAGCGTGCGCTATGAACTATGTGGAGGTCCAAGGGATGATCGTCTAGGATTTTCCTATTCCCAGTTAACGACCGTCCGTGCGTAGCAATAGGCTGTATACCTGATATGCTTTTGTTCGTTCAGGCTCTGCGCCGTGGTTTCTAGTTGATCCTTGGCAACTAACATAGGTTAGCAAAACTTGACAGGTAGCATGATCTTGGGATATGTTATTTGCGTGCCCCAAGTACGTCAAGCTCGGGCGTGGGTCACAGACTCATAGCTGTTTCAGCAGCACAAACAAGAAACCAGAAATTTACTTACTCGACACCAGTTCTGACATAAGCTTCTTTTCTTGTAGAACCTGGTTTGGTGGTATAAATAACAGCAGCTCTTTCGCAAAAGCTGCCGCCGTCGCAGCAGCATATTCTTGCCAGTTCTTGTTCTTATGCGAATCGGCATAATCGCAGATGCCCCGAACAACAAGACATGGAAAGTTGTACAGGCCTGCAGCTTCCATTTCAAAGCACAAGGCACCGTATTCTTGACTCAGACGCTCACGCGTCTTTCCTTCCTTTATGACCTGATTCCCCGAGGCTATGATGCCATAGTGGAAGTATGGATCGGTGTCACCACGATCCTGTCTATTGATTATCTTGGACTCGTCGCATTGGGCACATGTTGCGTTTCCCTGATCGACATGATCGTACACTGCTTGATAAAACCGATCGTTCAATATACCTGGGTAGGTGAATTTTCCTTTCATCCTCTTGGAAGTCTTCGCGTTCAGCTGAGATAGGAACTCGGGAACTCGACTTTCCTCGGTCATATGGGTAGCTTGCAGGCAAGACAACGCCGATAGTAAGATTTGGGGAGGCGTGTACTGCGAGCCAGTACGCTGAAACTTGCCTTCTGGCAATATCTTGCCCCGATCATGTTGTACGACTCCTCCGGAGGTTCCTGAGGGCTGGCTGATCACCACATCGCCCAATCGGATATCATGCTGTGATGATGGAGCTCCACCTCCAATGCCAACCAACAAGCCAAAACGGATGGATTTGAAGGTTCGAAGTAGGTCCTTGGCGACTGTAGCTGCGGGATTGATTCCATATATGCCAGCCGGAAGGCACGCAATCGCAATTTTGTGGCCTTGGATTTCTCCCAGGATATAGCTGTTGTGGTCGTCGGGGTCCTGCTGAGCCAGCTTGGGGTGAATCTTGTCGAGCATCCCTCTGGCAGCAGCCATCTCTAGTGGAAGGGCGCAAACCCATCCAACGGTGTATTCCTCCGATTGAAACGTAGCATTGTCCCCGGACATCGTCAAAATCGAAAACGATAAGTTGGGTGATATGTGAGGAAATGAGACTGTGGGCTATGTACGACATCCGCTAGGGGAGGAAAGAAAACACAAAACCTTGACCCTAAGCAATAAAAATATTTAGGTAAATTAATAAAAATATTTAGATTTAGCCTAAGTTTAGGGGGCTTTTGATAAGTATATTTTGACACCCTAAATCAAGGTCCGGTGTTTTCTTGCTCCCCGAGGATCCGCAATTCCAACCACAAAAATCGAGGGCGCGTAATGGTCTTGGCGGCATAACTAATTGGCCAGTCTCCAAAGTGAGGCGAGCATCATGCAGCGGCTGCTGACCTGCTGCCTAGTGCCAGTCATCTGAGCAGTAGGCCAAGATAGCAAAACGTCCATAATAAACGGCCACCATTGCGAGGCTTTGTCAGCAGCATCAGTGCATAGTGGCTAGCTGAGAGCCAGGGCCAGTATTACTAAACCTACTGGGTTCTTGAAAGGCTCAAACTCGCCAGCTACTGTGCCCTGACCATTCGCCTGGCTGGGAGGGCCTTGGTTTGCAGTGTGAGTATTACCCCTCATTTGTGTATACCGAGCCAACTTCTCGCCTCCTTCTCACTTCTCCTGACTTATAATTCCCAGCGCCTCCATTCGTTCTCAATGTCGTCTATTTTCTCCCAGAAGTCCTTTCTTCTTTCATTCTGAATCTGCCAAGGAGACTTTCCCTCTGCATTCAGCTCATCCATCAGACTTCCCTCATCACCTTGAAGCCTTCGAAGTATTTCTCCCATAGATTTGTACTTTTCTTCGATTACTCCAGGCCAGAACATTCCGCTCGCTGCCTCATGTAGTGGCGTGTTTCCTTTCAGGTTCTTGGCACATATGTCTGCACCATGATCAAGAAGAAACACGATGGCATCGAGATTCTCTAGGTTCTTGACAACCAAGTGCAGTGGCGTATTGCCGTTATCCTCTGTACCCATGACTATTGCGCCATGCCCGAGTAGAATTTCTATCGCTGCTGTATCGATGGGCCATCCTCCATTGTCGTGACATAAGCAATGGAGCGCTGTTTCACTCTTTTTGTTGAGAATACTCGCATCAGCGCCCCTATCACATAGGAGCTGATATATCGCCGTGTACTTTCTTCCGCAGTTGCTGTAAGTCTTGGCTGCATAGTGTAGGGGAGTGTTCCCGTACATGTCCTGTGTATTGATCGTCTCTGGGTTGCAGCCCAGTAGCAGGTCAACAGTAGTCATGATTCGTTGCAGTTTCTCCTCCTTGACTTCTGTAGTCATCTCGCGAGGATTTTCTTCTGTTGAGACTTGGCAGGCCCAGTGAAGCGGCATGCTTCCCCAGCTATCACGATTTGATACTGCGTCTGCCATATCACCAACCTTGCCTGCACAACCAAGCAGGACTTTAAGAGCATCAACGTTCGCACATCGACTTGCGGTGGAGATGATCGTTATATCAGTGCGAACTCTGTCATCCTTATTCTCCATAATCTTGATGTTGGGATCAGCGCCACTCAGGATGAGCCGCCGGATCAGGTCAGGTCCAGCCCACTCTGCAGCAAGGTTCAAAGCCATGAATGTCGGTATCCGTTTGTCCTTAGGCTCGCCAGTGACAGGATTATCGCGAAATCCCACATGTAGTCTGCGTCAGAAGCATGGGCACCCCGGTCAAGCAAAAGGTTAATGACTGCCTCTTTTCCATCGAGGTTGTTTCTCCAGTCAAAGGTATCTACAGCCAAGTCAAAGGCGTCGGCAGCCCAGTCAAATATGTCGGCAGCTGCCATGATAGGAGTGAACCCATGATAGTTATGGTGAAGATCAATTTGAAGCAGAGGGTGGTCTAGCAGCACCTTGACTACCTCAAGTTGACCACAACGAGCTGCTGTATTCAGCACATCGTAGCAACGACCATCAAGATCAGTTCTTCCACTGGGTTTCATGAAGTGTGTGTAGTGATCTAAGAGTATTCTAAGTGAATGGAGACTCCCATGTGTCGCTGCGACGATGAACGGATCAGAGCCCATTCCAAGAGGATGACCTCTCTTAATGGCCCAAGGCGCGTTTCCCAAATACTTCTTCAAAGCTGTCGTATCATCATGCTCAATAATAGCCGTGCGGAGGGGAAAACGGAACGTTTCGTATAGCGTTGATCCATTTGTATCAATTATAGTTGGTTGTTGCCCCGCTGGACTTTCTGGTTCGATAAAAATGCTGTTCCGACGTTGACGAAAGTTTTGGTAGGGCGACATAGCCATAGTTGTGAAGGCCGTTGTTCCCTCGAGCTAGATGACTAGAATTCTTAATCGAGAGTGAGGGAATAAAAATAACACTTGGCCATATAGAAAGCGTTCTGGCAGCATTATTTCCTTGTAAGTTATCCCATAAACTACCCTGGATCATCTTCTCCACAGACCTGTACCCGGATGAGTCAGGCCGTCAAATTACCCGAATAATAGCCCGAAGCTCCGTAACACGCGCAAGCTGCTAACCGAGCTTACAAGATCCTGGAAAGCATTTGTCACAACGAACCATTGCATCCAGTAACCCACTGGAACGAGATTTTCCGAGAGCATCAGCCTATTATTTATGAGTCCAAGCTTCCGGGATTGATGACCCGGGGAGTCGGGTAGCGGAACTTGGATCCTGAGTGGCCACAACACGATACTAAAACGAAGCTAGCTAGCCGATCATAATAATCCTTGACGCCAATCGATTTTATCGTGAACTTTGAGCTAATGATTCAACCCAGACAGAGTCAGAAAGAAATGTTGTTATCAGCAAGCACAAGGGAGGAATCTATAGCAAGGGCGTATTAGAGATTACTCATGTTCTTAGTCCATTTAGCAAAATATAGATATGACTGTTAGCTCAAGTTGCGGCCCACGATTCCGTCATCCGCATCCATCATCGCTAAAATCTTTAGTCCCGGTCTAATGAACCGGAACCGATCGCTTCATTTAGATTTCAGGCTCACCGCAAGCTAGCGATAGCGGAAGCTGGAAAATTCCGGGTTCACGCTAAGAAGGCGGGGATCGATGCTCCATATATCGTCTCATCTTCATCTTATTCCTCGATTCGATCCCGACATTGATCAGATTATACATATCTTGGCTCTCGCGACCGTCATCTATCCTATCTGGCAACCTCTCAGCCCTTTGCTCACATACAATCAAGGGAGCTCGTTCTGAACAGCATCAATCAACATGAGCAATTTACCAACGGCTATCCCCAGAGGCTCATGGGTCCTCGTGACGGGAGCGAATTGTTACACCGGCAGCCATGTGGTCATAGAGCTTCTGAAGCAGGGTTTCAAAGTGCGCGGGACAGTGAGAGATCTCTCATACAGCAAGTGGCTACTCGAGCACCCAGCCGTGAAGCCGCACGCAGACGAAGGAAAAGTGGAATTGGTTGTCGCCAACACATCAAAGCCCGGAGATTTCGATGAGGCGGTGAAAGGTGTCTCGGCTATTATCCATATCGGCAATGTCGGCGATTATACGCCAGATCCGAATGTCGGGTTCGCATCAGCTATCGAGGCTGCCTTGACCGTGTGCCGATCTGCTGCCAAGGAAGCGTCAGTCAAGCGATTTGTGATGGCAGGTGGGCTATGGTCATCAGTCTGGCCCAAGCCTGGAGAGACAAAAACTGTTGGACAGGACACATGGAACGATGATCTGGTCAAAGCCGCGCAGGCGCCGCCGCCGTATGAGTTGAGCCGTATTCTTCCAGTGTACCTGGGGGCCAGAGTTGAAGCCGAGAAGGCGGTATGGAAGTTTGCTAAAGACGAGAATGTTCCATGGGAAGTCAATGTCGTTAGCCCTTGTTGGATTTTGGGCGATCCTCTGGACGCGAGACACTATGGGCCAATGCCTACTCAGCTCTTGCAGCAGCTATACCTTGGCAAGATCGATGCTCTCAAGGAGAACACAACGGGTATGTTGGCAAATAAATGAATTGAGAGTCTCAGAAATACTGACCAGATAGTCTATTATACTCATGTCTCCGACGCGGCTGTCATGTACGTCGCAGCAGCTATTGACCTAGATGTCAAAGGCGCTCGTATTCCAGCCCTAGCCGAGTCTTTCAACTGGAACAACGCTTTGGCCATCATGCGCAAAGCATATCCCGAAGAAGACTTTGAAGACGACTTTATTCCTGGAGACCCTGTTCTGAGCTACAAGATCGAGAATGACATTGCACCTGAGCTGCTGCAAAAGTGGGCTGGAAGGGAATGGATCAGCCTTGAGAAGGGAATTACGGAGACCATCGATTTCTCGAGGAAGCTGGGTAACCTGGACTAGCCGGATGCTCGGGATGGTGAGGTTACGCTGGAAAAGCTTCGAATGTCTTTATGTAACGCATTGCCTGGACTTTGACAGGATTCAGAGGAACGAAAACTTATGGTAACGAGAAATACAATTTCAACTATCGCTGGAGAAGAAAATGGAACGCAGAGCGTTCTACATATGGTGAAGACGTGGGTGATGTTCCTAAGCTTTACTTGCAAGCTCTTCTAATGGTTTTCTTCCGTAAACCACGTAGCTATAATTGCCCACGTCAGAAGAAGGTCTTGGTCGGATCCAATAGAGAGAGGGACTTACACCGGGATATAAGCATGGATACTTCGATCGCGCAGCTGCTTTCTCATAGCACTGCAGAACACGCGGACCTCATCCGCACTCCAGCCCAAGAATCTCGTAAACAATCCAAGCAATAGACCCTCCAGTCCATTATTGATATTGGCATAAGACCACCTGCCCAGTTCCTTGTAGTGTTTGTCCTTGGGCCACTCGTTAATAGGCCACTTGAACTGCTTCTCCACCACGTCAACAAAACCAGCCTTCTCAAGGAAGGTCTTATACTTAGGTGCAAGATTAATGGCTCGTCCTGCTTTGGCGCTGGCTTCGATGCTGAGAAGACCGGAGCGGAGAACCTCGCAGTCTGGGGGCAGGGTTCCATCATCACAGGCGATGGGGTAAGTTAGGTCTTGCATTTCAAGGTAGCCGCCGGGTTCAAGATTACTATAGCACATTAAGAGAAGAGTGGTGACTGGATAAAGTTTGACCTACGCATAGGCATTTTGGACGAATTTCTCCATATCGGCGAAGGATCCTGTCATGACGCGACAGAAGATAAAGTCGAATGGTTCTGTCCACATCCATTCTTTTTCGAGATCGTCGATTTCAAAGGCGCAGTTCGGTGGGACCCTAAGGAACAGTTTAGCTACATGAGGCCTGAGAGTGAGGTTGAGCTATACAATGAAGGTTGGATAGGGCTAAGGTCTACACCAATGACCTGAAGCGGTCAGTGAAGAGAATCTTGTTAGAGAATAAAAAGGAATGATACCTGCGCTTCGGGGTGAAGATCCGCTGGATAAGAAGGTTAGTGAATAAATCAGTTCACATATTGCCTCTCGTACCATATTCGATAGCCCAAATACCAGTTCCGGTTCCAACATCCATGACCCTCTTGGCAGGCTCCGTGATCTTTGGGCTGAGCCCGAGCTCTCCATGAAGGGTGAGTAGCCAGAGATTATGCTGAAGATCTTCACCAACACTCAGTACGTAACATAGGCTAAGGCCTGCTGATAAACCTACCCAAACGGTCACTTTCAGACGCGTCGTTGGGAAAATTGTATCCTGGATCGCATGTTAGTCATGAAAGAGACGTGGTAGATAGGAACAACTCGCTTCCGGAACTCATGGCATGGTAGGTTCTTCCATTTTCTTCCTGGAAGCGCAAGACGCTTGATCGAAGTGACTCCAGGCTTTCTGAGTCGGCCTGTGGCTGTTTAGCTTTGACTCTCGGTATATTATCACCCATACTGCTTGGCGCCATCGGGAGACTCGCTGCTGAACTTACGCCTGAGAAAGTCGAGTCGCTGTCGTCAAATGTATCGGCGGCCTATTCAGAAAGGTCAGATTCATTCAGCGCAGTGCATGGCACATTATCTCTATACCAATGCCTCGTGTGGCTCCTGAGTAGGCGTCGTCATGATGTAATGCGTCCTTTTAACGGTAAGAAATAGCAGATGGTCGTTGAGTGTCTGTGATTTGGAGCAAGTTATTCGCTTGAGAACGGAGAGCAATAAAGCCGTGAACTGTCAGGTGATTCTCGGGGTTCGGCACCGGATAGGCAGGAATAAAGGAAAACACCTCATGAGCAATCATATAATCTGCCTCGTTGAGTAACGTAATCCGATGCATGTCGCGGGCACAGCGAGAGACCCAACCAACAGACCCACCAAGGTTGCAGTGATACTTTGATCAGGTAATTCTCTTTCACTGGGGGTTTTCTAGAATCGTGGTTCGCTGGCTGAACGAGGTTTGGAGTGAAAGATCCATTATTAGACTACGTATGCCCTTGGCGAATCAGGACAAGACGATGCATGATCCGCGTAACTGTGGATGTCGCTGTAACCCCCCCGAAAGAAAAGTCAAGACCTGGAAAAAGGATATCAAAATAAACCAAGTAAAGAGCCACCTCAGCTTATGCTAGATTTGCCTAAACATTTTTACCGCTTGGGGTCAAGGTCCTAAATTTTCTTTCCTCCCCTGGCTTCGCTATGTGATCATCCAAGTCTGATTAACACTTCCTCGGGCTCTAGCTTCAGCCACTGATCCAAGGATATACCATGGCTAACCCGAACCCTTCGGGCGAGTCCATCATCTTCTCTGGAGATACACATTACATCGAGAACAAATCGGCCCCTCGAGCATAAGTCTTGCCACCGAGAGACAGCAGCGTCATAGCTATGCTGATCGGAAAACAAACGACCGCTCATCTTTGCGTTATATCGGCTCGTTCCACAACCGCCGGCATATCCGGAATACTGCGGTGGCTCGGGATCTGTCAGTTTGGCAGTGGCAAAGACGATGAACTCCAGCTTATCTGGTTGTTTTCCACGCCAGCCAGGATCACATTGCAGGCTTCCAATCGAATATCCGTCGTTCCCTATCATATCAAAGTTTGGTAGCCCAATCCTGCCGTCGGGCTTTCTGGCGACAGTGATATGAGCAGCTGAGGTTTGGAACTCCAGGATGGGATTTGGCGGCGCGAAGGGGCTCTGGGATATATGCACTGGCGAAAGATATTTATTGTATCTTTCACGCAACATGATGTCGATATCTGTCTCCTGGATGATGCCAGACCTACCCCAGCCGCTCTCTCGAGCCCCGCCAGAGGTCCGCGTACTAGAAGGGACTTCAAGACACCACTCGACTAGACCCTGGTAGCTAGACCAGCTCCAACTGGGGAAGTCGGCTCGTTGGCTGTTAGGATCAGGGTTATGGCCATGAAGTGGTTGCCAACCCGGCGCAAATCCAAACTGGTCCAAAGGAAGACCGAAACTGCATGTTGATCCCCACTTCTTGTCTTCCTCCATCCACTGGACCGCGGCAGCCCAAGCATTGAGGATGTCCTCAGGATGACCCAGGGTCCGCTTGGTGTACTCCTCCACAATCCTGTAATAGCCCCCCTCTGGGTACGATCCATTGGAACGGAGGAGCATTAGATCCTTTATTCTCCCAGCCTCTATTGTTTCCGTGTTTGCTGAAGCTGCCATAGAACTACCTCCTGGTACTTCCCAGACACTTTCCTCGCAGTACATCGTCTCACGACATAGGAAGAAAGTCTGTGATGCCGTGAAGAAAAGGATTCGTCTTGAGAATGCTGCTTCTTGAAAGGTCCAGCCGCGACTGAACCAGACTGAGCTCTCGATTTCTGTGAAGAGTGATGGGTAGCATGTCATGAGACTCAAACCATTTATAGTAGCCTGGTGCTGTGGCTCAGGATTTCTTGTACCTGGTCGAACTCCTGGGAGGGGGTCGGCAAAGGTAGTGCCACTCAAGGCGACCAAAGTACAAGTTGCTCCGGAGTAGATTGATGCCATGTGGTGAATCTCAGGGTCGATTGAGCCCCGTTTTTGGGGGATGCAAAATTGATCGACCCACAAGAAGCGTAGATCGATCTGACGACAGAACTTCATGGTATCCGTAATGGTGTCACCCAGGGTTATACCCGGAGCGGAGACTCCCTGGTTGTCGGAGCTCCTGCTCGTTCGAGGTCTTCAGCTGTGTACCAGGTGTACCATCACCCCAGACATAGCTCAAGGCAGCGTAGCCATCGTGTGGAGAGGATACAGAGACAATACAGTTCCTTTGAACATCAATAAGCCTTTTTGGGCGAGTTATCTTGCCTACTGGTTTATACTCCCTACATTCCTTGTGCTGCTCACTGCAAAGGCTTAGCCAGGTTTTACAGAGTTCAAAGTCGATATCCGCGCCGACGTGTCGCCCGCCGAAACAGCTCCCAAATTCTATATTAAGTTCCTTGTTTGCTTGAAGTCCCGAACGCGACTCAGCCTTTTTCTTGACTTGACGTGCGCGCTCCCAAGCTGCAGTATGAGAGCGATCCGGAGCACATAGCTGAAGACCACGAATCATCAGGGATGCATGGCTGGGCTGTCGATATGTAACGTTATGGAAGCCAATACACTGTGTAAACCCGCTATCAAACATGACTGTTCCTATCTCGACTGCCGTAACCATCATTCCATCTTCGCTATCTGGGAAAAGGTCGGGTACGCGTAGACGGTTCAAGGTGCGCGTTATCATCCGAAATGTCTGTATCTGATGGAAAGTCAACATGCAAAAGGCACAGCACTTTGCATGCATTCGGATGTGCTTCCAGGTTCTCGGGACCTGTTTCTGGGAGTCGAGATCTGCGCGGTACGGGTTGAAGCCATCAGGATAATTGGCGGAATCGCGGCCTGTGAACACGCCATGGAAGTCCACGTCCCTGCAGATATTACAAAGACTGCTGTGTGGAACGAGGGTTTTGCGTTCTGCCATGATAACTTTAGCTGCAAGTGGATGGGTCACGGAAGATAAGAGGCCCTTATTTTGGCCATAAGAATGAGGAGTTGGAATGATAAGTATCAGCCCGATAGGCAATACTTACAGCCATGGGAAATTATATTACAGTACGGGGGCAGGGTCAACCAATTTCATCACTTTGCAGAAATTAGGCGCTTTGAAGAAGAACAAATCCCGCACATAGGTGACCTGACCCCAAAGGTCGTGCAGAGTATGGCGCCGAGCTGAGTTACATCCTTCTGACTGTGGGCATGCTATTGGACGACATTGTCAAACTTGCGGGTCGCTGCTCTATACGTGGCACCATTGCCAGACGAATGAGAAATTCAGGGTTGCTCACAGATGCAGCCAAGACGCGTGTCCAGCGCAGCAAGTACTCACTGAACAAGATCGCGGCATCGAGTATCATATTAAACCGAAACGGATGTACCTGCAAAACTAGCATTTTTCCGAGATTGATGAGCACAGGTGGCAGAGACAGTAGGTGATATGTAGGCATTGTCATCTCAAATTACTGACATTTCTCTAGAGTACTGGCGATTGTTCAACCATCAAACAAAGCGTTGACCCCTCTCAACCTAGCCATTTCTTTGATCCTCTTGATATGAAACATAATCGGGTCATCCATAAATGCCTTCGAGAGACCCAGGACTCGTAACTTGCTAAACCGCCTCTGTGGTCCAGCTTCTTCAAGTAGCTCTATAATACCCTCCAGGTATGGCTCAAGGAACCCCTCAACATCCTTGCTATGACTAACCCAGCTCTCCATGAACATATGGGTACGAAGCTTGAGAACTTGGATACCTTGAGGTATCCGATCAAGGACGATCTTGGTACAATTCTCAACTTCATCGGACCGGGAACCTTCGAACAAGTCCGCAATATGGACTGTAAGAGTCTGGATGCGTGACAATTGTGGATACACCTCCTCCAAAACCGGGTCTAGGCTAGGGAACTGTAGCATACTAATGTCGAGGTCCAGGTCTTCTAGAGAATCTTTGTGTTTCAAGAGGGCCCCCGCTAGCTCTTTCTGGTCTGGAAAGCCGTACATTTCCAGCCTATGGTCGACACTAACGCTGAGTTTTGTGAGGGCCCGACATGCAGTGATGAAATCTGGGACGCCAGATCGTAATAACCCTCCCACTATGGTTAACTCTGTGATTGGGGATGTCGAAACCGGAAAAGGAGGCACGTAATCATGAAGATACGTTAGGGGGAGAGGGTTATCCAGATCATCAACTAAACCATAGGCACAGAGCGTCTGAATACAAGGAAGGTGCAGGAATGATCTAGCATACGCCATGTCGTAGACTTCCCAGCTGTCGCTGGGTTGCAAGGTAACATGACGAACTTGGTCAAGGGGCAACTGTGGTACCATTTCAGCCGGTCCATCAAGCAATCGACAAACAGCCTCCTTCACGTAAAGCAGAGGCATGAAATGTTCGCGAGAACAAGGACTAAAAGGTGGTACTGTGATGTTCAGATGGGTCAATCTTGTACACCAAGTCAAGATCAACACGGCGATTGCATCCACGCAACCAAGGCGTATGCGATGGTATACGTGAGCTGGGAGCAACTTTGATACTTGAAGATCCTTCTCAGTAGCGTCTGCGAGAGCAGCTAGACTCTCAGGAGGATCCTTATGAGCAGCGCCTACGAGAGCAGCTAGACTCTCAGGGCTCAAGTCGACCGAATCGGGATCGGGATCATGATTGTACAAAGGCCGAAGGTATCCAAGGTCCAGCCGTTTCACGTGCCGTCGAAGATTAGGATTTCGGAGAAGATGAAGAGCAAGTCTCCCGATTGACGGCTCAAGACATTCTTGGCTGTTGTTCCATTGGCGCACGAGGAGAGGAAAGACGATTTTGTTGAGGCGCCTGTTGACGACGCTGACGTTTTCTAGCGACTCGCGGTCATTTGTGACGAACTCGAGGACTCTGTGGAGGGTCTCGTCTGGCAAGTTGGATAAGACGGCCATGTTATGGAAAAGAAGTATGGCTATTGTGAATATGTGTCTATTGAAGTTGGCAAATGTCCTGTCTCACACAAACACAGTGAGAAAGACTGTGATGTCATCATGTTCCTTGCGCGTATCGCAGGTTAGTATTTGCTGACAGAAGCTGATTGTGCATAAAGCCCTACTCCGTACATGATTGGCATAAGCATTATGCATGTTATGCACAAACCCCAACCTGCGAGAGCGATGCTTCCATCATTGTCGTGTGGGATTTTCAAGTTTAAATTATTCGTCAGCCAAAAATGGAAACTTTTTTTTACGTTCTTTTTACAGCAATGTAGTCAATGCTGTTGAGCGAGAAGTTGAAGTAGCCAAGAATCACTTGTTGAATCTCGTCTGGTCTGTGATGTGTTTGCTCAGACGTGGCGTTTCGACCCCTCAATTTAGCGGCAAGGGTCACTATGGGCGCATCGAGACCACCAGCACCAACACAGAACCGCTCTCTGCACCATCTAATCACAGGATCTCGGGTCTTCACAGAGCCTCACTTCTTGGCTACAAGCCCTGCTCTGCAATTCCTCGCCCGGTTTCTCTGTAGCAACCCAACCAAGACCCATCACCTACCGCAACGTTACCGCGATTGTTTCTCGTCGAGAGCCTTACAAGGCTCATTTTCCGGGGCAGTGAAACCAAGACAGTTGCCAAGCCCAATAGTCCCAAATCATAGCGCCGAAATCTTTCAGCTCCCGACGCCAAGCCAATGAGACATCTCAGGGCTGGTCTTAAGCATATTCGCCGAAATGAAAACGGCGGAAGGCCCATGCTTTTTTTTTTCGTTTGTAAAACAGCGGCCTTGGGAGGTCATGCCCGATTGAGTTGGGCTGTCGGGATGAAGTGTTACACTGCAGAGGAGATCTCGTATGGAGGCAGGGGTGCTGTTTTGGGGAAGCTGTGCGACGATAAGCAAGGGACGGTCAATCTGTGGATGGTCTCTGGCTCGCCAATGTTGTCGTATGTCTCATTCTGCGGTTTTGCTTTCTTTATTTGGTCTGGGCTTGAGATGGATCACTGATGGTCGGCGATAAAGATAAATCGAATGCGGAATGGCAGAGGGGCTGTGCTTGAGTAAGGGTTCGCAGATGTCCAACGCGCCCTTTTGGTGGTGTCATAGTGCAACTCATTGGAAGCAAGGCCTTTGCGTCAATTGAGTAGTGGGGTCAACGGTATTTATCCAGTCCTACAAACGACGTCTTGAAGCAATTGAACTCCCTCTCCACGTCGTGATGGTCCCTGCATTTCCCTCGAGGGCAGAAATCTCATCAAACCCTCTGATCTATCGCGACAGTCGCTATTTTGGAACCTCAAGCCCTCGTCTAATTGTCCTCTCCGAGTGCAATTAGCTCCGTTCCGAGGCGGAGATTGCTAACAATCACCCATTTAGGGTGCGGCTGAGGTGACCTTTGGAATGGAGGATTCAGCTCCTGCAAGCCCGGTCACACAATATTGGTTCTGGCCTTTCAGTGGCGTTTTGATCTGCCTAGGGGCATTAGCTTAGGCTGCTTAGGCGCATTGTTGCTCTGCGCTGGCTCCTTCATAACAATTGTTTCCTGCAATCGCGTCCAGTTCTTTTTGCTTGGTTATTTCCTCGTGCATCTCTTTTATTTTACCATTCTCAGGACTATTTTTCTCACGTTTGGCCTGTAGGTTCACCATGCGGTCAACTTCACAGGCTCTCTTGCTTGGAGCTATGCTCCAGGCAGCTAACGCAGTGGACGTCGCTCGCGCTGCCCAACGGAATCGTGTACGCGATGTACCAGCAGCAATAACCGAAGCCCCGTATGGTATCATGCACGAAGCAGAGATGCTTGTCGGCCACAACGGGCTTCAAGCACGGCAAGCAGCCTCTTCGAGTGAGCCTCTGGTGGTCACTATCGCGCCCGACGCAACATGCGGATACTTGTCTGGACAAGCAGGCGCTGCAGTCACCTGCGGCAATGGTCGCCCGTGTTCATGGGCTGGTGTTAGTCGTAGCGGTCTTGTCGGTTGCGGCTCTGACATCTTCATCCTTTGTGTTGAGTCTAGTATAGCCGTCAATCCTAGCTCATGCGATGACGTGTGTCAGAGTAACACTTTCTATCTTAAATGGTGAGACACTATTATCGCCGTCTCAGATTCTCAACACTAACTAACCTTGCAGCACCGACTCCGATACGCCTTACTGCCGCACGTATGCCTTCCCAAGCGGAATTGCCGACTATCGCTGTGCATCCACACCCGTCGGCAAGCCACAATCTGTCGACTTCACATACGACGGCCAGAAGAATGCCAACTTCAAGACTACAACCCTCAGCGACGGCATCGCTTCAGAGTCACTAAGGGCTACCGCTATCAACTCTGATAGCGGTTCTGCTAGCCAGGCAAGCGAGACAGAGACTCAAGCAGAAACAACGACAACTTCGGAAGCTCCTGAGCCTACCAAGAAGAGCAAGTCGACACCTGTCGGTGCTATCGTCGGCGGTGTAGTCGGTGGTGTCGCTCTCATTGGCCTCATCGGTCTTGGTGTCGTCTGCCTGCTGCGTAGACGTAAATCCAAGCCCGAACCTGCCCCAGCACCAGCTCAACCAGTCATGGCGCAGCAACAAGCTCCTCCTCCCGCCCCTATGAACCAGAACCCATACCCCCAGCAACAACATTACCAACCAGCTGCACAGCCTTATCCTGATCATAGCATGGCGGCATCTCCTGCACCGTCAGATGCTCGTATATCGATGATGAGTGGACCTATGTCAAGTGTCGGTCCAACTTCACCCGGGGGATGGCATCAACAACCATCGCCCCCGCCAGCGTTTCACACACCTGCGCCGGCGTATGAGATGGCTGGTCCCGAGGCGCGTGAGCAGGAGCCGGTCTATGAGATGGGTTCTGACTCTGTGAAGAAGTGAGATAATCGACATTCATTCAGTTATAACATGCATCGCTTGGTAGTTCAATTAGAGTAGTCATGATTTGGAATTAATACGGATCTCTCATGAGTTGCATTGATGCCCTAGTGGTGTTTAATCCATATTGACCAATTCCCAATCAGCAAATATCTTGGATGTGAGACTCAAGTCACCACTTGCGATCGGCTTGGACCCTCCAAGGAACTCATCGTAGTTATTGTACACCGAGACCTTATGCTTGTGATCAGCAACAAGCGACAGTCCAGGCGCATCAGTTATGACAACCGATTTTTTCTTCTCATTCTTCTCTTGGGGTCTGCAAAATCTTAGCTTGAATAACTCCGATGTTGGAAGAGGAAAACTTACAGCGGCTGAATTGCGTTCTCATAGACGTCTTCCAGTACTGCCACTATACCCTTGCCAAGCTGCTCATCGCTCAATTCCGGGTTGAGATTGAGCTTGACACGATCTCCGCTAAGCTGGGCATTGGGTGCAGTTCTCAGCACATGGTCAATATTAGCCTCGGCATTGCTTCCATAAAGATAGAAGGGCATTCTATTGGGGTATTCCTTGTCCAAGTCATCATGCGACATGGATCGTTTGATGACAACGTCAATATTGGAAAGCTTGAACTTGGCCAGAGGTTCAGCGCCATCATCTGGAATGCCGTCGTCCATTCGGAACTCAACATCACCAGTGGACTCAAGGAGATTACCAAGCTTTTCAGGCTCCACGTTGGCGATGGTGTAGAACTTGTCTGGATTCTCCTTACGAAGCTTATGATAGAGTTCCTTGACTTCGCTGGGGAGCTCAGCGGTGATGATGACTTGCCAGCGGTGAGCGGCCATGTTGAACATGGGAATGTGGACGAGGTAGATCTTGTCGTGACCTTGAACGACAAAGCCGTGAAAGTCTGGCGTTTCAGTGTTGCGAGCGAGGACGTGCTATTGGCTTTAGTGCCGGTTCATACAATCTTCCGGCCTGTGAGACTTACCTGGACCTCTTCCTCTGCGATCTTTCTGAACGAAGTCACCAAGCTCTCAAGGAATGGTGAGTCCGTAGGCCAAGGGCTCATCGTAACATTGACCAAGAACTTCAGATCTCCGTGAGCAGAATACTCCTCGTTTGAGAGTTCAAGACGTCGTTTGAAGTTAGTCAAGCACTTGCCATAAGCCTTCTCACCGAACGATGACGAGGTGAGGAACAAGGGACGATCAGAGATCGGTTTCTCGTCATCTTCAATGGTGTAGGACAAACGCTGGAATATGCGCTCATTGAGGTAATTGGCTTCGACCTGAACCTTGTAAGCATAAACGCCAAGATGAGAGTGCAGTGACTTACGATATTGGTGTTAGGCTTGCCATTGATCCGAAAATTACAAGCGAAGGCATTGATCATTAGATCACCACCGAGAGTCTCAAGAAGCTCCCATGTCTCTTCATCCTTGAACAGATCCTCGTTGCTGACTCCAAGGATCTTCGAGCGGATTCGTTCCTTTTCTTTTGCAACATCCTCAGCTGAGCCACCGTTGCGCTCAATGGGCAGTCTGATGAGGGGTACGACGATCAGGTCATCTTCTGGCTTGGTCAAAGTGGCCCAGTGGCAGTAGAGCTGTAACTTTAGTACATCTTTCATAAAAGGCTTTAGTGGTACAAACCTTGGTGCAAGTGAAGATGGCTTCTCCAAGGAGTCTACCATATCCGTCCACCTCGAGTCCGAGGGTCTTGTGCGTCAACCATGTAGCCACTGCTGCAGCTCCAGGCTTACTTCCCTCAACACCATAGACACCCATACTTCCCTTATCATCACCCTGATGATAGACAATTGGGCTGGTCCAGGTGATGAGGTAGCGCATGCGCTGATCACGGTAACAAAGACCACCGGCAGGGTAGTTGATGTAGCCGGACCTGTCAATGGTTAATAAATGTGATGAGGATCGGAGCCTTTAGGACTCACTTGTGAGGATCGATAGTGATGCTATCAGCAAAAGGGAGACACTCAAGCTGCTCTCTCGTATAAGGCTGAATGGCCAACTTGGGAATAAACGGCAAGTCTCCACCAGGAACGGGAGCGAACATCCTGCGCTCAATCATAGAAGAGAAGTAACCTCCCCACGCAGCGTCGGCATGGATTGCAAACGATAGGCCGCGAGCTTGGAATTCTTCGCGAAGCTCAACGACTTGGCGAAGAGGGTCACAGGCACCATGTTCAGTTGATCCGATGATGACAACACCACCAAAGACGGGTGTGTACTGAGATTCGTCATCGCCCTCAATGCAGGACTCGAGATGGGCGCGGAGGCTGGAGATGTCCATGCGGGCTTCTTCATCAACGGCAATGTCGACGAAGTTATCGGACCCAAGACCAGAGATAGCTGCATATCATTAGCAACAGTGCTGTATCACACGAGACTATTTCATTTACCTCCACCCTTGGGCCAAGAGTAATGCTTCGTAGCACTAACAAAGAACTTGGCAGGCTTGGTGATGCCAAACTTCTGATCAACATATTCCTTTCCGACAGTCTGGATCAGATAATCGTGCAGAGCAGTCTGCAAGAAAGAGGGGGAGATGGCATATTCACTCGTCAAACGAGTGGGGATCTGGAGAATGGCCGTAGGCTTCAGGTTCAGAAGCTCCCAGGTTGACAACTCAGTGAAGGGCTTTTCATCACCTTTGCAAGTAGTAACCTTAAAAGGTGGCTCAATGGTGGTAAGGAAGTTGAGCGGTGCACCTTTGGCCATGGCGAGCTTGAGAGAGAGCGGGTAGAACTTGAGGTTTCGAACTAATCATCGGTAAGAGGGGCAAAGTGAAAATGGGACGAATGATAGACTTACTCGCCCAAATGGCCTCGAGATTAGCCACTGAACCATCCTGTAATGTTGTTAGATATCACCTTGACACATGAAGAGTTTACTAACGCATGTAATATGACCCCATGGTACAACATCTGAGTCTTCACCACCAACACCGTAGCCATAGCCCAGCATGCGACAAAGGTCCACGCCGACATCACGCTCTACGCTAGTAGTGTAGGGACTAGCTTCTGTCGCAACATTGTTAGGGTTGTACATCATAGCCGCCATATCTACACCCCGCCCGTCAGCAATGCTCATCAACGCGTCAACTCTACTTACACCCGATGATACTAGGCATCGCAGTATCCATGTTCATATGAGCGTTGTATCTCGGCGACCAGAATGGAATCGAGTTTTTCGACAACTTCCCGGAGATATACTTGACATCTTCACGGAGTTGAGCGATACTACCTTGGAATTCCTCTGTCTTGATCATGTCTTGGGTGATGAAAGGTGGATCATCTTTGTAGAGATTCTCTCGGGTGTTCTTTTGTTCGTTCAAGACATGAGTGAAGAATTCACTGAGAAGGTCAAAGTTCTCAGCGCGGGGGCCAAGGAAGTATGAGCCGACGCGGGCGTGTTGGCGACGCTCATGCTCGATCTGCTCGTCGCTGACCATTGTGTTTATGGGTATTGATAGAGATATAGAACAGTATGTAAATCTCGGGAGCAGTCTTGAGAAGTAGGAGGAGGGGCTGTTCTTATAACACAAGTAATACCATAATTCTACTGCTTCAGAACCGGAAAGGTTGCTAAGCTTGACCACAGCTAAAATTCCAACACTTCGTATACCGAGCCTATCCTTTCTGTACACATTGAGGGGTATCGCAGCCTTCCCCTCCATTGTCGTCACAGAGACCAGTCTAGAACAGTGCCGAGTGATGCATATGAAACATGGCCATCACGGTAAATGTTTCAAAGCCCCTAGTCTCATGCAGGGAACAAATATATGCAGTCCCATATGTGCCAATTCTTGAATGGGGAAAGGTGAGTTTGCGCTATTGATGCTTCAGCTGAGACTTGCTAGTGGCGGTAACCTGATTGAGTATCGGGGAAATGGCCCTGTTGCCGCGTGACCCACGGAATACGGCAAAAAGTGTGTGTGAAAGTCTACGTTTCTTTCGTACTTCAACTGCCTTTTTTCTCATGTGAAAATGCGTCTTCCTGCGTTGTTCTGCTGCTGTTCTTGGTCTTGTTGTCTATCCTGTAGTGCCCCGCATCGTGATGTGCTTAACGCCGCGTGTCTTAGATCCCCACTTTGAGACGGCGGTAGCACGTACACGACTACTTGTCCATGGCGCCAATTACTCATCCTCTTGCTTTTGCCAGACAATTCCACTCATTGCCTTTGCAGCTCGTCCAGCCAATTCCCGAACTTCTAGTGACAACTCCTCGTTCTGAGACTCAGCCTCAAACCTCCTGCGTGCAAATTCTCTCCTTGCCGTCTCCCATCTCCCCCGACCTTTATACCTCTTCCGTGATCTGTTCCACGGAAGCTCATTATCCCTCAAGTCCAATATCCTATTCACCACCTCAATATCTCTTTCATCTCTGGTATGCGGATGCCTAGCATAAACCTCCTTGCCAGCAATGATGGTCCATAGCGACGCGCAAGTAACGTAGTGACTGAGAATCTCATGGTCTGCCGGTGGTGATACACGGCGATACCATGGCGTCGGGGCTTTTTCTAGCGCGTCAACAGCACAAATTTCTCCTTGGACGTGTATGTTTGCTACTCCGCTGGCAGTCAGTCGAGCATAGAACGCGTTCAGGTTCTGCTCTGCGTGTTGCTCTGGCCATGTCCAACCAGCTCCGCATCCACAAGAGTCATCCCTCACTTCGGCAATTGAGGTGCCCAGAATAATCAGGTCGCTCCAAACGGTGCCGAGCTCCCAGATCCAACTTCTTTTCAGCGGAATCGTCATTGGTACTGGTTCTGGGGGATTTGGTCGGGCTTTGAGTGCTCTGAGTAGATCAACTAGTTTGTGCTGTCGAGTCTCGTCGGTGAAGGGAACTTTCTTTGCTGTGTGAATAATAGAGTACCAAAGGTTCCAAAGAAGCATCTCAGCGTTTCCAGAGTGATCTCGCTCATCTTCTGGTTCAGGCCAATCTTGCTCAGGTCCCCAAAGCTCGAGTGCCTTCTCCGGACTATGATACTTTCGTTGTATTCGAGCGACCCTCTCTTGTCGAAAATATTCTGTGCCTGCGTTTGCAGTTGAGTATGCCTCGTCTATTGGCTCTGCCAGAATGTCGACTGCCTCAGCTGTTGAAAGGTCGCTTGACATGTATTGATCAACAACAGTTGTATCTGCGCAGAACCAATTTCTGATCTCAGCTAAACGAACAACCTTCGCAGCAAAGTCGAGGGAATCGTCCTCAGCGACTGCTTTCGCGCGTTCATCTTCCCTCGTTTCTTTATCTATTCTTGATGTACGTCTTTCGTCTGCTTTTGCTTGGTCTCGCTTTTCTTTGGATGGCCTGTTCTTTGGCATTTTTCGTGTTAGGGTCTGATTATCGTAATTCCTTGGACTCTGATCCGTTGATGGATGAAAAGGCGCTGTTAAATACTCCACAGGTAGTGGACCTGAGGGATCAGCCCCGTGGGTTGCGTATCCGTCTCACCGAAGAGTCATTGCCTGCCTAAATTCTTACATCAGCATGTTCATCCTCAACACGCATCGCTTCGCTGGATCCGCCACTAATTCGCAGCAGTGCGGCTTATAACTAAGGTCAAGTGGGACACTGGTCTGTAATCTTGCAGAGGCTTCTCCGCGTACATCCTATCACTCTTATGATTTCTTGTCTTATTCAATCTAAGTCTATGCGTGCACTAACGACACCAAGACATTCATAGCAGCGCCAATCTTCAGGATAAACGGCGATTGAAGCTCCTCAGCCTCACGAGACCATCTCACTGATAGGCTTCTTCATGCTTGCTCGTTTGGCTTCTCTTTCTTTACACCTGATGCGAAGATCTTTTGCACTGAGCTGGCCAATTTAAAGTCCCCGAATCTGACACCATGGCAGATATCGACTTCGGACATTTTCTCCAACCAGGGATCCGTTTTGCCTTTGAAAGAGCATTTATGTATCCCCCCAATGGTTGGAATCGACCATTGCGGAGTTTCGAGGTTGGTTGAGAATTCCTGTAGTTCCAAAAAGCTCTTCTCTTCGGCAGGTTGTCCCTTGGCTCTCGGAACCTCTAAGCCGAAGCTGCGCATCTGCTTGATCAGCATTCCCAGCATTATGGCTGTACACTCTTTGCGACAGCCACCGTCCGTGCTCCAGAAAGATTCAAGTAGCTCGTATAGATTGTCGAGGAATTGTTTCGTAAGACTCTTTCTGCGTTGATCTAGTGAGTCTGCAAGGTTGTTAGTCATGATCTATGAAGCGCTCGTTGTCGTAACTTACCCAGGATGGTACTCGGGAGCGGCAGATCCGTATAAATGGGCCCGGGGGTCAATTTGAGGACGGTGTGAACGATTGAGTTGAAGAGCTCGCTCTTCGCAAACACCCAACTGATGAACAACCGAGACATATTCGTCTGGTAATCAGACCCCTCTATCTCATCTTCCTGGATAACAGAGGCGACCCAGTTCTCAGCAAACATCTCCACGATCTCGTGGCACTCGTAATAGTCAACAAGTATAGACATCTCTGTCAACAAAGAAAGATCCATTGTCTTTGGAACATCTCTATGGTGTCCGTGAAAGATATCAAGCAAGATGAGTAGCGCTTCGGCGCTGGACTCAAAAGCCTTGACTTCGAAGAGCCCGTCCTCATTACGACAGCTCTCTTTGAATGGACCGTCTAGCATCGCCTTGAAGACGGGTGACGCAAGCATCAAGTGAGCTGATGAAACGCGGTAGCAGATTTCGACATTTTGTCCGTGCTCGTAGCATGGCTTCAGGGTCTTCAGATCATCGAGGCTCTGTATCGAAGATGTGACGTCCTTGAAATCCTCTGAAGCAGGTCGTTCAAGCTCTCTCTGGTCATTTCGCTCTTTATCCTCGCCGTTCTCGTTCTCCTCGTGCTCTTCCTCGGCGGCTTCCGGATCACCGGCTTCTGGCAACGGTTCTTGGTGGCTGCGGAAATTGGGCTTTCGGAGAATGATATCAGTGTCTCCTTTAGGAGCGAAGACTAGTAGTGAAGACTTCATTCGTGTTGATACTGCCAGTGGCTGTTGGCTCAGTTACGTATGAATAGCTAAGATCAAACGCGTCGCGTCTGTACTTCTCTCGTACCGCATCCCGAATGTTATCACTATCGCCTATCGGCTTATCTTATCTCTTATCATAGGGTTTTTCGAACTCCAGGGTAGTATCACTTTGATCAGTCAGTCACTGATAATGCACTGCCGTGATTTACGAAAGAAATCTTAAAAAAGAAAAAAAGAAGGAAAAAACAGAATCTCGATTGCAAAATACTAAATTGCAATGGTTATTTACTACAGATTACAGAGCTTTGGGTGACAGTGGTTAATACTGCGCTGGATATTGTGCAAATCATTTCCCGCTTATTTGCTAAATCAGCTAGCTATTAAATCGGGTTTCCAACAGTCCCACTACAACAAGTGGAGAATCTTAAACAACTCTTTGAATTGGGGACATTGCAGCGCTAGGCTTTTTATATCTGCGTGCCTGTGATGAGCATGATATACACTGCTAGGTACCCGTCTTGGAAATCCTTGTCAGTGCTATACCGATCAGCATCTCAGCCAGACCTGAGATCAAGACGAGGTGACATAGCCGTAAGTAGCTTATATCTCCCAAGCCAACTACCTTATGCTCCGATAAGACAATGCAAATATTCGTCACGGGTATCACATGCACGGTTCACCTCCTTTGCTCAATTGTGGCTGACTGGACCAAGCAAACACCACTTTACAGCAATTGGTTGATACGAGAAAAATTTCACCCTCATCTCAAGATACCCATGCTGTTTCTACGGAATAACCATGCCGTTTCGTATCTGTAAGTTCACCGAACTATCAAAAACCCATCCAGGATGAGGTTGAAAACTAGCGATATCCCGCAGCGACTAGTGGTAAGCTAAAGGCGGTTCAGCTGGCTCTAGTGCTCGGACCGCTATGGCAAGTAGCCCAAACGGGCCAAGATCCCCCTGAAGAGAGCAATAGTTTCAGCTTAGTGACGTTGTAATGAGGCCTGATGATAAGAGGAGAAAAGAAAGAAAAAATTGACAATGAATGGGTATTTATACAGTTCAGCTGCAGTCCATCTTTTCCAGCTCTTCTCGTTTCATTTCATTCATTTACAGTCAAAAGTCACAATGGTCTATGCAGCTTCTACCAAGCATCCCAAAGGACTCCGGCTCCTTGCGCTCGATGGCGGTGGCGTCCGGGGTATCATGGGCCTCGTCATCCTCAGAGAGCTCATGCTTCGCGTCCAGAAGAAGAAAGGCCTCAAGACCATTCCCCTACCGGCTGACTACTTTGAGCTCGCTGGCGGTACTAGCACAGGCGGTATCATGGGTATCATGCTCTTCCGTCTTCGCATGAGCGTCGACGACACCATTGATGAGTATGACAGAATCGCCAAGACCATCTTTAGCCCCAAGATCTACGGCTGGGATATCAGTTGGATCCCTGGTTCATCGTACCTCAACAACAGCAAGGCTTTAGTCCAGGACAGCAGATTTGATGCTGGGTCTATGAGTAAGGCTATTGACGAGGTTGTTGAGAAGTTTGGCCTCGATGAGAACGATAAGAAGCTTAAGGGCAACGCCCCTCTTCAGCACGAAGGTGGTGCACGGATGTAAGTATCTCTCCGCCCTTGCGCTACGCCGCTCACACAACAGGTTCTGCTGTACTACTGCCCAGAACAGAGCTGAGTCTATGTTGATGCGCACCTATAAGGACAAGACCATCTACACCAAGTCCAAAGTCAACGATGCTCTACTCAAACACGGCGACAAACTCACCATCAGCATCGCCGCACGCGCAACATCTGCTGCCCCAACCTTCTTCCCTGAGGTGAAGTTCCCTGAAGACAAGCCTGAGTTGGTGTTCTGGGACGGCGGCCTTCTGAACAACAACCCTATTGACCAGCTCTGGTACACACGCTTTGAGCTCGTTGACCCCAAAGACCCTTCACCCCAGATCTCTTGCGTCATCAGTCTCGGTACTGGCTACGTCAGCCCAGGAAAGGCAAAGCAGTCTTGGATCAAGGTTGTTGGAGTGGCATCCAAGGTCATGGACTTTGCTACCAACACCAACGCCAAGGGCAAAGACTTTTCACGTCACATGACGCATCTCAATGAGAGGGATGAGCACAAGGATACCAAGTACATTCGTTTTAACCCGTTCTTGAAGGAGGAGATTGGTCTTGATGAGTATTTGAGGATGGATGATCTCAAGTTGATCGCTCAAAAGACCATGGATGACCCTAACCCTACGAACCAGTTTTGGATCAACCAAGCTGTGGATGCTATTTGCGCATAGGATGGATACAAGAAGGATACAATAATGTTAGCTTACTTAAGACAAAGAGCATCATAACCTATTAGATATCTAATTTGAAGTGCCAATGGCGCAAGCTACGGTACACCCTACAGTAGCTACACCAGATTACGTGACGCATCTGCTTTTGTTCTATCGCAACAGACCTGCTTGGTCCTCATGCGTCCATTCCCTAAGACCTCTCTTGGAGACTCAATGTCTCCAAAGTCAGCTCCCAGGTTTGGTTCTCCTTCTCTGAATCATAGATATACTCTTTATACCCCATCGCGCCCGGGACTAACGGCTCCGGTCTGGAAGGTCGACAATCCTCAAGGTACTTTCCGCCTTTGCCCTCCCACTCCTTGCCAACTGCTGCCAGAACCGTAGTCGCAGCACCTTGTTCGGGACTTTTCATGAAATTCATCGTCTTTGGATTCTCCTTCATGTCTCTGAGCACTGACTCAGGCATATGCTTCTGGAGGTTTGAAGCGATGCCACCGGGCATGACGCTAGTAGCGTGAAGGCCCGTGGGACCGTAAACACGGTCGATGTAGTTCGACATGTAGATCTGGGCGAGCTTGCTCTGGCCGTAGGCTTTGAACGGGGTATAGGCGTCTGGGGCTTTGAGCTGGAAATCGTCGTAGATGATCTCTGAAGCGTGGTGGCCTGAGGAAGATACGTTGACGACGCGGGAGTTGAACTCTGGGGTTGATCCTTTGAGGAGGGCATCTTTGAGGAGCCAGAAGAGGAGAAAGTGGCCGAGATAGTTGGTGGCTAGTTGTTGCTCGAAACCATCCTTGGTCTCTATGCGTGATGGTGTCGCCATGATGGCGGCGTTGTTGATGAGGACATTGAGTGTAGCCGATTTATCTAGGAGCTCAGTGGCGCATGCACGAACGGAGGACATGTCAGATGTATCGAGGCGTATCAAGTCAACCTGACCAGGCTTCAAGAAAGAAGAGCACGCAGCCTTGCCCTTTTCCAGATCCCGCACAGCGAGAAAAACGCGAGCGCCGGTCGCAGCAATAGCACGGCCAACCTCGACGCCAATTCCAGCAGAAGTACCAGTGATCAAAAAGATTTTATCCGCCAAAGCGCCCTCGAGACCTTCGTCCTGCACGATTTGCAGGGCTGTTGGTCGAGCATCCCCAGGGCCAGAGGTATTCTTGTGAACGTCTTCGTAGCGGGACATTGTGTATAAGCTTAAAATAAAGTGCTGGCGGATGATTATCGGCGGCGATGCAATCCAATGACATTGGCTTATAATTAGGTGAAAGGTTGCATTGGAAAAAGAATGAATGCCCCTCGACTTCATCAATTCACGGTATCTAAGCGTCATACTGATTGGGCTCACCCGAATTACGGGCGCTAACTCCGTTTGGCACTGAACGCGGTCTTGGCTTACATAAAGAGGCACAGGAACGGGCAACAGCAATTTCATGACATAGATATCTGAGGCATGGGATAAGATCAGTTCTTGGCGAGGGCTTGTAGAGCTTGACGAATGAGATTGCCTATGGAATATCTACTTGCTAACGACGAGTCCGTATTAGGAGCTAGTTCCTTCAAGACATAATTGGAACGCTTCACTGTCTTGTCAGAGTCGACCCTTTGTTTGCATGACTCCTGGCATGATCCTGATATTTTGCCGACAACGTGGACCGTTATGAATCTATCACCTATCCTTAAGCTAGACAGGCCACAAATCCAAGCCTGTGCATAGCCAAGAGCAGCTGCAACGGTATTTTCACCAATGAAGCCGCCATTTGCCAAAGTACATGATTTCCGATTCTGTAATGAATGGCCTGCGAATTGAGAAGCTCGCCGAAGAAGGGCCTAGTGCTCGTATAGACAGTAAGATGGCCTGAACATGTATTGAAGGGGCCTAGCCGGTATTTCGTGTCGGACGATGATAAATGTGTAGTCCTTGAAAACCTTCAACATTACAATCTGAATGTTTCTCGGATCATTGATAGTTCCCAAGAGTATAGTGCTCAAACGTCCCAGCACGCCTCGTCTTCCCACACCGCGGCACTCCTATCTCAGGAACCTTCTTCTCCTTATCTTCCATCACAGCCGTAAAGAGGAAGCCGACTGAGAAGGGGTATTTGCTGGGTATGTGCGGAGCATGCTGACAGCCGTTGGTCTGGCCATTAGCGTCGTACCGGAGATGAGGCCAGTAGAAGTTGGCAATACTGAAGACTATGTAGAACCCAGCGGCCCAGAGAGAGAGAACGAGGAGGGAGTTCATGTCTAGTGCTGGTTGTTGAATAGAGGCTTTGGATATCGCTGTCTGTTGACTTCATTATGATGTGTAAGCTGATGGAAGGAAAGCCCTTGTGCAACTGATTCAATTGTTTTATGCTATACTTGGACCTGCCGTCTTGTTATGCCAATTGAATTGTGCGCAACGGTTGTTCAATTGGGTTATGTTCCATTGAACACGCTACGGATTATTACTGTGTTGGGACATGTGCTTCCGGGCTGCAATCATGCACCAGAGTCGTCCGATTGGCTAACTAACTAGGAATTCATGTAAGCGCAAAATCCGCTGACAGATGTCATGCACAGGGCAGTCATTCATGTAAATTGGCTCATCGAACCCCGCCTCGACTCGAAGTCATGTAGCAGAGGACATTGCCATTAGCTCATCTCTATTAGACAGCAGTCATGGCTTTGTACACACACCTTGACTCTCACGTAGATAACAAATTTGTTTTGAATCTCAAATCAATTATCGCGTAGCTTCTTCTGGTTGGGTGCTATACACGCATTACTGCCACAAAACGTACAACCTCTACCGAATTCCCAACTCTCGTCTCGGAGCATAGTCCAACCTCCTGTCATCCTGACATTTGTCAGCAGCCACGAGACGTATTAGAGCCATCTTGTGTATTTGGACGGGCTGCTGCCTTTGTTGCTATGTTTCTGACTTATAAAGCTCTGGCTGTTGGTCATGTCGGCTTGTTTCCCAATCCGGCAATTATCCGAAATGCACTGCATTAGACACTATGATCACTGGGGGCTAAAACACTCGAAACAAATATCAGATGACAGTTGACTGTAAGCAACGTGGATTGCGTTTTGAAGGAGTAGTGAGAGGCTTAGAAACTGACAATTCAGATCGTGGTGCGGTATCAGGAACTATAAAGCACTAGAGGTATCTTCTCCACCAACGTCATTATTCACGGCTCATAAAACAAACTGCCACTATGTCACTTGTGTTGACTCCAACAAAGATCCAAGCTTGGCTCCGACTCAACGGCAAGTCCTCCACTGGGCAGTTGGCCCTGTATGGTAGCAGTGTTCTAGGCGCACTGGTAAGTGAAACAACAACCACCAACTTAGAAGACCACGTAAACTAACCTGCAGAAGCTCACCTTATACTGGACCGGCCTCATAATCTATCATATCTACTTCTACTCACTCGCATCTTACCTCGGGCCCCTCCTAGCAACATCTACCCCAGTACGTGCCTTGCTGCTCGTAATGTACTTAGAAGCCATCTTTATACATTCCGGAAAGATATGGACGATCATTCGGTCAAGCGCCGCCGCATCCGTTTTGCGATCGAAAAAGATCACAAGAGAGACGGTGGTTCATAACCATTCTCCATAGGGGCCCAATTGGTCAAATATGCGAAGGGCCTGTCTTTTGAGTCTTCAACTTCCGCGCATGGCCGTTCTTTTGGGAAGAGAAATATTCTTAAATGAGATCTATGATATGTATGGTCACATGGCCTTAGGCATAGGAATCTTTGTACTGGGAGTGAACAGCCTCCACAGAAAGATAGGACCATGAAACAGACCTTTGTTGCTGCTTTATCTGACATGAGGTTACATGGACAACTGGAGATGTGATGAATGTTGTTCATACGCCTTTTCACAAGATTTTGAGGCCTACTGAGACTGAGTCACATGTATTGGAGGATCAAATTCTGTGAGATGCCTGCGTTCGATACTCCTGGAGAGATGACACCAAACGAGCCTTTCGGAGGTGTCAAAATGGACAGCCATGCGTTGCACTGTGCAGAGGCTGCTATAGCACTAAAATTGACAAACCTCACCTTTGTTTGCAACTTAGTTTTGGCAAACTCTTCTTCATTGCCGTGTTAGAAAACATGCACAAGGGCAAATATCGCCAGGAAGTGAGAGATCTCCCCGAGTCCTATGAGGGGCATGATGCGGTCAAGATATGAGGGGAGATGGGCCCCTTAGTGCAGGCAGCTGATACACCGTTTCAAGAGAGAGGATCGATGATACTACCCAATAACCTCTATTAGTGCTGCGAATTAATAGATATCAGGCTGTGCAGGGAGCAAGTGTCGTATCGCGCCAGAAATCTGCCGCTAGATGGCTCATATCGTACACAGACCGAGATCTACGCAAGTGCTGACATGGTGACTCATGACTTGAATTGCTTACCAGATCATTCCTAATTTGATCTAAATAGGTGTCCTAACAACAGCGCCAGGAAGACTAGTAAGGCGCTTTCTCTGGGGGCCAAAGCTGGTCTGGGACTAAAGTACTTGTACCGTTCTTGACAGTGAGGTCTGCTAACTGCTAATATCGGAATTTGGTAGCAATGAAAGTGAGACAGAACTTTACCAATATAATGTTCAAGAGTAATTGGAACTCGGTTCACATAGATGTTGATTAACTGAGTAAAATTCACTGTAACGTCTTGTGGTAAATACCGGATCAGCATGTTCGATTTCGGGACCTGTCCGATCTGGCACGGAAGATAGCAAAGGTAGCAAATGGGGAGCGTCGTGGCAACACTGAGTGAACTGATTCGGGTAGTTTGCCTTAGACGTATGTAGAATTACCATACATTAGTTGCCGGAAGCTACCTTGTCAGGTAGTAAAATGCGATATTAGGTGCTTGTTATTGAGATTTCCGCTTTCGGATCACCGAATAACTTCCGATATGAGATTCTATAGCGCCGAAAAGACTACCTTCTCATGCCATTCATGAAGATATTCTATAGTCTATCTACGTTATGTTGTCTATGCGATCTTACCATTTCTTTCCAGCATGTCTATGGCTCATTTACAACCTGAAATAACGCCTCTTTAATCCTCCCCAAAAGCGCAATAACCTGCTGCTTCACGCTCTTTAGCATTATAAGCTGAGCATGTCTGCCCTCAATTGCTGGGCTTCTCTCAATATCATCTACCAGCGCCCTGATCTTCCGCAGCTGCACCACCGTAAGGAGCTGCAACATACTCCCCCATTCTTCAGTCTGGTCCACATCGTATTCACCCACGCGCAACTGCTGCTCTAGATTGGTGCCATCCCTCGTGTACCAGAGTATCTTCTTGTTGAGCATGATAAGCTTCTCGCAGATCATGGCAAGAAACAGCATGGCGTCTGGGTCGGTGTAGCAGCTCTTGCAGTGGACTACCTGTGTGCACTGGATACATGATTGTTTTTGGAATGACAGTGCAACGTCAGCTTTGCAGGGCTTCATGTCGTGCATGCGAGTTTCAAGCTCCTCGAGCAGTGACTTCATGACCTTGAGACACTGGTCACCACAGGCACTGTTGCTAGCATTGGTGGAATTGCTGAATATTCGTGTAGCTGTCGTGGCTGTTGATGCGCGAGAGTCCAAGAAGCTGAAAGTGTCGGCCTGTGCACTCCGGGGCGACGGAATACCAGGTATACTATATGGCGACCAGTGAAAGTCCGGCAAGGAATTGGAGTCTGGCACTAAATTTGCGAGGAAAAAGCTGAGCGACTTGCCATTTCCTTTGAGAAAAAGGGAACTTACGGTCAAAAGTGGAGGGTTCCAAATCGAAGAACACGAATTCATCCCCCGAAGTGTTGCTGCCCATGGCCGCATCTTCTAGGAGCGTTGCATTCAACGGATTTGCCAGGGGATCAACAGAAGAACTGCTACCATTCTGACTACTGCTATTCTCCTCCTGCACCGACGCGCTCGGGGAGGTTTTGTTAGCAATAGTAATAGTGCTCCGCATAGTATCCGATTCGGACTGTTGCTCGGAAGACGGCGACTGCGACCTCGTGGCATCATCATTCTGCCGCGCCGTCCTTTTTCGGTCCTTGCGCCGCACGTTACTTCCAAAGAGCTGGGTATAAGTGCACTCTGTAGAACAGGCCCTGCAGCGCTCACAGCCCGTCTTGCGTCCCGTGCATCGGAGCTTCTTCTGGCGGCATTGATCACATGCCGTGTGCTGTAGGACGTTGTTGCCAAGAGCGCTGAATGCGGCGCCGTCTGCTCGTTCGACGAAGGTGGGCCCTGCGTCTGCTGAATGGTTGAACTGGAGAGTGCCGAACATATCGGTGAAATGACTATTTCGGTACAAGATAGGCCTCTTCGTGTACGAGAGTCACTATGCCGTACAGGTTCAGGTCGATAACACGAATCAGGTTTCAACTGTCGGCATTGGCCAATTAGTCGTTTGTCTATGATATGTCCCAATGTCGGTAGTTTCCGAGGGCATGTGCCAACAGCTTCTTCAATTTAGCCGGAGGTTGGAAATTCACTGGCACTCGATATTTGTTTCGGGTGATATCCTCCCTGAGGACTGCCTAATCCCTCTTTTAAGGTCAAAGTGGTCTGAAATGCCACTCCAGCGCACACGCAGGCGATCCCGGTGGATTAGCTGGCTATCAAGATATTTTGGGGGCGCTGGTCAGCCTGCATTCTCACCTCATCCTTGAGCCCCCCCCTCGGCGTCGAGACTGCCGGGTACACAAAGCTTGTTCTCCCCACGGAGTGCACGCCATTCATTACTCAATCATCTCATTGGTTTCCTGCTGCAATGTACAGCCACTGTGCTACCTGCTTTACTGAGACACACGCCTGACTGTCCGCTGTATCATTAGCGGCTTCCGAACATCAACAATAAGCTGAACGTGCATAATCATGAGCCATATTGAGGCTAGCTTAAGAAAGAAAGTCAGCCCTCTGGAACCTCTCCCACAACGTTAAACGCCTCTTTCTGGTGTTTACGGTGTTCATAGAGGTGGGAAATGTCTCCACGGCGAGGTCGGGTCTTATCGAACCTCATTTAAGAGTCGATAATTTCCATCAAATACTTTGATCCCTAGTTTGTTTCAGGATCTGCATTTAGGGTGGCACAGTATACAATTAGATATACGCCTGCGATATTTTACCACTTGGCCGTAGTAATGCCGTACGTTAGCCAATCCCCATTCCTATTATCGGCCGCCCAAACCGGTGAAGCCCTTTTACCCCTGCTAAGCACGAAGGACCCGGCATGCATATAAGCGTTCGCATTCAGCGGAGAATCACCCCACGCTTCGGTATCAATTTACAGGCCAGGGCCCTTCCAAAAGCGTAGCTATCAGTAATAAGCTCTCTTGGCGGATAACGTCCGCGAACGGTTGCTTACGTGACTGCATAAGAGTCACAGTGTACTTACCTATCAGTTTCAGCCGCATATGCAATGACGGAGAAAGTTTCCAGGATAAGGCAAGTCATGTTTTGGCACATCAAGTTAACCGAGTGTGGCGATTCAAATGTCTTACTTCTGGTCACAAGATGTAATTTTCGTATTTCGCATGACGCTTCGAGGCGCCACTAGCAGATATGAACTGGCTGAACGCTGCATGGGATTGCTCTCACAGTCAACGCATGTTTACTTATTCGAGTCTTGTTCCATTAAAACCATAATGATGACTTCATGACTTCGAAACAGTGACGTGGCGCTTATCGATATCTCCCTCAAAATCATGGAAATGGTGGCAAACTAACGTTAGCATGTTGTTATCCAAAGACTACCTATTAATATCTGCCGAGGCTCACGGCATCTGACTCAGACTCAGATGAACCAACGGACTATTATTCCGCCTCCATGATGGAATCTTATGTGGAGAATTTTGATATCGTAAGCCTGGTCAACGTATCTCCGGGGACCAGGACCGAGAGCATAAGAAGCTATGAAATGAGACATTTGTGATGACAAAGACGACAGCAAGCTGCTAGCCTAATGACATCCGCTCGAGGCAGTAAGGCCGCCGCGCAAGTACTCGGCGATCTCGTAAGCTCATGTGTTACCCCAGCGCTGCAACGGTCCTCCAGGTAGAGCCAAAATGGAAGGTCAGAGGACACGGACAGCTTAGGTAGCTAGATGGCTAGAGTCCCAAACATCAGGCAGGTAATAGCCATAGACACCTGAATTCACCCGGAAGATGCGAAAAAGTAAGCTCTACGGAGGCCGCTTACGTATGCGCACAAGCAGAAGGATTCCGGCTCCATCACGAACGCAACGGGCCGTTCCTCGTGGGAAGAGAATTATTCCGGAAGATGCCCTTTTCCTCCGGCGAGCAAGTCGGGTCAATCCCCGACCGACCTCTGCCTGAGAGTAAGCGCTAGATTCGTGGCTGCAACCTTGCGGGCATTTCTGACTCTGATACTAAGATATCAGTGGTCCGAATTGGGAAGCTGATTCGAGAGAACGTAATCAAATCCCGGGGTGAGAGGAGGTCGCCCTGCTTTCCAAATGAGGCAATTGTCCGTCTCAGTAGAATTCTAGGAATACAGGACAATGAATGACTTCTATGAAAGAGGAGGTTTATTATATAATCATAACCTACAGCCAATCACTTGTCGAGAGCGACAGCTCCCATGAGAAATCTTGTCTCCTCAGATCCAGGCATCAGCATTGCACCTTTATGAGTTGGTGTCGCGCCCATCGACGTTCCAGAACCTGTCGGCGGCGGTGGCCAGGGTGTCTGTCCCCGCCTAGGGCCCTCCTTGCATGGCCACGATACTGTGTCGTGGCTGCTGATCTGTCTGGTCTGCCCGCTCGTCAATCAAGTTACACAAGCTCACCGACACTGTTGAGGCATACGGCAACCCCGAAGGTCTAGCCAATGACTTCAACGTAGTTTTGTCGATGTTGCTAAGCAATGGATGCTCGCTCAGCCTGCGTTACAGGATGAACTAAGGTCGTTTTGGAGGGGCTATTGGACGACACGTTGACGGAGAGTAAAGAGCTAACGGCACTTTCTGCTGGGCGTCAGAATTAGATACTTTGTCATGAATATATCGGTCATTATGGGTTCCTGGCGATAACTTGAACAACTGGGCATTTCAGGACTCGATGGAGAAGGCGACAACATGACTGGTAATTATTGATATAGATATGATTACTTGATACGTTAAACTCGGCTTTGACTCTACAGGCGGCATTTCAGGGATTCGATTGACTGGGGTTCCAACTTATAGCTGCCAAACGTGTTAAAGACTATATCTCGGACCTCAGCGAGCCAGATATAACTCGACATCCTCAACACCATCGGAAGAACCTGGGTTAATAAGTTCCTTCGCGGCGATCCAGCTCTACAGGGAAATATAGGCAACGCTTCTGAACAGGCTGTAACAGGCGTAGTCCGCATCGATCTCTACATTTCTACGCCGACGTACACGAAGGATACAATGGCTTTTTAGATAAATCTAATAAGAATATTGCTGGAAGCTGTGCAGGCCGGAAGTTGACTGGCAGTCAGCCAGATGCGAAAGCAAAGACGGACCTCCGATAGAACAACTAAGTGCCATTTGCTGATTTAGAACAACGGGACGCATTGTCATCGCGAGTAGCGTAAAGGCTTATGCACCAAAGAACAATATACTAGCTACAACTGAGAGCTCATGCACAACAGCTCGTTGGACTGATTGACGGTCTTCGTTCCGATTTCATGATGGACAACTTCACCATCAATGTCGTCGTAGCCGCAGATCCTCTTACAAAGTTCCTCTCCCATGCTCTAGCAAGGTCGCTCCTGGCTACTGGTCTTCGTGCCATTTCGGCTGAGCTTTTGGATAATGCCCTGGTCTACTCTGCGACGGCTGAGCAGAACAGATGTGTTGAGGACTATGATGGAGATAATCTAGCTGCTAGCAGTAAGAGCAGGTGGACTGTTTGGTTGATCGTTATTTTGAATGGCCGGTACAATGAGTTGAAAGAGAAGTACACTTAGCCGAGGAGATATTGACCCTGGTGGGGTGCAAACAACACTTACGAGAGTCTAGGAGGCAGTCATCGGCTCCAGACGAATTGTTTTATAGAATGTCTTGTGAATTGAAAACGCTCTGGTCTCTTCACAAAATGCCTCAATCAATGATATTGAACCTTATTAGTTGCCTTGGCACGGCTATGCATATACACCTGTGATATAGACTCGATACAATGCACAGCTTCGATCATCAGCCGAGATTCTCGGTGTCGAGTCTGAACCATCCCTGCTCATTAATAAACTCCACAATCTCCTTCAAATCCGTCGGCGAAACAATTCGCTGCACCCATCCACTCTCGCCGTTGTAGATATAATACTGCTCGTTGATCTCAATCACAAAAATGACCTCGTTGCTGCTGTACCGGGTCCTGAACAGCGGTTTCACCACTCCATCAATACCATAACCGCCAACAAGGTCAGCGACCTCGCCATCATCGCCCCATTCACTATCACCTCCAAAGTCTTCGTAGTTGACGGTCCATCCGGTGGGAGGTTTGACCTGTCGAGCGTTAGCGTTGGAGGTTTATGGTGATGGGGTACGGACATTGGTGTTGGTTACGACCTTGCCGTTGACGACTTTTGTTAGAGACATTTTGTATGCAATTGAGAGTACTTGCAATTAGAAGAGGGATAGTTTGGATAGATGGAAGTCGTGTAATTGAGCAGGTAGCTAGGTGGTGCAGATGTGCCGAATAAATACAGATCACTGGAGAAAGCCAAGCGCTACTGACGCCAGTGATAAACTGGTTCACTTTTAGTGCAGACAGTCTAGAACGGCCAGCGAGCTCGTGGCTGATCTATTGCCCTGCTTAGTCCACTAACTCCAAAAACGTCTCCCTTGTGGCGTCGGCGGGGTCCATGGCTAAAGCATTCTTTGAGAAACGTGCGTGTCACAGAAAATCATCACAACAACAGCAGATCAAGCCAATGCCGTCATCACCAGGGACTCTCGGAATGTCGACGAAAAGACAGAAGCAGTGCAACAAGCAAAGAGAACGAGACATGACGCCATGTCCAAAGTCCCCTCACGCTTATGCCTCCCTTGCTGACATGTTCATCGCGTGGCTGGCTGAATACACTCTCAACCCAACGCGCCCAGCGAACCATACGGCCCGGAACGGCACGGCACGGCGCACGGTGCGTTCTCGTCGCAATAACGTTCCCAAAAGAGTTCGTCAGCACCGCCGAGACCTGAAAACAGCTTCAATCCCCTGTACGCTAGACCAGATTCTCTAGCCAAGGTATTTCAGCTCAGCACTAAAAGAAGTGGCGCGTCCCCCGCACCCGCTGAGGAACCTCAATGAAAACGCCATCCTGCTAGGAATACGATAGTTTCGCAGATTATTGATTCACGGCGCGTACTGATTGGCGTGATCGGCGTTGAGTTGGACAACGGCTGAACAAAGTGGCTTGTCACGTACAGGAAGCGGATATGTGACGAGACAAGAGAGTTTTCGTGAGAGAGTGAAAAAGCCAGTCGCCCATGGTCCCGCGTTCCATTGAACTCGTCGTTCTACCTCTGCAATTGATGCTTTGTTACTGAGTCAATTGACTAAAATACACCATATTGTTGTTGAATTCTCCATCAGATTGGATCAAGATGTGGATTACAGACGCCTGCAAGGCTGTCGTGTTATCCTTCGTGGCGGTATTCCACTACCCGTCCGTCTCAGACCAGGGGCCTCATCAAGATGTCATGACCTTCACTCACGGACACTCCACGCCAGAAATTGACTACCCGTATTTCGACTCACCAAGTGGTCCTGATCAGGACGGCAAGGTCTTCACATGCAATTACACCGACCTCAAAGGCTGGAAGCCATGCACAACTAAAGATGATCGCTCATGCTGGTTGAAGGGTCCATACGGGCAGAACTTCACTACTGAGACAGATTATGAGAACTTCTGGCCTATTGGAATAACAAGAGAAGTAAGTCGTGGACTATCATCGTTTAGCTTATTTAGCTTCTTTTCTGACTGGAACCAGTACCATCTCAATGTCACTGATCAAGCCATCAATGGCGATGGTGTTGATAATCCATTCGGCAAGGTCTTCAACGGCAAGTACCCCGGCCCTTGGATCCAAGCCTGCTGGGGCGACCTCATCAAAGTCACCGTGCATAACCATCTCAAATACAACGGTACAACTATCCACTGGCACGGTCTTCGACAGCTTGAGACCTTTGAGATGGACGGTGTCAACGGCGTTACTCAATGTCCCATTGCGCCTAAGGACAGCTATACTTACACTTTCCGTGCTGTTCAATATGGTACATCGTGGTATCATAGCCATTATTCTCTGCAGTATGCTGATGGCTTGGCTGGCCCAATCACTATTTATGGGCCTTCTTCTGCGCCGTTCGATGAGGGACGAAATCCAATTCTCATCACAGATTGGAGTCATCGTAGCGCGTTCCAATCGTGGCAGAGAGAGCTTGTGCCGAATCCGACAAGACCTATGATGAATGGTGTTTTGATCAATGGCGTGGGGAACTTTGCTGGCAGTTTCCCTCGCGAGCGCTTCAACATGACAGTTGACAAGGTTAGCTACTCGATTACACTAGATGTTATCCCAGCATTGACTGACATTTATCAGGGCAAGAAATATGTTCTTCGTGTGATCAACACGTCTGTTGACACTACATGGATCTTCAGCATCGACAATCACAACTTCACTGTTATGTCGACCGACTTTGTGCCAATCCACCCCTACTCAGTCTCTCACCTTGTCCTCGGAATCGGTAAGCATGCTCACTCACCACGACCATCTGTAGTCATTCTCACCGATATGAACAGGTCAGAGATACCATGTTGTGCTAGATGCCAACCCCGTCAACACTACGAAAATGCCTGCAAACCCAGACGGAAACTACTGGGTCCGAACCGTGGGAGCAACTGGCTGCAAGGGCTTTGAGCCAGGTAATGAACCTGATGAGCGTCAAGGCATTCTACGGTACAATGCTTCGAGCAAACTTGTTCCCACAACATTCCGCGTGAACTACTCGCTGGAATGTCGAGATGAGGCTTATGATAAACTCACCCCGATTTGGAAGTGGAATGTCGATCCCGTCAAGATCAACTGTAAGCTGCACTCAACCTCAATATTTCTTAACCCCTCTGACGTTTGACTCAGACACCGAGAGCCAGTTCGATATTGGTCAGTCCAAGTTCGCTCATAGACCTGAGTTGATGGACAACTTCACCTGGTGGGCCTTTGGCGAGAACCCTCTCTGGTTGAACTTTTCCAACCCTACCATTCTGAACCTCAAGAACACGACGTGGAATCCTGACTATGCTGTTGATCTCGTTGTACCTGACTCTAAGAAGGATAAATGGGTCTACATCGCTATCACGGCCCCTCCGGCTGCCATAGTTAACAAACCCAACAGAGGATTTCTTCCTGTCGCTCATCCTGTAAGCTACAATCCAAGCTCTCTTAATTCCTGGATCTAACACGTGCTAGCTTCATCTTCACGGCCACGACTTCGCCCTTCTAGCGCAAGGTACCAACTTCTCAGACCTAGATACAGGAAAGGTGAAGCTCAAATTCGACAACCCTCCTCGTCGCGACGTGGCACTTCTTCCAGCTGGAGGATACCTCATCATCGCTTTCAGGGCCGACAACCCGGGTTCTTGGCTGTTCCACTGCCACATTGCTTGGCATGCTTCCAGTGGTCTGGCGATTCAGATCCTGGAGCAACAGAAGTTGCTGAATAGGATCTTGGATCAGTATCCCGAAAAGATGAAGGAGGTGAATAGGGTCTGCGATAACTGGAATAAGTGGCTTAAGAATGATACGAACCTTTGGAATCCCCATCTCTTCCAGGATGATTCGGGTATCTAATAGGCACAATATGAGTCAGAGTGGAGGTTGAGATCCAAGAGATTGAGACTGGATAGTATGTGAAGACATAAAGAGATTCCATTATCAATGAATGATACTATCAGATGACTGCTAGCTACATTCCATCCACCACCGCTGTCCGTACAGACATAAAAGTCGTTTCATAAGTTCCAAGCGATCATGATGCTCAAGGGTACCTCACACCAAAGACGGGTGATTCCGACTTGTCCCAATCACTCTCCTTCTTCTCATCACCGAAGATCCTCAGAGCCCTGTAAGCGACCTTGTACTTTCCAGCAGGGGCGTATCCTCCATCAGCCAGCTTTCCATTCCAGACAACAGAGCCCTTGCCCATGGGGTTCCACAAAGTAGGGAATCCAGCAGGCGCTCCCAGGCTCTTGGCAGTGGAGTTGCCAGAGACAGGAATCAGCTCGGCCTCAAGCTTAGCAGATCCAAGGGCCAGCTTCCATGCCAGAGCAGGAGCGGGCTTATCGTCAGTAGCGTTCTGGCCCTTGACGGGTAGAACGAAGGTGGTGTTGGCGGGAACGGGGTTGAGCTCGTCCTTGTCGTTGGACTTGCTGATCCAGGTATCATCGGAGGCGAGAACCTTGGAGTCGTGGAGAGAACCGGTGAGACCTTGGTAGGGAAGAGATAGGGAGATATCAGTTCCATTGATGGCGATGTAACCAGACCAAAGTGCGAGGCGCTTGGCATCGAGACCCTCGGGAGGAGTAGGCATAACCTCAATAGTAACAGAGTCACCAGCGCCGATGCTGACCTTGGCTTCGCTGAACTTAAGGCTGGCCTGGCCATCGGCAACATCGTTGGGGAACTCGGAAGCATAGATGCTGTCCTTGGCAAGAGTGTAGACGCTCTTGGTAGGAACATGAGAGATGCTCAAATCAAGATCCGTCTTACCAGTGTTGTGAAGGGTGAAGTTGAGGACCTCGGTGAAGTGATCGGTATCGTTGAAGGCCAAGCTAGAGCGGCTCAACAGGAGGGTAGAGTAAGCAGCATCGTAAGCCTGGATCAAACCACCACCCTGTTGAGGGACAGGAGCAAGGTAGTCATAGAACTTAGCACCGTCGTTGAAAAGAGTAGGGTTGGAAGTAGACGACAAGAGGTTTTCAAGGACCTCAGGGTCAAGAGTACCGCGGACCTCGGCGATAAGGGCAATGACTCCAGCAACCAAGGGACAGGCCATAGAAGTTCCAGAAAGAACAGCATAACCGCCCTTCTTGAGAGGATATGTCGAGAGGATGTTTCCACCGGGTGAGCCGAACTGGGGCTTGACATCGAGCTCCCAGGTAGGTCCCCAAGAAGAGTAAGTGCTGACAGCGCCACCGGTAACATTGTTCTTGCTCTCCTCAAGAATGACCTTTCCATCAGAGCCATCAGACATCTCGAGAGTGACGGTAGATCCAGCCTTGAGAAGCTCAACCCACTTGACACCAGTCTTGGCGGGGACCATACCAGCAGCAACAATACCCTCAACGGTTGAGACATCAATGGCTGTAGCACCGCTGGCAACGTTGTTGTAGACGAGAAAGTACTTGGCACCATGTTTAGCAGCGTTTTGAGCCTTCTGAACAAAGGTACAGCTTCCACGACGGACCAGGACGATGTAATTGCTAAGATCAGGAGTATCCTCAGGGTAAGCGTCACAGCCGCCATTGGGAACGGTAGGGTCCAGGTTAGGAGCCCAAAGCGGGAGGGTGACCTTGCCCCAAGCAGCAGGACTACCCGCAGTAGAACCAAAGTCGATCTTCTTGCTGCTGTTGTCAACGGTGTAGTGAGAGATGTTGAGAAGAGAGACGTAGTCGCTGTTGTCGTAAGAAGCGATAGCCATGACCTTGTTACCGTTGGCAGCAGTGCTAGCGTAGAACATACCGACATCACCAGAGTTGCCAGCAGAGACGGTACAAGGGACACCCTTCTCGACGATTCGAGAGACAGCGACAGCCCAGGGCTCCTCAGACCAACCGCTAGGGCCTCCAATGGAAGCAGTGATGATGTCAGCGCCATCCTGGTAAGCTTGGTTGAAAGCGGCGATGAGAACATCGTTACCGGCCTCTCCGGAGCAACCGAAAACTCGATAGGCGCCGAGGGTGACTCCAGGAGCCGCACCGGTAAAACCGTACTCGTTCTTTTGGGCAGCAATAATACCAGCGACGTGAGATCCGTGCCCTGCGCAATCCATGGGATCATCATCGGGGTAAACGGCATTGAAGCCGTCGTACTTATCACCGACGAGATCAGTACCGAAAGAAACAAGACAGTCGGGACCGAAGCAACCACCAAGAGCAGGGTGCTTGTAGTCAATCTAGTAATGTCAGCCAGCGTCTTGACTCAAGAGTACAAGACTTACACCAGTGTCGACAACAGCGACCTTGATACCATGGCCAGTGATACCCTTCTCTCGAAGCTTATCAACCTGGACCTGAACGTGGGGTGAGAATGTATCAGCAGTATCATTCAGATCACGCTTCTTGAGAGGAGCCTTCATGCCAGGCGTAGCAGTCCACTCAATGCGAGGCTTAGGAATGCTGTAGACCTTGACAGGCCACATGTTCTTGACCGCGGGAAGAGCCGCCATCTTGGCAGCCATGTCCTCAGCGGTAGAAACATCGTCAAACTGGATAGAAACGCCCTTGAACAGGTCGTAGTCGAACTTGACGCGGGTGGTGTACTTGTCATCAGCAGTCCTGTAAAACTTGGCGGTATCCTACTACTGTTAGCAGCGAAGGGAAGTGTGGTGGTGAGATGCGTACGTGGTTCTCCTCAAACTCGAAGATGTAGGCACCTGGGACGTGCGTAACAGCGGTACCCTGCTCAGTGTCTTGAACGGCAGCGGACAGCCCTGCGAAAAGCAGAGCCGTCAATCCTAGACGGACCATAATGAATGTGTGTAGTGTGATATAAAGAGTGACTTGTAAAGAATAACAGACAATGCAATAAAGAGGGTGGAGCAGTCAAGAGAGTGACAGGATACCAGAACGAGTGGTTGAAGAGAAGACCTTGGCAGATCAACGGCGTTATCACAACATTATATAGCCTACACGGAGTGTCCCGCCCTCCTTGGAAGATCTGTATGCGTCCAGATCAAGCAACCCCGTCTACGGAGTATATGCAGGAACATGTGATGCCCCCCCAGCGATACAAACCCAAACCTGCATGACCTCCCATAAATGCTTCCAACGACCTCCAGAAGTTCCAGAGCAATTACCATAAGTTCCCTCGCTCTTATCAACAGACCTACCAGATTAAAGTTAGCGCAGGGAAGATCGTACTAGCTGATCGAATGAGCGTCTAGATGCTAGCCTTGGCGCTCAGGGGAACTACAGGGGTCAGCGTTGCACTCGCGCGGGTTCAGTATCGAATGGGGGACGTTAGCCCGTGGGACTTTTATCCAAGTGCCGCGACTCCGCTGCCTGATCCGTAATTTAAATGCTGTATCTATGTATGTACGTCGATTGATAGAGCAGGTCGACGAGGGGACCTTTTTGTCCGTGGGTTTGGGGGTTTCCTATCGTGGTTAGGAGAGATGGCGACATTCAAGACGCGGCATTTCTCCGCTGATAGCGGAACCATCGTGAGTCGTGAGAGATAGAGTTATGAAGCCGCTGCCGTAGTAAAGGCGATCAAAAGGTAATTGTGAGAATAGGCTTCGGCTTGTTGGAGATCACTTTATTCTCGGGCTTTTGCGGCGTATCAAATGAATATCTCCGAGTAGCACCCTTACTCGTGTAAACTGTAATGGCTGGATTAGACTTTCGTCTTACCCTGTAAGAACTCTATCTGATGGAAATATGAACCAAACATGTAACCTAGCGACTCGCAAATCCCTTAGGTCGAAAGTTTCAAGGTTTCATCGGCTTATTATTATTTGTTTCTATTGCTGTATTTGAGGTATTGGGCGATAAGAGCACTAGGCAGAACAATGAGGCATTACGCTGGGTTTTTAATTACTGGTCATATAAGGAGCCAGTACTTGTATCCGTATCCATGCCCTCCGCGAACAAACACTATCAAGCTCGGTGGAGCTTTTCTAACAGTGATGCCACGCCCAACACCTTTTCCTCTTCATACCTCCTTCCAATGATCTGTACTCCAATATCAAGCCCTTCCATTGCTTCAGGATCGTAAAGGCCCCGTATCCACTCATCGATCGCATTACGCGGCGCATACTCGTGTAGATAATTATGGCGCGCTTCATCAGCTGCAGCGACGTATATGTCAGACGATGTCGGATCCTTAGAGCTTCCAAGTTTTGCAAATGGGAATGACATAGCTGTGTAGTCGAGAAAGTTCCATATCTTGGCGTAGCCAGTCCATCTGCTTGACCTATGCGGAACAGCTGTATGAGGCGACACAGGACTGATTATAACGTCGACGCTTTCTCCATCCTCTAATCCAGCAGTCGTCGTCCATTTTTTATTGTAAGCCTCCTGTGCTGCTGTCTTTCGGCGGTTGAGTTGCCAGTACTCATACACCGATATTGGTTTGGATGAGTTGACGAGCGCCTCCACATGGGCAATCATCGGTTCGCCTGCAACAGCGACTTCAGTCTTGATATCCTCTCCACCATCTGCACGGTAGAACTGGTCCTGGATCTCGATACAGCTTGAGTGGTCTGCTGTACTCCACGGAATGATTTTATGACCAGCCTTTTTCAAGATTGCCACTGCACGGCGGACCGCTTCTTGGATTTCAGGATGAGGTCTCACGACTCCATCATCTAAAATGACACCGATGGTGAGTTTCCGTTCCTGCACGCCCTCGAAATCGGCCTCTCGCCATGGAATCGGGACGACATTTGGGTCAATCTTCCATGGTTCTGCGAGTAGACATTCCTTGGTCAAGGTGATGAGGTTCGCAAGCGACGGACTCATGGGACCAATTGATGAAGGAACATGAGACTGTCCCTCATGAGAGTTCGCCGCACCGGAGTAGGAAAACCGACCAGACGAAGGCTTCAGCCCAAAAAGACCGCAGAGGTGACTTGGGACGCGAATTGAGCCTCCAATGTCAGTTGCCCAGCCCCCAAGTGATCCAGACATTCGCATCAGAGTAGCCTCTCCACCTGATGAACCGCCTGGTGAAAGCTCGGGTCTGCCAGGATATGTAGTCAGTCCCCAGAGAGGACTTTCAGTCTCGCCATACATGATGCTCTGAGGGATAACGGTCTTTGTTATGATGACTGCGCCAAGCTTCTCTAGAAGGGTCACCATAACTGCATTGTCGCGGGCGGGCTTGAAAGATCGCCCGACATAGCCTAACGTGGTATCGACACCAGCGATGTTGAACTGGTCTTTTACTGAGACTGGAATGCCGTGGAGAGGACCGATGAGCTGCTGGTGTTTCTGGAAGTACTCATCGAGATACTTTGCGCGTTCAAGTGCATTTTCGAAAAGAGGTTCGCTGAGGCAGTTTGTCTAAAGCATGTTAGTCATATTCGCGGATGGACATGCTGTACGCGAACCTCATTGTGTGAAGCGATGGCTCTGCAAGGTATTAGTAATCGCAGATAGCTTATAGCAACGTGAGGTTTACCTGCGGATCGTCACAGAGACCAATTTCTCCGCTGTTATCTTGCCCGTTCTCAGTTGTTCGAGAAGTGAAGAAATATCGGCATGTTCTGGCACAACGCTCTCATCACTGACGGCGGTGAGTTGAGCCTCGCAGCTTTGGATCGCACCATCGCGATCCTCCCTTTTCTGCCTCACGGTAGTCTCCCAATACATAGTGCTCAATAGCTTCCTTGTGATTGCAGAGCAAATTCGGAGATTTTATAAGAATTGAGTATCTAAAATGCCTCGTTTAAAGGGAGAATCCTCACGGAGCTAAGCTAGTGGTTCTAGAACCGGCAGTTGATAGCTTCTCGTGATGGAGATAAGAGGGTCACTCCGAACTCGGCACCGTATCCCCGAAAACGTCCCCGCAATTCAAACCCGAGATGCAAGCCATTTCGCATTTCGCGTTTGAAAGCAGAACGGAAACCAACACTACCTATTGGGAATGACCAAAGGAGGTATCTACATGGTCATAACAGATCTGAAGCGAACCTTGCCACTCTCCATCTTCTCAAAAGCCTCTCGGTACTGAGTATCAAAGTCAAACTTCTCAATGATGCACTTGATACCATGCGTATGCGCAAACGCGATAGCATCCTCCGAATCTTGCTGATGTCCCGTGTTCCATCCATGCACACTGATATTCTTCATGATCATATCGACCGTATTGAACTCGACCGGGCCCAGAGGTGAGAGAACGACCAGCTTACCAAGAGCCGCAAGGCCTGCTGTGAGAGGACTGACTGCCTCTGCATTCGGGGCCGTTGACAAGATCATGTTAGCCCCTCCAAGCTTCTGCAACGTCTCGCAGGGATCTTGTTTGCTGGAGTCGATGTAATGATGGGCACCTAGCTGTATCGCAAAGTCTTTCTTCTCACTTCCGGCGCTCATGGCAACGACGGTGTATCCCATCTTGGAAGCGTACTGAAGTGCCAGATGGCCGAGTCCTCCTAGGCCTTGGACAGCTACCAGACCACCTTGGAGGACGCCGATCCTGCGAATGGCATTGAAGACGGTGACTCCGGCGCAGAGGAGGGGAGCGACTTCGGCAGGGTCTGCATCGGAGGGGATTCGGACGGCAGCTTCGGCGTGAAGCAGGACGTATTCGGCGTAACCACCATCCATAGTCACGCCGTTAATGACACCGTTGTCGCACAGTTGGAATGATCCAGTTTGGCAAGAGCGGCATGTTCCATCGTGGCCTTGTCACAACACATCAGTCAAACCGGTATGGCAGCTTTAAGAATGCACAGAGACTTACCGCCATGCCAGGCACCACCAACACGTTCACCAACTGTAAATTTGCTTACTCCGTCACCGACAGCAACGACGTCTCCAACGAGTTCATGACCCGGTACGCGAGGAAATAAATCTCCAAAGCGACCTTGCTGTACCCACGAGTCAGAGTGGCAGACTCCGCATGCAAGGACCTTGGCCAAGATGAAGCCTGGGCCAGGTTGTTGAAGCTCGACTTCTTTGAGGATTAGCTCTGATCCACTCTCATCGAAGGATGCAGCTTTATAGGTCTTGGGGAGAGACATGTTTTTAGAGATGTTCAAAGTGTAAGATGGAATGCTGAGAGAGCCAGAGAATTGTTGGTGTGTTATGATGAGAGGCCGATAGCTGTGATCTTGCAGTCTTATATGTACCATTTCATCCCCATCTCTTGATTTATCAGCTCGGAAATATTTCGTAATCAAATTGAGCCTCTGCGCCAAAAACGCCGTTACTGGGCTATCGAGTTGGTGCAAGTGAAGTTGTGTCGCAGTCAGCCCTGAGCACCGAGGTCGAGAGCCGAGCACCGAACAAAGCCAACGCGCTTACCAATTTCTAAGAGGAGATATAACACGGGTTGCGCATTAACACTGCTATATTATTGAGCCCTATTGGGTCTATTAGATTAAGCTAGATTGTAACTACAGCAGGCCAGAGGTCTCCTCAATCCCACGCTCCTCCATAAGCCAGTCAAAGTTATCCAGCATACTAAAGGACGAAAAGTGATCCCAACCGCCAGCAAAATCCAATTCTCCAAGCTCTACGACCGGCTGAGTGAGCGTTGGATTATTTAAAATATGGTCCAGAACCTTCTTTATAACGCCCCGAGCATTATGCGCCACGGAACAATGCGTTTGGGATGGGCATGATGTCTTGAGATATCCCAGTAGAAGGCTCAGTTGCTGAATGATTTATGATCTAGAATATGCTTCACCGGCGATGATGCTATTCTCTGGTGACATAGTCACTGCGACGGGGTCTATGAGTTCCATGCACAGGATGGCCCCAGCGAGGGTAGCGTATCCCATGATCTAATAGTTGTCAACGCGCACGAATCGTGCTGGGGCCAAAAAGAGTCTACTCACTATCCACCTGCATTTGCCTTGCAAAGCAGCCCAGATGTGCTTCTGAGCCCAAAAGCTGAGCGTCAAAATCACCATCTCGAAACTGGTTCGCAAAAGCTCATTTCTTGCTTGGCCGTGCTTGACCAACAGTCGCTCAACGAGGAACATGTTCAGCAAATGGTCTAGTCGTATCAGCAGCCTAGGATAGTCTATCTCAAGATCTATTTCGCTTATTTCCTCCGCAGTAGCATCCCATACAAGATGTTGGGGAAGCTGCTTGTAGAGATTAAGCTGTTTCGCTTTCAGTCGCCTGTTCACAAGTGTACTATTAGCCATAGACGTCTTTCATACCGAGGTTCCGCTTACCTCATATCTGTAATGTCGTATTCACCATCGTGAGCGAATGCAACTTCACGGATTTGGTCTCTGAGCAGAGCGATCATCATACGAACACGCAAAAGAGAGCTTGAGTAGATTCTCCCATCCACGTTCCAGCCATCTTGGTCGAGATGTTGAGACTGCCTCTGGAAGGCTGCTTTGTCCGACAGCAGGACCGATTCTTTAAGATCAAGCGGTAAATTTATGAAACAAAATCTCCGTGTAAGAAGAGGCGGCCGTCCAGCAAAAGTGGCTAAAAACTTATCAACGATGAATACTTGACATCCGATGCGCCTGCGGATCTCGGTAGATACCGCTGGCACGTTCCTAGACCGATTATCATGAAGTCCCGAGAATGTCAGCATCGCAACTGTCTCGGCGTGAAACTTCCAGTATGGCAGACCTACTCTGATCAGACCGTATCACCAACGAGAGTATAGGTCTCGGAGAAACTTACTGGTCTCGGAGAAACTTACTGGTCTCGCCATGCATCCATGCATGAAGAACAGAGCGCTTATACATCAGAAACAGCATGAGCGTCCCAGAACTCCCCCCCCATGTTCGCAAGAGTTATACAGGAAGCGCAGTACTCAGTGAAGTATGTTATCATCCTCTTTGACTCTTCATTCGAAGCAGCTGATAGCTCACTAAGAGCTGTGTAAAGAAACATGACGCCAACAGCCTCCCATCTTAGATTGGCGCCAGAAAAGCTTTCGATCCACGTAGACGGGTCATCTTGATCCTCCCGCAGCGTCTTTCGTGTGTTGATGCATATTCTACTCCCCATCTCGCGCAACTTTGCGGTGTTTTCTCTGTCACTAAGGTAAGACCCGAATGTCTCCCAGGTACTAGTTAGGAGTCTATCACCAATACTAGCCAACCAGTCCTCGTCAAGGCCAACTCGGGGTTTCGATCTATACATTAATGGCTTCTCGGGTAAGGCTTGGAGTACTTTGACTGCAAGTTGGCTTGCTCCTTGATCCATATTCACGATACTCTGTATCTCGGCCACCGATGGTGGAGCTGGAACAGTTGGTGAAGAAGGCGTATCAACCTCTGCCATTGCGGGTCCCTGTGCAGCCAAACTAGCCTCAGTCTCTTGGTACGCCGCCGGAAAGCTTGTAGGTCCGAAGAAGCCCTGCGGCGGCCTCGGAGTTCAAGGCCGATGCTTCGGATACTTGTCGCTGCGAGTGCCTCGCTCGAGTAGCGGTTGCTGCCTGTTCCGGCAACGCATAGTAACACGCAGATACACTGTTTGGCCGTTTCCTGCACCGGCGACATACGGGATAACCGTGGTCGCACGCCACTTTTCGTCGCCGACAAGGCTCGCATGCTTGCTTCTTGCCATTACGCCGAGTAACGAGTGGACTAGACATGACGGTCGGGTTTCAGGTCATGCGCTGATTGGATCAGCTGCAGAGTGACGAGTTTGAAATGTCCCGGGTGTTGTTTGAAAACAGAGGTGAACCTGTCAGCACCATCTGCTGACAGCCAAGACCGAGCTCCGAGGGCCGACGCATTGGGAACAATCAGCCAGGAAATTTTGCCCAGTCTAACTTAGTGCTTAGTTACTCGGTTCTTAGCGGGAAGCGAGGACATTAGAAATGCATTAGCAAAGTGTCGTGCCGCATGATTACATGTTTGTAGTTCAACATCGGGGAGATTTTTCAGCTGGCATTTGAAGCACGCAAATACAACTGCGCCAGATAAATCACCGATTCATATTGAAAGTCAAATAAGACATTAGCTATCCATCAAGCCTCATAAGGGTATCCCGTTCAATCTCTTCTCCATCTTACGATATAGCCATTCCTGATGTTTTCTATCTCCAACCCCAGTCCGTCCGAAACAGCACTTAGCAGTTCTTTACGTCTTGTTTTCCAGTAAACCAGTGTATAACTTGCACATTATTCCCAAACCCAGGTTTTCCATCTCTAAGCCTCGAAGCTTTAATGCTGCATTTCCAGAATGCAGTCAAATGTAGTAGCGGTAGGGTATTCTTTGATGGCGACGCGACCGGTGTCCAGATCTTGTCGTTCATAAGAGCGAGAAATGATGAAATCACATGTATCCGCCCGTGATATGTGTCAGCCAGCCTTTGACGCGTTTTGAGACTGGTGACGCGTCGTCTTCGCCGTCATCCTCGGCAGGTCGCTTTTTGGACTCATGCGTCGGCATTTCTTGAGGCAGCGCCTCCTCGGCTGGTGTCTCTTCTACTGGTATCTCTCGACTTGGCTTCTGGTGTTCTTTTGCCAAGGTGCTCATGTCGCTGGCCGATGCGCTCTCGCCTTGGTCGGGCGCATGGTCGAAATCGTAAATGGGCTCGTCTGACAGTTCCGAGGATACGTCAGAGCTAAGTTCGATTATCGGCACGTGATCTTGCCTATCGCGCAGCTGATATCTGCTGCCCTCATTTGTGAGGAGTTTTTGCGGTTCACGAGCTGGTGATTGTTGCCGCGGTACAGAAAGCCGAGGTAATTCTGGTTCCTCTGGTTCTTCTTCTTGTTGTTGTAAGTAAGGTAATGATTTTTGCTGCTGTGACTTTTGTTTCGGTTTTGGGAGTAAGCCCGCAAGGGTATGTCGTCTGATTTCTTTGGTAGTCTCTCGCAAATGAGCAGCCAATTCACTATGCGGATCAAGATGCCAGAGAGTGCGCTCGATGGTCGCGCGCAGCATGTGAAGATTCCCCTCCTCGTGAGCAGCGCGCTCAGCGGCGGTGAGCTTGGCCATGGCAGCTTGGGCTTCTCTTCTGGTGGAGGGTCGGTAGAGTGAGCTCATGAAGTGAGTGAGGGGACGGCGGGTGGGGACACGTGGTTATAGCGGCAATTCAGGCGATGGATGCCATGGGTATTTTAGATTTAGGTATCTCATGCAATCTCGATTTCTGTCCTGAGTGTAGATATGAGGTATTGTCTTCTTGTCATGTCTTTTGAGGCTGGCGTAAATAGGGTTGCGCACGATTCGGTCGGTAATATTAAGAGGTTGGTTTTATTTTTCAAGTGTCTCCACTCGACTCGGGTCGGGGTCTTTTATTTATTATGCATGGTGAGCTGTCACTGCTACTGGAGCCTGAAAAACCGCGTGGTAGCATCCGGTGGATCTTGCTGATAGCGATACGCCAATCAGCTTGACGATGACGACAACAGATGACTCATCCTTGATTTGCGCTATGACGTCTATGGTTTAGACTGGCCACTCAAAGCACGATTCCTCAGTGTTTCAGGTACCCACTAAACTCTTTTTGGTTCATCAAGGTCAGCCTCAGGGTAGCTTCGTTTCTTTAACCAGCATGAACCAGCCTTTAGAAGAGCTAGACAAGTGTTTTATATGTGTAACTAGTAATACTAAGTATCTCTACGAGACTTCAAGTACATTTAAGGGAGTTCGGTCCTGAAAATAAGCAGTTAAAGTCACCAGAAGCGAATTAGTAACCTGTGATAAGCTCATCAAAGCAGGTGAAGAATCTCCTCCCAAACGTCAAGCAGCTTTCATCAATAAATCCGTAATGAAGCTCTCCAAGCGTTTATGACTTAGCCACGACATATGTAGATATCTCCATTCAGATTTGTAATCAACGAAACAGCACTATTTAATCTAATGTTATCACCCCGACATCAGTTCCCGTTGCTTGCTTTATCGCATAAGACACCAAATCCAACGTATCTTTTGGAACAAACAGCTCATCCGTGGTACCAATAACCTTATCAAAATGAGCCAAATAATCTTCCAGGCCCGTCGCGCGAGAATGGCCAGGGACCGTAGCCAACGTCGTTCTCGCGGCTCTTCCACCACCAACACTGAACAGCTCTCCAGATATCGGACACTCGGCGCTGCACAGCGCCACCACAAAATCCGCCACAAGATGCGTATGGAAGTATTCTCTCGTAATCCTCTTGATAACAGGCGATAAATCTGACATACGGGATGCTGCTGAGGGGAGAACGCCATTGATCTTGATACCATGCTTGGGACTCATGCGCCCGAGATCGCGAGTCAAACCAAAGGTGGCGCCTTTACTTGACACATAACCACCATCGCCACCTGCTCCCATACCGATAAGGCTGTCAGAAGAGGTGTTGACTATTCTCCCGTAGCCTTGCTTCTCCATAGTAGGATAAGTAATTGAAGTACCCTTGCGCGACCTGAACCTCGACCTAAAGCGGGGACATATACGACTCTGCGCTTCTAGTCCCCAGACCCTACACAACGCGAGGAGGGCGTTCCTTGACGCTGTCGAGCACCGATGAGCATAACAGTACCCAGTGCTGCAATCTCCCATGTGCGGCGGAAGGATTGAACGTTCACATCGTCGTGCGAGCTAGCTTCACCCGCAGTGCCTGCATTGTTGACAAGGATGTGAATAGTTCCGTACGCCGCTAGCGTATCTTGCACAAGCTCTTGGGCTTCGCACTGGACTGAGATATCATGGCCATCTGCGATGGCCTCTCCACCCTTTGCTTTGATCTCGTCAACGACAGTTTGCGCACGAGATATAGTACCTCGCTGACCGCTCAGAGAGCCGCCGTAGTCATTGACGACTACCTTTGCGCCATATGATGCGAGAAGAAGAGCATACTCTCTGCCGAGGCCGCCTCCTGCGCCCTGCAAAGAGCATTGTCAGTGCCATCATAGGTACCAGCATTTGTGAGGAACATACAGTCACGATGGCAACGCGGCCTTGAAGAGATGTCAATTTCGTTTGAGACATGGTGAAGTGCAAATTGTCGTTGGTAGAAGTCGGAAATTAATTGAATTGAAAGGTCACAACCATGCTCGCCCGACGTGTTCTATAATCAAGATTTCCCCGCACTCTGGGGCCGATTGTTTAGTGCCCGATAGTGCGCTATCGAGTCACTATGCCGCTAAATCTCGGGTTCAGGGGACCTCGGGGGCTTGAGTCAGTAAGCGAGTCAGTGGACTGAATCACCTAACGGACCCATTTGACAAAGGATAGTTTGAGAGCCTTGCTCGATACGCCGCCACTTATAACTGGATGAAGTTGGTCGTGGCTGTGAGCCAACCTCGAAGCTTGAGTGGTGCAACCTCAGAAGCGTACAGGGGCCCAATGATAAGCCATGCACCGATGGACAGACCATTGATGGCTTTTCCAACTGTCAAAATGGGAAGAGAGCCATCGCGGGTCGAGTGGTATTGAAGACCGACTCCAACGATAGAAATGGCACAGAAGAGCATGTTGGTGTATCGCCGGCCAATCTTGTCAGCCAGCCATCCTGTAATGGCGGCTCCAAGAACAGCCGCCAGTTGAGACACGCCGCCGTAAAGGCTCTGCCACGTAGCAGGAATTATGTAGATCGTCGTGTCGCCTTGTGCAAGTGTAGTGCCATAGTCCTCTCTGCAAGACTGTCAGGTTGAGTACTCACGACGACAGATACAAGGTCACTTACCGAAACTTGGGGATCGCGAGCAAATTACCCGCAATGATACCATCTATACCGTAGCCAAAAACAACGATCTGGACGTATAAGATCCAGAGAGTACTTCGCCAGAAAACTCGAACGCTTTGAGCGAAGCTGAGGGTCTTTTCGTAGGCGATTTGGTTAGCAGCGGCTTCAGCATGGTCCTCCGCCTGCTGCGTCTCAAGGTGTTCAGTAGTAGTCATCGCTGTAGCCTCCTTCTTAGTATCCATGACACAATTATCTGACAAGAGAGTATGAATAAAAGAGATAGATTCCTGCAAAGAAGAAAAGTTTCTATGAGGATGAAGGGAAGTGAAGATTCTCGTTATTGACAAGGGGTTTTGTAGTTGAACCCGCAACGCCACAAATGAATGCTTATGATCTAGACAGCGCAGCGGTGCAGTGCTATGGTCAATGGGCCTGGCTGGCTACCAAAGATCGAGGAGCTACCAGCGTCAACCCCATAGGGAAGTGTTCCTGGGTCATTTGCTGCACAGGCCACGATAGGGAACAGTCGCCCCCGCGTGGAGATATTGACTCGACTGAAGAGTCAGCTTTGTGGGGTTTGGGGTACTAACCGTGCTAGCTTCAGAGTCATGGGGGCTAACTTAGTCTGGGGTATAGAGTCAACATTGGCGGTTGTCAACGCGAGGTCAGTAGCCGACGATCTGCATTTGTCAAGGGTTGGAGTGTTTGCTTGCCAAGACCCTGTGCTTTATTTCTTTGCTATCTCGTCGTAATCTGATGCTAATTTGTCTCTTCATACTCATCCTTGCCGACTCACTCAACCATCAAGATGACAGTCTCAAACGGAAATAGCTACGCTACAACCTTCGACAACCGAGTTGGTGGTACACCTATCACACGCGACAATGACGGTCCTTACCAAGTATCCGAGCATATCCTATGCGCTCCCAGAAAGCTCCGAGTTGGGTGTATAGGAGCTGGAGCCTCTGGGATCATGATGTGCTACAAGAAGGAGAAAGAATTTGGAGATGACATTGATCTGGTAGTTTATGAGAGTGGGTTAAGTCTGGCTCCAAATCATAGGTCAATTGAGTACCATCTAATCTCCAATCCCCCTAGGGTACCCCAAGCCCGGTGGCGTCTGGTATGCGAACAAGTACCCCGGTTGTCGCTGCGACGTTCCTTCACCCGCCTATCAATACCCTTTTCACCCGAAAGCAGATTGGTCCAAGTAATATTCCCCGGCAGCTGAGATCCAATCGTATTACGAGTCATTTGCCAGAGAGAAGGGCTATGTGGATAACTACATCAAGCTATGTCATCGCGTCGACAAAGCGAGTTGGGATGAGCCCAACGGACAGTGGATTTTGACTGTCACTGAGACTACTAATGGTCAAGAGAAAACCTTCGAGGACAGAGTCGACTTCTTGATCGCCAACATTGGCATCTTGAACACCTGGAAGTGGCCCGACATTCCCAACCGCGAAGCCTTCCGTGGACACATCACCCATTCAGCGGACTATGATACCGATCTTGACCTGGAGGGCAAGACTGTGATCGACATTGGATCTGACGCTTCTGCCATCCAAATCGTGCCAGCCATCAAGTCGACAGCAAAGAAAGTCATATCATTCTATCGCACACCGCAGTGGATTGGACCTGGGTTACCAATGGAAGGCTACACGGACTCTGAGGGACGAAACTTTGTCTGTGAGTTGGCGAAAACCTCGTTTATAGGCTTGTCTAATATGGCTTAAGATACCGATGAGCAAAAGAAGCGATTCGCAGAGGACCCAAAGGCGTACTTGGAGCATCGGAAAGAAATGGAGACAAAGATCAACACGAGTTTCCGAAATAACATTGCCGAGCACCCGAACCAGAAGATGGCTCGCGAGGTAAGTATACCTAGCGCACTCCCCTTAAAAGGCCTCCGGGATCTGACATGTATCTGCAGTTTGTGGCTAAAAGAATGGCCAAGATTCTTAAGAACGACGAGAAGTTGACCCAGCGCCTGATCCCAACCTTTCCCATGGGATGTCGTCGCCTTGGTCCAGCTGAAGAATTCCTTGAATCTTTCCACGAAGATAATGTTGAACTAGCCGAAGGCGAAATCGAGTCTTTCACCGAAAATGGTCTACGTGTTGCCGATGGAACAGAGTATAAAGCAGACGTCATTATTTGTGCGACTGGCTTCAACGTCAGCTTCAAGCCGCACTTCCCTGTCATCGACCGCGATGATGTGTCGCTGGCTGATGCCTGGAAAGATGATCCAGCCGCGTACCTTGCACTTGCTGCCAGTGGCTTCCCCAACTTTATGTGTAAGTTAACTCAGTACACGGACGATGTTAGTAGCTAATTGGTGTGTAGTGGGCTCGTTAGTACCAAACTGTCCTGCGGGTCATGGATCGTTCATCACGGTCCTTGAAGCAGCGCAGAACTACATTTGTAAGGTCATCAGGAAGATCCAAACGGAGAACATCCTCACCTTAGATGTCAAGCCTGAGGTTGTAGATGAGTACAACGAACATGTGCACGAGTGGCTGAAACGAACGTAAGTAAACCTTCAAAACTGTCAGGCCACTTCGATGAGCTGACGTAGGTTACAGTGTCTGGACGGCTGGTTGTCGTTCATGGTACAACCAAGGGCGACCGAATGGCAAGATCACGGCACAATATCCAGGATCACTTGTTCACTGGCGGCTGATGCTTGAGAATCCTCGCTATGAGCACTACAACATTCAGTACAGAAGCCGTAATAGGTTCGAGTTTATGGGTAATGGTTTCACGCTGCCAGAGGTAAGTGGTGAAGATCTGGCATGGTATCTGGATCCAGGGCATATAGCAAAGCCTCTCTTCTCGGAATAGTTATAGATGCATATATTAGTCAACTTTAAACCATTATATTCAGGTAGTATTGCCCTTCCATTGTGGATAACGATTAAAGAACTCCCTATCCAGCTTCCAATTGTTCAGATCCAATATCGTGGAGACGAGTTGCTGTGGGTCATGTACGAGATCAGATTCAGAGGTTGAGATTTCGACGGTGAGATATTTCCCGATGTCGGTTGAGACATCATACACACGATCGGGATCTGACATTGACATCTGAACGAGACCTTCTCTTATCGCGGGCCTACCAACCGTCAGTGAGGAGTCTAGCACAGAGAGAGCCATGCTTACCATGCTATGAGATCAGCTGCCATTGGGTGATGCACGACGAGCTGCAAGGGTGTAGGTCGAAGCCAAGGTGGTAAACTATGGTAGGCATCTTCACTGCGAACAATTTGCCACTGTGGCACGTTAACGACAGTCAGGCAAAAGCGACTGGGAAACATACCCTCAATAGTAGATACAGGACCCAATATGTGGCGAGATACTCTGATGTCCGCCGTGTTTTCCGTACTGGCTCCAGGTACGCCTTCAGATCCGTGGAAAGCGTATTTTGCTTATTGTCAACGAGAAAGTCAATCAGCACTGGCGGTCAAATGGACTCTGGGTTCTGGCTAGCACGTTGTATCATGTTATGTAATAACACGTCTTTTGCAACCGATGAAAACATCAGCATGGGCATGTTTGAGCGGAAGGCGGGCAGGTTGTGCTTCATGCACGCATCGAATAACTCTGTGAAGCCATCAAGAGGATCTGGGGTACGTCGCATTTCCTGGTAATGTGAGGAACTGTCCTCGACTTCTGGGAAGCGTTCCATGTCGTCGTTGTCTCGGAGGAGATGACTTGGGCTGGTTATCCGTCTCATGGCCATTGCGGAGTCTGATTCATGCGCCCGAGGTGTCTGTAACTGTGATGGGTCCATCGTAGAGAAGTCGTCTGAGTCTTTGTTCCGAACTGTGAGCGATTGTGAGTGAGTGAGCTCGGTCGTTGCTCTGTCGCTTTCATCTGAATGATCCATACTGGCCAGCTGAAAGTCGTCTCCCAGCATCGTATCCATTTCAGTACCGCCTGCGTTTAGTAGGTGAGAGCTATCGTGAAGGTCCAAAGTGTCGCAATGGATCAGGGCGTCGGGTAGATCCTGTCTCGACGCTATATCGTGAAGCATAAGGTCATCCAGATCTGAGAGTCCGGTGGATTGCAAGCGATCACCTGCTGCAGTACCCCACGCTGGTTTTCCCATCATTTCAAGCCTAACCTCAAATGGTTTTAGTGGTGTGTTATAACCGAGGATTTAAGCTGACTCGACTCAATGACTCGACAGAGTCCCCCACATCCAGCTGTCAGTATTCCCTACATGGCTTCCCCTCAATAACCCTATATTCGGCTATGTACCGTCAGTCCGGGTCAGATGACGCCGAACACGTTATGGGCTAAGTTATGAAGATAATGAAAAAGGCTTGTTCCAGCTGAGAAAGTAGTGATATGTCTACCGCACGTCCATTGAATTGCCTGGTCTCCGATCTTGAATTACCCCATCTATCATGGCTATCTCGCAGAGCAATAATGAGAGCAATGGCACACAGCCACCAAGAACTCCAACGACACAAGGATACGGCCAACATCCATTGCATGATAAATCACAGAGGCCATTGAAAGTCATCGTCGTGGGTGCAGGCCCTTCAGGAATCGCAGCGTTGATTGAGCTGAAGAAACTCTCGCACGTTGAGATTTCATGCTTTGAGAAGAATGCTGCTGTTGGAGGAACATGGCTTGAGACGAGGTACCCCGGCGCTGCATGTGACGTTGCAAGTCACGCCTACCAGTATTCTTTTGACTACAAGACGGATTGGTCTCGACAGTAAGACAAAACGAATTGCCAATCATTTGATCTTTCTACTGACGATGACAGCTTTTCACCGGCCGAGGAAATTGGCGAGTACTTCATCTCAGTAGCCAAGAAGCATCATCTGTACAACAAAATCACCTTCAACTCGCGCGTGATTGGCGCTGAGTGGGACGACAATACAGGCCTTTGGCGTCTTCAGATTGCGCGCGATATCTCGCCTGAGAGTGATGCTGTCGTTGAAGATCATCATGCTCATGTTTTCATCAACGCGGGCGGTATCTTGAACGATTGGAAGTGGCCTGATATCGAGGGCTTGCACAGCTTCAAAGGAAAATTGATACATACAGCTGCTTGGGTAAGATGATATTTCGTGGTCCAATGGCTTTGACTAAAAGTGATCAGGACCCAGAAATCGATCTCAAAGGCGCGTCTGTCGGCATTATCGGATCTGGTGCAAGCAGCATACAGGTAGCCCCAACCATACAGTCACTATGCGACAAGATCGACGTTTACGTGCGATCACCTACATACATTCTACCAACAGTTGGGTTCGGCATAGAGTCCTCCGACTTTAACGCGCCATGTAAGGAGCCACGATCTCGCCAATTCCTCGATGCTGACTGTTGCTAGATACTGAAGCAGATATCGAACGGTTCAATAACGATCCAGAGTATTACAAGACATTCCGAAAACTCATTGAACAACAGATGAATGAGAACTTTGCTGCTAGCATCAAGAACTCGGAAGCGCAGGAGAAAGGGAGACAGGTATGCTGGAACTAACATTGCTACGAGCTTTGCATTAACCATGAGGTAGTGGGCAGAGAAGATGATGAGCTCGGCGATAGCCTCACCAGAGCTGAGAGAGAAGCTCATTCCGAAGTATTTTATGCCCTTATTTCCGAATCAACCGTTACTGACAGCTGTGTGCGAATAGTTGGGAGCTCGGATGCCGGCGACTTACTCCTAGTCTGCCGTATCTCAAAGCCATTCAGGAACCCAACGTCAATGTCATCAGAACAGGCATTCGTAGTATCACTGAGAAGGGCGTTGAGACAGACGATGGTGAGATCCATGAAGTCGATACTCTTATCTGCGCAACTGGTTTCAACACCTCCTTCTCTTCCAGATTCAGCATCGTTGGTCGAAATGGTGTGAGTCTACGTGAGATGTGGAAGGCTAAAGGCCCAGAGGCCTACCTTGGAATGGCTATTGCAGGCTTGCCCAATTACTTCAGTAAGTTGCAATAAATCACACATTTTGTGAGACATACTGACAGTAGCTAGCCCTGCTTGGACCCAACTGCCCTATCGCCAACGGTTCTCTCATTCCCTGTATTGAGTCTAGGTACGTCTCCTCTCTTCTCATTCGAGGAGTCTCATGACTCATGACAGTTGCAACAGCGCCAAGTACATCGTTCAAGCGATCAAAAAGATCCAAACAGACCAGATTCGGTCACTGGATGTGAAGCAGCCGATCCAAGACGCGTTTAATGAATACGTTCAAGAAGTTCACAAGGACTTGGTTTGGACTGGCTCTTGCCAGAGCTGGTGTACGTACCCTTTAACCTGCCATCCACTGATCTCAGCTGATTCATGATTTCTACAGACAAAGACCGAAAGTCGGGCAGAGTTGTTGCAGTCTGGCCGGGATCAAGTATCCATTTCATGGAGATGATTGCCAACCCACGATGGGAAGACTTCGACATCAAGTACATTAACGTGAGTAAGACGAGTCTTCAGTTGAAAATGGCTAATAGAAACCACTCGAATCCGTTTTCGTTCATGGGCAACGGAATTTCTCAGCGGGAGGCGATGGGTGAAGATCTAACATACTGTAAGTACCCAAAATGTATTCTAACGGCACTTAGCTTACGCTCCTAGATCTCGATGATATGATGCCGGACGTGAAGGTATAATTTGGGTCGAGTTAAGGAGGTCTCTTTGCCGAATTGAAGAGGAATGTGTTTGTAGCATTGGTACTGAAATAGGTCGGTTTTCTTTGGTGGTGCCCGACTACTAGATTAGAATGAACTGCAATGGCACAAGAACATAGACCTAACAGCCAAGTGGCTTGTCTGTGGTTGTCCCAGATTACTGCCTTTGAACGTATCATTATGGTAATTATCTCCGCGATTTTGTGTGCTTAAGAACTTGTGGTCCTTCAGTCATGGCAACGTCGCTAGTGACTAGCTGCAGGCTTAAGTCGCCCGAGTCAGCTTGCTCTGTCATAACTGCCAGACTCTCGAGTATAAGTGTCCGAGGCTCCCCGAACTAGTATTCTCCCAATGAACAGCGACATTAATCTCGCTCATTGATCGACCGCCATGACACTCCGAACCCTAGAGAAAGCATTCAGCAGCGGAGTTGCAGTGATTACAGGAGCTGGAGGAGGGTTGGGTTCCGGTCTCGCACGGCATATCGCATCATTCGGGATGACTGTCATTATCGCTGATATTGACCTCAAACGGGCAGAGGAAGTTGCCTCAGATATCATAGCCGCGAAAGGAAACGCTGAAGCGAGGGCTATTGACGTATCTCGGCCAGAAGAGCTGGATGCACTGGCTGAATACGTTCACACTCGCTACGGAGATGTTCAACTGCTCATCAACAACGCGGCAATTGAGACACTTGGTACGTTGTGGGAACTATCCTCTTCTCGGTGGGAAGCGACTTTGAACATCAACATCCATGGCCCTATTCATGGTGTTCGGGCCTTTTGCCCCGCATGATGGCTTCCGGAAAGGAATGCTGGATCGCCAATGTTTCGAGCGTCGGGGCTTTCACAACTATCCCGGGACAATCAGCATATGCCGTTACAAAGCACGCCGTACAAGCTTTCACCGAGTCACTTCACGTAGAATTAAGCTCTCAAAAGACACCCATACATGTGAGCTCTGTCATTCCAGGACTGCTGAATACTGGTATCTTTGATCATGCTAAGCACGATACCTCAACGGTTGATCTGGATTGGGAGAAGCATCGAAAGTCAATGGCTGAGCTGGCGCGGGAGAAGGGAATGGGCATCTATGAAGCGAGTCGTATCATCGTGGAACAGATTGCAGAGGGGAGTCTCTGGGTGTGTACCCATCCAGCTATCCTGACTGAGATTTTGCAACAGAGGATCCAGTATTACGAGGGCCAGGAAGAACCCAATGTTCCACCAACATAGAGACTGTAGTAATCATGGAATGAACACCGTCTATTATAGATTTGTTTGATAACCCGACATCGCCATATGACTATGTATCAACTTCTCTTCATCCCCTCCGTGGCCCGCTTCGACGGTACGAAGATCTTTGAGGTTCGTAACGATTGCGTCTGCTATGTATGTGAAGGTGGCCCTTCAGGCTCTAGTAGCGCACATATATTGGTTAGTTATTATGCCGTAATGCCTTAGTTGTGAGCTAGATCTGTTATTTGCAGTTGGGTTTTGTAGCTGAGAGCTTAAATCGGCGGACAGAACTTAGTAGCGCAGATATAAGAATTATGTATAAAGCATAATAGAAAGAAACTTGCTTCGTTATAGTAGTAATGTATGTAATTTACAGCTTTGCTCTTTTCGACTCCATCTTCTCTTTCCATGACGCTTTCAACACCCGACGCAGAATCTTGCCAGAAGGACTTTTTGGAATCTGATCCACAAACTCAACACCTCCACTCAAGCGTTTATGCTTTGCCTTCCTCGCCGCAACAAACTCCTGTAACTCTCTCACAACCTCTGGTCCACCCTGGACTCCACTTGCAAGGACCACAAAGGCTCTTGGCATTTCACCAGAGTAGTCATCCGGGATGCCAATTATAGCAGCATCTTTGACTTTAGGATGGCCGTGAAGGAGGTCTTCGAGTTCAGCTGGAGCTACGGCATGTCCTCGTACCTAGATCATTGGGGTCAGTCCATGGAACTTTGTATAGCAGAGGTGAGACTGACCTTTATCATCTCCTTGATGCGATCGTGGATCGTGATGAATCCTTCGTTGTCGATGGAACCAAGGTCACCCGTCTTGAAGAAGCCATCTTGCAGATATGATGCGGCAGTTTCCTCCGGACGATCCAGGCAGCCCATAGTAACTTGGGGGCCCTTCGCCCAAATCTACCAGAGAGACAGTCAACACTAACACCTGACATGGCGATGGGCTTCTCACCTCTCCAACATTTCCAGCTGGTACATATTCTCCCGTGTCGGGATCTACAACACGTATTTCGGTACCTGGAACCAACTTGCCAACCTTTGAGGCATTGCTCCAGGTTGATAAATCAGGCGGAGTCACCGTCAAGCAGGAAGTCGTCTCCGTCATACCCCAGGCTTGTCGGACAGCAACAGTCGGGAACTTTCTCGCAAGCCGAGAAATCAATTGATCTGCCAATGGGGCTGCACCGGTGTTGAATTGTTTGACAAATGACAAGTCGTATCCTTGGGCCGATTTGTCGTTCAAAAGTCGAATTAATAGAGCTTGGTGAGTTAGTTCAAGCTTTTCTTTTTCGAGACATAACAAAGCTAGCTTACGGGGTACAAGCCACAGTTTATCGCATTTAAATCTCACAGTGGTCTCCATCATCTGCTGCTCGAGAACGATGGGCAGATGGAGTAAATGGACCAGACCGGTGACTAGTCTTGTCAGTCAAGGTCATCAACAGAGGTCGCCTAACTTACTATGATAAAAGGGCAGAGCACCCAGTACAGTACGACGTCGGTCTGGTGGAGTGAGGACGCTGATCTGACGGAGTTGACTGATGACGTTGGCGTGAGATATCTGGACCTGATATCATCAAGACTAGGATTACTTCGTTCGCAATCTATAGACTATAGCCGTGGCGTGTGACTTACAGCTTTGAGCTTTCCAGTAGTACCAGAGCTCCATGAAAGAAATGCGCATGGCGACGGCTCGTTGTATTTCGGTCCCCACGATTTGGCGTATGATGAAGGGTACATTGACTCTCCTCGCTGTCGCAGGTTCCGGAGGCTGTTCATCTGATATTCAGGTCCATCTAATCTTAAAACATTCTTCGCTGGTATTCCGAGTGCTTTGGAAGCGGCTGTGACTTTATCAACCGCGCTCTCGTCAGTAAACACAAGAGCCGTCTTTGACGTTCCAAGTAAATAAATTAGATCATCTTTCATGGAGCCAGGCGGTAATAGCGTAACTACAGCACCTAGTCGACTCGCAGCTAACATTGCAGCAGGATACCAGATAGAGTTCTGCCTAATGATGGCAATCGTCTGCCCAGGTCTGACATCATATTCTTGATGCAGAATTGTACAGACTGTGGTAGCAATGGGCTTGAGGTCATAAAATGAGACGAATTCGCCTGTGGCGCTGTCGTGAAATCCGCGAGTGTGAGATAGTGTTGGATCTGCTGAAGTAGACTGGCCTAATAGGAGCTCGTCGCCCTCAAGGATCCATTGCCATATGGAGGGGTTCCCAATCACTGGGCACCATAAGTTAGCGCCGCTAATATTGGCTCTCTGGAGGGTGACCTACGGAGCTCTAATTGGGGGCCAGAAAACGACATTATCGATAGATGGGAATTAAACAATTACAGTCAATAATTCCCAATATTGATTTCCTATCAGTATCAAGTTTTATTACCCCTCCTGTAGCTGTGTGTTGTGGATAATCGCTGTATGACATAGCATGGCATGGCCATCTGACATTCTGACTCGGGTGGAGAGCACTGACTAGCCAGGTTGACTCAATACATGACTACGTGCGTCGCGTCGGTAAATGTTAGCTCGGACCGAGATCAGATTTTCCGTCAAACTGCATCGAACATATAGATTATGACCTCTTGAACCACCCGTGGAAACAACCAAAAGTAACATAACCGGTCTTGAAACTCGGTTGCAGCATCGGTCTTCAGGTACCCAGCCGTACAGTTTTCCATCCTGACAATCCCACATTCTATCTCCAAAATGGAAGCCTCACCAATAACAGTGGCTGTTGTTCACACTCCATACTGGAATCTATCAGATGTCGCTTTCCTCAGAGAAGGACCGCACAACGTGTTGATGCCTGCACTCCTTTACCTCCGAGCCACAGACATCGAAACGGCATATTCAACGCCTCGTCCGTCGCAACACTCCCACGAACGCAAGAGAAAACGACCTCGCCGAAATGATGGCGAGTCATCAGTTCGGTTGATTCATCAGTTCTCGCCAAAGTCAGACGAAGAGCATTCTAAGTCATCTCCGTGCTCAGTCGACTCCAGTGACTCGACCGGCGACCATGATAGAGATCCTGCGAACATTCTTCATAAGTTGAATGCGACGGAGCATGAACGCTTACTACTACATGAACTCGAAGATGAGATACGTCAAGACGGATATTACAGCTTGGCTCAGTCAACACCAAGCTTTGCACCAGTATCCAAGAGAATCAGACATGAGCTCGATGCCTTGAGGGCGAGGGAACAGAAGTCGCCAGAAGAGGAAAAGGACGAATATGAGCGGTGGGTGATGGGCTCATGGGATAATTTGTTCTCAAGAGCATCTGTCTATCCAGAGTAAAATGCGGAAGAAACATGTGCAGTTTCTGCGTTTTGTATTTGCATTCATGTCCCATAGCGTAAGTCGTACTTTAGTATCGCCCGAAACGTAGCTGATGTGAAAGATAGTTGTTCAAAACAGACCAAACAGGACGCGCGGATCGTCAGTCGCAGTCTAAGGCGCTCTTCTCAGGTTGGCCAGCATAATTGCTAAAGAGGTGCAGAAGGAACACAAAGGTTGGGTTTTCCACCACCACGATGGAAAGAAATGCTAGGTCAACTTTGCCGAACCCGCAGGTTCTAGTCCTGAAGAAGAGCAGATTCCGTCTCGTCCATAACGTCCCGGATGACCACTTCAACTGCTTACGGTTGGTGAAGGATGGGCTAAGGAATGGTTATTCCGAACCTTGTGAGAAGTGAAATGATACGCCAGTATTCGTGCCCCTGGCATGATGCTTATGGAGGGGGGGTCCTGGGTTGCAATGCATGTCGCAGAGTCTTGCGAATAAAAGAGAAAGCCGGGGAGAAGTTCACTCGGGCAGTTGTCATCAAGGATGGCCGAATGCTGGGACACGGATAGATTATAAAAGTATTTACCGGACTGTTAGTTAGGTTGTTGCTAAGCCTTTATGAACAGCGACTCTTTGACCCATATCATAACATACCCTTCTCTTTATCAGTTTGTGTTATCATTCTTTCTTTCTTAATTTTGGTTTTGGTTTACTTCTATCTCGAAAACAGAACAAGCCTCACAAGTAGTCAGTGAGTTCTAGTTAGAACGAACAAGTACGTGTATGCAGTCTCGGCCCGGGCTGTTACAATGAGCGATAATTATGTTTGTCCGTACCGCGAGTGCCTTTATCATCCAGCGTCGAGCCATGAACAAGCACATACGACCATACCTATCAGAGAACTCGGGATCCCGTCCGCCGTCCGCTCTCCCATAGATAAGCTGGTAAGGGGCGGATTAGTAGTTGGGTCGGTGACGACCAGCGAATCCCCGCTGTTGTATGTTTTTTGGTGGATGATCTGCTTCCTTTTTGCCCATCGTCCCGTCTGATCCTGTGTTGCGGTCCTCGATACTCTCGTGATGCTGAACGGTGCTAGTGCAAGCTGCATGTATTAAACCCACTCGGCTGCTCCTCGGAGCTACAACGTGAGCAAGAGGAAGAAAGAGAGTGCAAATTTTCAAGGCCGATGCCGCAAGATGACGGATATCCCGTCGGGGATTGAGAGAACGATGTGACATGCCGGCTAAAGGTCGGGGGACGGGCAGCGATCGAACTCTGTCACTAACTCAATCAAGGTCACATTACCGGCGAAGGCACAATTCTGGGGTAAATGCAGCCAAGCTTAACCCCAAACCAGAAAGGCGGAGGTGGAGAAAACTGGGGAGATGGTCTGTCTAACTCACAAACCCTTGTCACTCAAAAGTCGGGGAAGCCAATGTCAGGCGACGACATAGACCCCACAGTCCCAGTGACTCGTTAAAAGGCCCGAATATCCTCGACGGTTTTCTGTAATGGTAACGCTATTGCCGAGTTTCCTGCCCATTTGAAAGCATTGCGTAAAGGCTAGAGACCAAGATCCATTATTCAGAATCACCATGTTATTTGCTAAGTTCCCCGATGGTGTTGGGACGAGTGATCAGAGGAGCCGATGCGTTTTGCCGACGGGCGGGGGACTGATGGTTGAGTCGTGCAGTTTCTGTATGCTGTGATGTTGAAAATGGGGTATATAAGGAGCGCAGATCCTGAGCGTAAGTGCAGTATGCCCAGGCATCGGGACAAGCAATCGAGTCACAATGTTTCCTTCTACCATATCTTGTTTGGTGGCCCTGTCTCTGATGAGCCAGGGTCTATTAGCTCAGAAGCAACCAGAAAACGTCATTACTGATGATACCTACTTCTACGGTCAATCGCCACCGGTTTATCCTACACGTGAGAACTCTTTCTGCAATTCAATGAGCCATACTGATCTCTCAACAAGCGGAACAGGTAGACACCGGATCATGGGCCGCGGCCGTAGCCAAGGCCAAGAACTTGGTGTCCCAATTGACTCTCGAAGAGAAAGTGAACTTGACAACAGGAGGTCAGACAACCACCGGGTGCTCTGGCTTCATCCCAGGTATTCCCCGTGTAGGCTTTCCGGGGCTGTGTTTAGCAGACGCTGGCAACGGTGTCCGCAACACAGATTATGTGAGCTCCTTTCCTTCAGGAATCCATGTCGGCGCAAGCTGGAACCCGGAGTTGACCTACAGTCGGAGCTACTACATGGGTGCCGAGGCCAAAGCCAAGGGTGTCAACATCCTTCTTGGTCCAGTATTTGGACCTTTGGGCCGAGTTGTTGAGGGAGGTCGCAACTGGGAGGGCTTCTCCAATGATCCCTACCTGGCGGGCAAGTTGGGGCATGAGGCTGTCGCTGGTATCCAGGACGCCGGAGTCGTTGCGTGCGGGAAGCACTTCCTTGCTCAAGAGCAGGAGACTCACAGACTTGCGGCGGCCGTCACTGGGGCTGATGCAATCTCATCGAATCTCGATGACAAGACAATCCATGAATTATATCTCTGGTAAGCACATGGTGCCTTGGCCTTATTGATGAAACTTACTAATACCCGAACAGGCCTTTCGCTGATGCAGTCCACGCCGGACTCGCCAGTGTGATGTGCAGCTACAACAGAGCAAACAACTCACACGCCTGCCAAAACTCCAAGCTTCTTAATGGCCTCCTCAAGGGTGAATTAGGATTCCAGGGATTTGTTGTCTCGGACTGGGGCGCTCAGCAGTCTGGTATGGCTTCAGCGTTGGCTGGCTTGGATGTTGTGATGCCCAGCTCGATATTGTGGGGTGCCAACCTTACCCTTGGTGTGAACAATGGAACTGTTCCCGAGTCACAGGTTGACAATATGGTAACGCGGTACGCTTAATCTCAGCCTCGTCTCTCTCGATTCTCTTTTCGCTGACAATCGTCTAGACTTCTTGCAACTTGGTATCAGTTGAACCAGGACCAAGATACTGAAGCCCCCGGCCACGGACTCGCTGCTAAGCTTTGGGAGCCTCACCCAGTAGTCGACGCTCGCAACGCAAGTTCCAAGCCTACTATTTGGGATGGTGCTGTTGAAGGCCATGTTCTTGTCAAGAACACCAACAATGCACTGCCATTCAAGCCGAATATGAAACTCGTCTCTTTGTTCGGATACTCCCACAAAGCTCCTGACAAGAACACCCCGGAGCCCGCCCAAGCCATGTTCTCCCCCTGGTCCGTCGGTGTCCAATCTGCCAACCTCACTGAGCTGAATACCGGCTTTCTCGGAAACCTGAGCCTCCATTACTCCGCCATTGCGCCCAACGGAACACTTATTTCTGGTGGAGGCTCGGGTGCTAATGGATGGAGTGCGATCAGCTCACCTTTCGATGCTTTCGTTACACGCGCAAGGAAGGAGGGTACTGCTCTATTCTGGGATTTCGAAAGCTGGGATCCTAGCGTCAATCCTACTTCTGAAGCTTGCATCGTCGCTGGTAACGCATGGGCAAGCGAAGGCTGGGACAGACCCGCTATTTATGACGCCTATACTGATGAGCTTATCAACAACGTCGCTGACAAGTGTGCCAACACTATTGTTGTTCTTCACAACGCTGGAACACGCCTTGTGGATGGCTTCTTTGGTCACCCCAACGTCACAGCGATCATCTACGCACATCTTCCGGGCGAGGACAGTGGAGACGCTCTTGTCTCATTGCTCTATGGCGATGAGAATCCATCGGGCCGTCTCCCGTACACTGTTGCCCGCAACGAGACTGACTATGGTCACTTGTTGAAGCCAGACTTGACTCTCGCCCCCAACCAGTTCCAACACTTCCCCCAGTCCGACTTCTCTGAGGGTATTTTTATTGATTATCGGCACTTCGACGCCAGGAACATCACTCCCCGTTTCGAGTTTGGTTTCGGCCTGAGCTACACAACCTTTGAGTATGCTAATCTCCAAGTCTCAAAGTCCCAGGCCCAGACCCAGGAATACCCAGCTGGTGTTCTTACCGAGGGAGGTCGTTCAGATCTGTGGGATGTCGTTGCTACTGTGGCAGCAAACGTCAGTAACACTGGGTCTGTTAACGGCAAGGAGGTTGCACAGCTGTACGTTGGTGTTCCTGGTGGTCCTGTGAGACAGCTACGTGGCTTCACGAAGCCAGCAATCAATGCTGGAGAGACGGCCACCGTGACCTTTGACCTTACACGCCGGGACTTGAGTGTTTGGGATGTTATTGCGCAGGAGTGGCAACTTCAGCAGGGAAGCTATGCTATTTACGTCGGCAGAAGCAGTCGAGATCTACCTCTACAAGGTACTCTGAGCATCTAGTTATGATTCGAGTGGATGGCTCAGTATAGTTAGTTGAATCTATGTCTCTAATACTGGATATGATTGATTTCATGATTAAGTGACCATATCTGCCTTATCTTAGGATAAGTATTTACTGCAATACTTATTCCAAGGCGGTGGAGTATCGTAGCCTGTTCTCTCATTTGTGTATAACATATGATATTTTTGAAGGCCAGATAATTTACCTGACTATCGGTTTATGGGAAAGCACATTCTATAAGAGGGGGCTCATGAGGTTCAGCATCGGTGCAACGTCAATTCACTTTCTAATGCTAGTACCCGACAGACAACAGTGTAGTTCCTCGCAGTCCATTGCTGCCTCAATCAATCTTCCTCCTCTTCCTCTTCCTATCTTCGTCGTCTTTCTTATCTTCTTCGTCTTCTTCGGCTTCGTTGTCTTCATCGCCTTCCTCTTCCAGCTCCTCCCGAAGCTCCTGAAGTTCAGCCTCAGCCTTCTCAGCTCGAGCCAAGTATAGCTTAGCCTTCTTCTCAGCCGCGTTCTTCTCCTTTCTGACCTCCGCCAACGCCCTCTGAAGGCCTTTAGTAACTACCTGAGAAGAATGAACCTGGTGTCTATCACCATAGCCCCCAGGAAAAATCGGCGGAATGGTTGTTGATTCCCCGGCGATGAAAGCATCAACCACCTCGTCCATGGCGGTTTTTATCTCCTTGGCCTTGGGACGGAAGTTGTTAAGGATAAAAGAAAGGGATTTTGGCTTCAGCTCCCACTGCTCGGGGTACTCTTCTTCGCCCTCAGCACAGTATTTAAGCTTGTAGTCTGGAGCGAGAATCGTGGCGAGGTCCATGTCAGTTGGTGTGATCTTGTCTGCATACTTCAGAGGGCCTTCCGAACTAATGTGCTTTGCATAAAAGCGGCGGAGCTGACGCGCTCGGAGGAAAGTGTTCTCTTCGGCTGTTGCCCAAGCCATGATGGATGTTTGATAGTAGGATTAGTATTTGTTATGTTGAAGATGGTGGTGTAGGTTCGAATGAAGCTGTTGATTTCTGGATGGAAAGCAAGCCCAGATACTAAGGAGGAAGAAAGGTATAAATATTTATATACTATCCGATTACATGTCTAAGGCCCGATTAAGCCAAAAGGTCATCAAAGCTTGCAACTGATACTCTACATGTTCGTGAGAATAGCATACATTAAGGTGGCCTTCTTCGACCAGTTCGCTCCACTGAATCCTTTGTTATGTTTCTTGGGTTCATCGAAATCATTTTATGTTCTCTCTTCAATTAATGCCTACGCTGCGAACACAGGTGAACACATAGCTCGGGTCAGAGGTTCTGCTTTGTTTATCGGGTAGGACAAAGAACAGCTCGTACAGAACTTGGAGAACAACTACACTTCCAGAGTTCATGAGATACCACTGTAACAACGTTCTAGCCATTCTAGATACCTAAAGCTAAATTGACTGAATCGTGCAGTGATCAGAGTTATACATAAGAGATGTGATGAACTTGCGTAGCGAGAAGTCAGCTCCTTGTCAAGTTTTTATTTCCATTGTTACTGTAAATTGGAGTCTTATTGAGCTGCCTACAGTAATCTAGGGTTACCAATTGTTACTAGAGATCCTAAACTTGGAACAATTCATCATCATCAGTTTAGGATATGGTCGTCACAACCTCTTCTCAAGATAGACTAGAATTTGCATTGCGGTCTAAAAGGGTAACAGAGAAGTAATAGTTGCCGCAACAGGCAAAAACATACAAATGTTCACCAACCATATTTCCTCGCAGCCTACAATCTAAGAGTGGTAAGATGAACGTTGGTGTTCATTCTCATTTTTCCAGTCTGCAATAACAAGAGGCCTTGACGACAACATCAGTACCTGCTAGCGCTTTTTGCAGATGGCCTTCAATCTCCTTCGCCTCTATGTCTCTCTCCAATCTTGTGAAACCTTCGTGAAGACCGTGCAGTGCCCATACGTTATTAGGGTGCCTCAAAGCTCGAGGGAGTGTATCGTTGAGTCCCAAGTCTGTCTTGTAAATCTCAACTGCCTCCTCGAGGTATCCCTGCTCCATCAGCAACGCACCATATGCATGACGGGTAGGCTGCATCCACCCCCACGGTTCGTCATATGGAAGATTGTCCTCGCGACAGATAGCCTCGCGAAGGTGCTCAAAGGCGACATCATAATTCTTTCTCCGGTATTCCAGTTCCCCATCGAGCATCGCTTCACCCACTCGGAGGATATCCAGACAGGTGTTGTTGAAAAGAGTGCGTGACGTTGGAACTCTCTTTAAGGACTCGTGGAATAGTCCTTTGTGGTGTTCCGACTCTGACACTCTGCCAGTAGCAGCAAAAGCTACACTCTTCGCATACAAGGCGATCGACGTGGTCATGCAGTATAAGTCCTGGTCTTCTGGTAGCTCCATATCAATCAGATCCTGCCACTTTCCAAACCTGACCAAGATGTGAGCACGAAGACTCAGAAACGCTTCCAGCCAGTCAGCCATAGGCGGAGACTGGATTTGAAGAAGGTCCTTTGGGATAGTAGACTCCAGCTGACTCGCAGTGTCAATGCAAACTTTGTACTGCCCCGCGAGCATAGCGGCATAAACCCGAAAATGAAGATCGTGGCATCGGTACAGAGAATAAAAGTTCAGAGGGCCAGCTTTGGATAGGTACTTATCATCAGCTTTGATCGCCTCGGAGTTGGAGTCAATGGCTGCTTGGTAGTGTCCACAGAGCACGTCCAAGTGAGTTGGCATGTGGTGTAGATGTCCTCCGTCAGGTACGAGCCCACGAAGGTGGTTGGCCGTTGGAAGAGCATCTTCTGGCCTAGGAGACATTTCCATCAAATGGATATACAAGTGGAGTAAGCCGGGATGCTCCAGAGAACCATTGAGCTTCAGGCCATTATCGATTATCGATTTGATCTTCAATGTGTGAGCTCCAGGGGTAGGTTCTCCTGTCTTTAGATCCCAGAGATTCCACGGATTCAAGTTCATCAAAGCGTCTGCATATAACGTAATGACATCCAAGTCGTGTGGAAAGTCTCTATGCACCACTTCCATTGCATGAGCAAACCCTTGGTTCCATGAAGAACAATTCGAAGGTCTCTCTTGTGGATAACGGTGCTGAAGTGCTTTGATAAGAGCTTGTTCCACGGGAGTGCAGGCCAACATCTTATCCATGGCTGTACGGGCGGCATTGTGGCCGCGCGCAACTGCATCGGCCAGGTCCTTATCATCAAAGAACGACCAGGGCTTGTTGTAGTTTGGCCCCAGGCTATATGCCAAACCCCAGTAGGCCATTGCGCAGTTGGGATCGGAATTGGCGGCCCGCTCGAAGCAAAAGACGGATTCCTCATGATTAAATGCATACGCCCAAATGAGTCCACGATCGAACCAGGCTTGGCTTTCGGGGGAGGTAGTCGAGACAGTGCGCTTGTACAAGCCAAGCTCGAAAGGGTATACGGATGACATTGCAAATCGTGATGACGTTTCAGGTACACAGTGCCAGGATTAGAGGGATGAGCAATGTCAAAAGTTGCCCTGCTTTTCAAACATGAGTTATTTTTCCTCTGTTAAGTACGTGTCCCCCTCCTCAAGTCATGGGACCAATCACGCGCTTCGACTTCAGCCATTTAAGGTTCCAGATTTTAAGACAGTATAGGGTAGTGCAGAATATCTGGGTGACATGACTTTGTCTCTGTGAGCAGAGCACAACTTTCATTTCCTCTCACTGAAAGATTCTTAATTACATGTGAACAGGGGGAATATCACGATATGTTACATGCCATCTTAGTGATTCGCTTCAGCGTAAAATGGCTGAAATGAATTAGTGACTAAGATGGTAAACCCGAAATAAATCATGCGCTGACCAACATGTTGCTATTCGTACTCACTGCAGGCTACGCTTATCATCTAGAATAACTACTGACTCCCTGCACTCCCCTAACTTTACAGCATGGAAGCAAACTCCATATACTCCTTAGGGGTGATGTGATCATGGTCGTCCCGATCTGTAGCATAACTGACATCCTTCCACTCGTTCAGCACCTTGAGTTGCTCCTCGCACTTCTGCTCTCCGCAATCGAACGCATCAGACCCAATAGCAATACTGACCGCCCATGGCTTTCCAGCCGCTATCCCCTCACCCTTCATGATATCCACCATAGCCTTTGCGACTTTGTCCAGTTCGCCGGTCCTCTGAGCAAACGCCTTGGCAAACATGAGTCCAAGTTCCCCCATGAGCTTATTATAATCTGCAATGGCAGGTCCTTGGATTGCAAACTCCGGTCCATCTTCGTCCCTGGGATGGCCAAGTTTGGTAGGGAAGTTACCGCACATGAATCCGACGCAAGAAATGCCAAAAGGCCGGACCTCCTTGTGGAGGCTCTCGATATAAGTGCTAAGGGCTGCCTTGGATGCTGCGTAGTGGGACATGAAAGGCAGAGGACCCCACGAGCTGGCGGACGAGGTGAAGCCGATGCGACCATGGCCTTGAGCACGGAATCGCGGGAGGATAGCGCGAGTAACGTTCATGTGCCCAAAGAGATTAACTTGGAAGAGGTTTTGGACGTATAAATCACTATCATTTCTCATCAGCTCGCTTCCTCATCGAAGGTTCATAGGGTACTTACTCAGCTTCTTCTGCGCACTTCAGGGCAGAAGCACCAGCATTATTCAACAGAATGTCGATGTGTCCAAAAATGGACCATACCTCGTTAATGCTGGCCTGTACCACGGCCCATGGGGCAGTTATGTCTAGTTCCAAGATGGCTACATTGTCTGACTTGAGGTGGCCGAGTTTCTGGTTTGCTTTGCGGCCGGAGGCAATGACTTTGTCGCCGCGGGCAACGATCTCATTAACCAATGCAGCGCCAATACCAGATGTGGTACCGGTGACGAGCCAGACAAGAGGAGCCATGATAGACTAGTTATGTTTTGAAGGGGGTATGAGAATTGGAGATGTGACAATGGAGTGATTGTGTAAGTATGCTGTTGAGGGTGAGTCAAAGGCGGGAAGCCTTCTATGTTCTTATAATTTTAATTTCTCCATGATCAGGCTTTAGCTGGACAGCAAAAATCCGAATTAAGCCATATCTTTCACATCTTCAACCTATCTACGGACGGAGATACGATCCAAGACGGCTTATGTCACGTGATGCGGACCAAACTCGTCCGTCTCATCGTCCGCCTCACCACGAACTGTCTCGCTAGCCCATTATCGCTTACACATCGTTTCACTCCATTCGACAGCCCTAACCAACTGGAGCGAAAAGGATTTCGGCCGAGCAAGACTCTACTCACGTGAATCTACCTAGTCTGCCCGGTATACCATGTCCGCCGCAGCCCCAAGGGTGATGTCCCAGTCCGTCGCGGCTAGACGGAAGATGAGAAAGGGGACGCATAGTTGTACTGAATGTGAGTCACTGTACCCATTTGGATGAACTCGGACATCGCGCTTGAAGTTAGATATTACGAGTATCGTGTATCTTGACAGAATGTATCCACCTTGTTGTTTCTATCTGTTGCAAGACAATGGTCAATCGTTGAATAAGTAGGTTGTGTAATTCCAGGCTGACCATTACTTTAGGTCGAAGGAGAAAGATAAAATGCAAGTTCCAACCTGGAACTGCATCTCCTTGTATCCCATGTGCTGCCCGCGGTTCTCCTTGTCTCGATCAGCGTGATGTGACTCCAGTGAACAACAGCAATACTAATACCGAAAGTATAAGCTTGCGAGATAGAGTCGCTGTTCTCGAAACTATGGTGAGACATCACGGTCTGACGCGTGAGCCGGCCGTAAACCATGAAGGGGGTGATCTTGAAGAAGAGCCGGCTGAGGCAGATGAAAGGGCGCCTTTTGTGTCTATGCTTAACAAAGCCGAGGTAAAGGAGGTGATGATCGTTTATGACGGTTTGCTGATCATTTTCAAGGGATCCATGGAAAGTCATTCTCAAATAACCCGGCCTTCTCACCAAATTCCATCTCGCAAAAGTCCACCATTTTACACGCAAAGCTCAAGTGACGCGTGCTTAAAACTTCGCTCGGTTCTACCAGAGTATGACATTCTAACATCTACTCTATCAAAGAATGGAGCCTGGTGGAGTAGTTTCCGTCAGAAGGTGCAGGTCATTTGCCAGGGATCTTATGAAGACCTGGCCGCCTTTGCTACGCGCGCCTACACGAGCAATGACCCTGCCGAACTTGGCATGCTTGTTGTCGCATATGCACGTAGCACGGGGCATCACCATGACCTATACGGGCTCGTTGATAAACTGTCCATCCCCGATTCTGAGCACTCTTACTCTGCGGAGGCAATGGAACTTCTTCTGTTATTGGCTAAAGCCTACAGTGATATTGGACAACCTCGGCAGTCTTGGATGATGTATAGGAAAGGTCTCGCTATTTCCGAAGTCATGGTAATCCTATCCTAAGCATAGTCAGATTTCATGATCCTAACAACGTCGCAGGGCCTGTATAGACGGGAAATGGTTTCTCCTCATCTGAAGAGCATCTGGTGGGCCTTCTATCACGGGGATCGCTTTTCGAGTCTTCTTCTTGGCCTTCCATATGGATTCAACGACGCTCATCTTAGTCCAACCGTCGAGCCATACAACATGCCAGTGTACCCAGAGCAGCGTTTCGTTCTGCGCTGTGCCTCCATTGCAGGAAAGATCATTGACCGGAATATGATACCTGGGAAGCCATTTTCTGCAAGTTCAATGCTTCTTGACGAGCAAATGGATACAATCGCTTCTTCTATGGACCTGAGCTGGTGGGATCTACCTGAGTCACTTCCCAACTCCCATGCCGAGACAGATGAGCTGAGAAACGTTTTACTGTTGCATTTCTACTTCTTCCATGTCAGAATCAATCTTCATCTGCCATTTATTGTCGGAACAGAGTCGAAATCTCCTCGAAGCTCTCACAGACTGGCATGTTTGGAAGCTTCTCGACAACTGCTTAAACGATTTACCATTTTGCGTACTCAAATTGAGGGTTTCAGTATCTTTGACTGTAAAACAAGCGACTTTGTCGGGTTTATGGCTTGCGTAATTCTAATTCTATGTCTGTCGCAACCACAGTCTGACGAGATTATCATTCCGCTTTCAGACGAGGATCAGAAGCTTGTTACACAAGTTAAAGGCATCTTTGAGAGAGGAGAGAAAGCGGGATGTAAGATTGCTTGTCAATGTCGAAGGATGCTTGACATACTATCGGGCGTTACCCACGACAGTGACGATGGCTCATCGAGCAAACTGCCAGATAGAATTGCAATCCCCCACTTCGGATACATCCGGCGGGATGTAGTACAACAGGCTGGGTTGCAAGCCACAGTAAGGGCCTCAATGGCAGGTTCCACCGAGCAAAGTATGACAGCAGCCCTAGCCATCTCAAGGGATGGTCTGGCTGGGCTAGAAACTGAACCTGGAAGTAGCAATTGGCCAGTGCCTGTGGATACGGAAATGTGTTGGGAGTTTGGTGGACTCGAGCATTTCCAGATTGATGATGATCTTTCATCGTGGCTTGATACTGCGATGTTGGACGTGAACCTAGAGTGGAACATGCCGTCAGGTGGATTCGTGCATGACACCCCGTTTCTATAGGGGGCATGGTAGGGGAAGACAGAAAATCCAGGACCTTAATTCTAAGTGATAGATTAGGATGTTTTTACTAACTCTAGCATATATTTTGCAATGTTTATCTTTGATACCCTATACTCAGGTCTGAGTTTCCTTATTCCCCACGGCCGTGTGTTGCCTTGTGGCGTATAATAAAGTACTATGCACAGGTGTTATAAATGTGCATTTGTGCATAACTCTAAGTCAATGGAAAATTCCGCTCGGGGATGAAAATGAAGCAAATGTTTCATCTCAGTGGGACGCCATGGAAACAAGGAAATGTTGTTTTTGTCGCCTCAGGCCACAAACTTGACTAACCGTACCCACGGTCACGGTCTCTAGCTCACTTCTTCATCTCGTCCTCTTCACTTGCATCTTCATTATCGATCAATCTAACTAAATTCAATCAAAAATGGCCGACGGGGAAACCTATTGTGCTATCTGTGGTGTACCAGCACACAAGATCAGGATCAGGAATTATGATGATAGCCGTATATCACGAAGGAGTGCAGAGAGTCAGATGAACGTCAGTCTCATGGGCCGACCAGACAAGAAAGCTGCAAAACCACGGTAAGAGTCAGATCAACACAAAACTTATTATTAGGGGCCGAAGGAGTCTGACCTGCTATGTAGCCCTGTTATACTCGCCACGCCTGTAAGGTATCTGGGTCATAATCGGTATGAGCTTCCATCACCCGATCATCCTTTTGCCACGGAATACAGTTTCGGCGAAGTTCCAACGTAAGTAATACACTACAATACAAGATGATAGAAGATTTGATACTGATTCAATTGGTTAGATACGACTGGACTGAGGAGCACGATGTTTTGATTCCGTTTCACCTTCACTGCTTCGACCTTGCCAAGCAAGTCGCAAGTCCTCATGATATCGATGCTTCTATCATATACGAGACTTTCCGATCCCATTGCGACAAACCCTATACTTTTGGTCTTCAACTTGACTATGGAGGTGCAAAAGACTGTCGATTGGTGGAGTGGAGGGAAATAAAAGGTACAGAGTATCTGCTCGCTTCTCCGACTGAAATCCCCCATGCCACAGACTTCATTAAGAGCATCCTGGCCGAGTCACAGCTCCAAGAGCCTCAGGCTGCAGTTACTCGACATGATAGAGATGACAAAGACACACTCGACAAGCTCCCAGGCGAACTTCTGTCCGGCATTATTCAGTGTCTCGACCTCAAGAGTCTCTGCGCCGTGCGTCTTGCGTCGAGAAGTGCAGCGAGAGAAACATCTTCAAACGCCTTTTGGAAGAACAAAATCTCTTCCGATATGCCCTGGGTTGTCGGTCTGTTCCCTGGGAGAGACGTCATGGATAATCTACAGATTGATTGGCTCAAGGTCTACAAAGCGCTGCGAGCAATCAGCAAAGGCGAAGACCAACGACAGCCTTTCACTACAGGTGGTATACGAAATCGGGCCCGAGTCTGGGACGTCTGCACGCGATTTCTGAATGAGTATTGGCCCCGGAAAGAAGCACGAGAAGAGGAACTGGTCAACAAAACAGCGGTCCTCAAAAAGGCAGAAAATACCCCGGAACCTGTATTGAGATTCCCCAAAAGTAACGGCCTCATGTCGTCCAAGGCGAGTCTTATAGAGACCTTTGACGATATGCTAAGCGCTGAGCCTGTCATCGAGGTGCTCTGGTCAGCTGGCGGTGAGCTTGCTGGTATTTCTTGTAGCACTACGGCTGGAGGAAGAGCGAGAACGGCCGGATCAAAGAGTCTCTATGCTACGAGCGACAAAGTGCACATCCCTAAGGACGACTGGATCACTGAGCTGGTCATCACCAGTCAAGATGCTCTGGATGGAAGTAGTGAGCTTAACAATCTTGACGAAGAGGAGCTCGACACCATCATACGCAAGGTGGTTGGTCTGGAATTTATCTTTTCCAAGCGCGATCCAGTACAGGTTGGCGAGTCCAAGGGCGATAAGCTCCTCCTCCTCCCAGAATCTGACAGCTTTATCGTCGGGTTTCAAGCTGGGCGGGCTGCAGGGGAGCCCATTTCCGACCTGTCCTTGTTATACCACCCTCTCACCAAAGCACCGAAAGAAAGTCGTTCGCGAGTCCATCCCCGAGAGTACCTGGATGAATTTGGAGTTCAATTGAACGATCCCGAGACTACCACTTATCTGTGGAAGAATGAACTGCCACCAAGAGAACTTCACATCATTCCTGCTCGATGCGGTATTATGCCCCCTGATCCAGACGATGATAATCTCTGCGAATCTCTTATCTTTGGTACTACAGATGATGACTTGAGCAAGATTACCTCCATCGGCGTGGATGCTCAACTCCGAGGGTTTGAAGTATGCCTTAGCAATGGAGAATCTCGCACCATCGGAAAGACAAACGCGATGCAATACTTTCCCATTGATGGCCAAGGCGGCGAAAGGATTCTGTATGTCAACTCGGAGATATCCTTCTACCCAACCGGAGTACAATTCGTCACCACCAAAGGTCGCCACTTCATCGTCGGACAACCTGATCCACATGCCAAGATCAGGTTTCCCGAAGCAGGACGGCTTAATGACCGCGATGCTCTGATGGGTATCTACTGCCATTGGCGGCACCGGCATACGCCACAGACCGGGCTTGATATGATCGGAGCGTTTGTTAGCAAATCTGGTCTTGGTCCCTCCGTACGACCCCAGCTGGCGATGGATGTGGACGAGCACTATTGGGCACCTGAACTTCCGCCGAAAGGAATGAAGAAAATTGGTAGGGTCTATGGAGAACGGGGTTTTGATTCCATAAAAGACAGCAGAATTCGCCCTCAAGTGCCGAGCAGAAATGCTGTCGTTTCATGGTTCGACTGCAGCAGGCCTATTGCATCGATTAAGGTTGGCCTTTGTCACGGGACAGAGAAATTTCAGATTCCGTTGGTAGCAATGACTTTTACATATGCAGACGATAAGACCACCATGTCCATCGGCCCAACAAAGTTCTCCCCTCCGAAGGACAAACTGGGTAGGGCTGGTCACTACTGGTGTGGGTGCGCAGAGGGGAGTCATCGAGATGAAGAACTGCAGCAGCAGCCGCACTATACCGAAGATGAATGGGATGCGCAAGGGTCGTATCTTGAGTCTGCTCAGGTATGGGTTGGTGACCACGGAGTTTTGACGGGACTGCAGTTTATTGCGCGAGATGAGAGAGAAAGTCCAGCCTGGGGATATTGTATAAGTGAGAAGCCCGTAACTGATCCTCACATCAACGTCAGGCGCCTCACAAAACCTGTTAAATTGCCGCTTAAGACGTCGGAGGAGAATCGTGGGGCGGGGCTCAAGGTATTTGTTGATAGGATGGATCGAGATGTTCCGCGGGATGATCATGTGGTGGTCGGCATTCAGCTATTTGAGTTTAGCAAAGATTAATCGAATAAAAAATTACAACTGTGGTCACTGAATAAGATATCTGTCACTGCCAACAAGACCTGTGAATAGATGGTAAAAGGATATTGTATCTAGCTCTTTCGTTGTCCAAGTCTCTCGATCTTTTGGTCCACCCAAATAGGATACTTGTTAAGACTCTCATACCACTGTATCACACTACCAATCTGCAATTCCATGTCAGTGAATGCTATCCACAAAGCACCGTTGTACTCACCAGAAACGCCCATGAACCTATAAATGTCGAGAGCGTTAGTGCATACTCAACACCTGAATGCGTGATACCAAAGCCCAGTGCACCACAAAGAGTAAAGCCAATAGCGCCTATCAAGTTCCATAGTCCGATATGCCATCCCAGGACCCCAGGCGCTGGAATGTACCATCGAGGTTGAACTTCAACCATGAACAGGATGCTTGAGACGATGAAGCCCGTGCCGCCAATGACTTGAGGAAGCCAGTAGACGCCGTTCTCAGCTGGTGTAGAGAGGTTATTGAGTATAGGCGGTAATGCTGTGAATCCTGATATCCAGAATACCGTGGCGCCAAACGTTTGTGAAGAACAGGCCAAGAAGCCAATGTCGAAGAAATAATGAGTTCTGAGTTCATACCACGTCGGCCACCAAGACCACATCCGATCATTTCCCGCTGATTCCGGGGTGCTGTTATCTAGTGCCTTGGAGCTTTGCTTGACAAAAGTCCTCTTTTGCGCGTGTGCATGCTTGCAGTTATGCGCGTGAGTGAGATGAAGCATCCCATCTACACTCTCTTCAACAGCCCAACCAAAACAGTCCGATCGGTTTTCATTTACGGCTTCAAGCATGAGTAGGAATGAGCCAAACTCAAAGACGGTGGCACCGATGAAAGCTGTCAATCCGCCGGCCCAGTCAGAGACCTTGGTTGAGGGATTGAGGACGGGGAGCCATGAGTAAAAGCCATTGATGACCCAGATGATGGAACCTTGACTGTTAGCTGTAATGACTTTGATATCAGGAGGTCTCGAGTACCAATTGTGAAGACGAGGGCGACGTCGTAGGATACATCCCAGACTGGGTATCTGACAAACATCTTCAAGATACCGCGGAGAGTCTGGTGATACGAATTCGATAGCCTCGGCCCTTTCGTTGCTTCATGCTTGTGAGGATCAACACTGACGGCCAGCGCATGCCGTCCTTTTCTGTTATCACGACTCCTCCAGACATAAGCAACCCCGGGACTCTCAGCGCCCGGTCGCGATTCCTTTCCAGCATTTCCGGCGTCAGACTCTGCATTGAGCGCCTTCTTGTCGGCGACTAGATATCGCTTCGTTGGATTAAGCGCCTTGACTGGGCCGGTCGTGCGCTCAGCGTGGTAATGCCGACCGTGGAAATGGTCGCGAGCTCGTGGCATTGTTACGGTGGAGATGGGATGGGCTGTTGACCCGGAATAAACAAGAAAAGGGCGCTGTGTCGTTTTTAAAGTTGGCAATTGATTGGATGACGTGGATGTGTATCAAATCGGATTAGCGCGTCACAGCGCGACGCTATACGATATGAACACTGATGATTGATTGCTAAGAACTAGCGAGGTATTGATGATGCTATGTCTGCATTCTAATAAATCTTGGTAGATACAATTGATTTCACGATCAAGATAACATTGACAAGTAAGTTTCGATACTGATATATCCGGTGGCTTTGCCTTCGAGTCGGTTAGCGAACAGAATTACATGCTAGCTCACGGCGCTTGTCTCAGAACCAACAGTTTCTACAAAGGTGAATCAGCTTCTCAACCTTGGCGAAACAACAACTTCCTAGCGGTCCCAGAAGAAAAAGCCTCAATCCCATCCTTGTCAAGAATCCCTTCCCTTCGGATCATCTCTAAATACTCCTTTCCAACCTTATTATCACTGAAAGGATAATCAACACTAAACATGACTTGACTCAGAGGCATGTTTCCCAACAGGCACCGTAAAGAGTGCACGTCAAACATTCCTGAAGTCGTGATCCAGATATTGTTATGCATCACCTCCGCAAACCCACGTTTCATGCCGAAGAATACAGTGGCCTTGTTGATACGGTCAAACATATATGGTATGAGCTCTCCAGAATGTCCAATGATAATTTTGAGCTTCGGATGGCGGTCGAAAGTGTTACTAGCCATGAGGCGAAGAATGGTGTTCGCAGTGCTGGCATGCCACCCAAAAGCAAAGGCGCCGAGTGCAGTTGCTGAGTTGCTGTCTGACTGCAGATTGCCGCCTGAGTACAAAGCTTCTTTTTCTTTTTGACTTGGCCATGCGGGATGTATATAAATCGGCACGTGGAGTTCCACAGATTTTGCCCAGAGGATATCGTACTCACGGCCATCATAGAAGTTGCCGTTGGAATGGTTATCAACGAGCGCACCGACGAAGCCATGCTCTTTGATACATCTTTCCAGCTCATGAGTTGCTGCCACGGGATCACCCATCGGGAGACACGCAAAGCCAGCGAAGCGAGACTTGTTCGCTCGGACAGCTGCAGCAAGCTCATCGTTACAAGCTATTATGGTTTCGGCTGTGACAAAGTTTGTGGGAGTGTGAGACAGGACTTGGATCGCTACATTGTTCTCGTCCATGTTCTTGATTCGTTCATCATCGAGGTCGACGAGCTTATTGATGATACTGTCCGGAAATCCATGGATCGGGTCGTCTGTTGCTTCCGTTGACGAGTGTGCCGCCGGAGAGAGAAAGTGTTCCTCAAGTGTAATACTCATTGTAGTGACGAATTGTTTGCTGACGTGTTGAAGGTCAAGAAGGTGAAGTCGGAATGAGAAGGCGCAAAGTCTACAAGCTCACAACTGCGAATACTGTCACAGGGAACAGAGTTAACTCGTATCATATGCCTAATATACTATGTGCGCTCTTCGGAGATCTCGGATAAAACGGTTATCGCCATACAATATGCGAACTAGCTGATGAAGTCATCTCGGTGCCGGTTCGGCAAAACAGACTATGGTAACAAATTACTCCTATATGAGACCAAATTATATGAATCTATGCACTGTATTCGATTCGACGTACACAGAACTTTTAGGAGTCCCAGGCCGCCTTCAGCCGCGTTTCGGGAGGTCCCAGTTTCGAATTAAGACCATTCTGAGAATCTTCTCTGCTCTCAACAATAGATAATCTAAACACACTAGCAATAGGGAGAAGCCACAATATTGATCCCGTTGTGCTTCTACTCTCAGCATCCGATCAATCTCTAACCATTACCATGCCGCCTTTCCAATCGTGCAGCCCTTCAACCTCAACCTTGTTCACCTCAACAAAGCCATATCTTGCATAAAGCTTCTCCAGACCAGCTAGACTAACGAGCCAAGCCGCTGAGTCCTCATCATCTACCTTCTCAAGTCCATCTTCAAGCAGCATCTTGCCAAGACCCTCTCCTTGCAGGACAGGGTCGACGCCCAGCAGAGAAAGGTAGTGCGCCTTTTGTCTCTGTGGGGTGTCGAGCACATGCGGTTCAACGTCAGAAAATGCTTGTTCAAAAGTTTCCATGTTGTTCTTGTTGAGACCTTGGACTGGGAAGAGATATTCTTGCAGGTTGATAAAGCCGTTGACAACTGAACCGATCCAGAACGCTTATACAATTAGCAGAGATCCGAAGGGTTCCAGCTATACAAACTTACAGGGAGACAAGACCTTTTGAAGAAGTGTCAGAGGCCGAGTTGGTCGCTTCCACCACGATAGGCCGACGGGATGATCATGCTTATCAACCACAACACTCAGCGAATACCCAGGCGTCCAATACCGACGCTGAAATCGTCGACAAGACCAAGTATAGAAAGACAAAGGATCCTGTCTCCTCGTGGGAAAGAAAAAGTCGATTAATGGTTCGTTGCCGAACGATGCAGCATAGATCCGTGTTGTAACTGGAACATCAAAGAAGGTTCCGGGCCGGATGCGGTATTTCGGCGCTGATTCTGAAGACTCCGACATGATGACACGATATAGCCAGCTTTTATTTCTTTGAAGTTTTTGTGACCGAAGACTGGGCTTCAGACAAAGGACAACGAGATAGACTGGTTGATATTGGGCAGCATGGAGTTGATACCTAGCTGTCTCTTTCTGAGGCCGGGGTGACTCAATTTTTCTGCCCGGGATCTACAGTCGGAACTGATCCGACTAGCCTGATAAATGGTCCACTCCACTTGCCAGATCATCATGATTTTGGTCGACGTGGTCAAAAAGACGTGTAAGCAGCCTATACCGTACTATACATGAAGACTTTCCACATGATCAGAGAAATCTAGTTGCATATTTTCCTTATCGAGGCAGGTCGTAGTAAAGCATCTCAGAGGGACCGTGGTAAGCTCAGTGTTCTAGACCGCCGCAGTCGCTTACAAATCTCCACTTGGTTTGACGGGCCTCATAAAACCCGCATGGCCAGCACACTGTTCTCTCATCACGTACGTATCATCAGAAAGTATTGACAATGCCACAAGATCTCGTTCTACCGCGCCCAGGGGCGAGTTACAAGCCTCAGCCACCTGTTGCGGGGCCGACAGAGTCCGCTTTTGTCGAAGCATTTGGAGCACTACTGCCGGCCGCTCAATTCCTTCAGACTCCCCGCGGTAAGGCTGCTTATTACGAGATCACACCTTCATCATCCAACGATGGTGTCGCCAGAATCGATAAAGTACTATTCATCCATGGTGTCCAGACTCCAGCGCTAGGGATGCTGCCCCTCGCACGCGCCCTTGAGAAATCGTTCCCGGCTGCGCATATGGTTGTGATCGACCTCTGGGGCCATGGACTGAGCGATACGCCTGTTGCTCCGCACGAATCATCACTATTTCACGAACTTATCGACAACCTATTGGATCATCTGAGCTGGCAGTCTACTCATATCGTCGGCTTTTCCTTCGGCGGAGCCACCACTGTCAGCTACGTTGCCTCCAGGCCCTCGCGCGTCAAGAGCTTCACTCTCGTCGCGCCCGCAGGTCTTCTACAACTCTCCATGTTCCCGCCCGAAGAGCAGGCCTATCTTCAAGGAGACGACTATGCTGCTGCGAAGAAATGCGTTTTGAACATTCTCGAGGGCGGAGACCTCGTTGTACCAAAGGACTGGAAACAGAGGGTCGCCAAGGGTGAAGTCGTCGCTGAGGCAGTCCGTGAGTGGCAGATGCGTGAACACCCGGGACATACAGCTTCTGTTGTTGCCATTTTCAGAGACGGAGCTGTGATGGACTCTCATGCTCAGTTTGATAAGGCGGCCAAGACAGGAATTCCATCACTCGCTGTCCTTGGAGAGCTAGATACCTTGTGTAACAAGGAGCAGCTGAACGATCTTGGATTCGAGAATGTGTTTGTTGTTCCCAAGGCTGTGCATAGTGTTGTGAGGGATCAGGCTTTGGATGTCGCGAACCTCATTGGAGATTTCTGGAGGGGACTAGAGCCGCAATGAACTGAAATAGATCTAGTAGTTCCTTGGAACAAAATGGCAGCATACACTTTATATGGCCCTTACCTTCACTAGTTGAATCCCTGACTTGATTGGACTACACAACATTGAAGCAACCCGAGAATGGAATTCGGGGAACTCATGGTTCTAGATCCCCAACGACATGCCACTTTATAGCCTCCACGCCAATAGTGCCATCTATAGTTCAACTATCGAACCAGTCACTCGGTACTGTCATGCTCATTGGCTTATATATATGACAGCATTCCAACGCAGGGCGCGATGGTTTCGAAGATGCAGTGACTTGATATCCAATTGGGCACTAAAGTACCGCCTTTCTAGGTCTCTCGTATCGCGTCAGATACATCATTAGCTGCTGAACCCAGTTATAAACTGTAACTCTCTCTTCCCCCCGCACCCTCATCCGATCTCCCCCACTATCCGTCTCTATTACTACTGAATCCCCACCAAACCAAACTTCATAATGCCTGTCACCGAGATCAAAAGCCAAGATGACTACGACAAACTCCTCAAAAAGTACAAAGTCGTCATCATCAACGCGGAGGCTTCATGGGCTGGTTCCAGCAAAGTTTTGAGCCCTATCTACAAGAGACTCTCCAACCAAATTCCCTACAACCCGGAATACTTCGTCCTCGCTAGATTCGACGTTGACGACGTACTCGATCTAGCCGAAAAGCTTGTTATCCAAGGTGTCCCGTTTTTTATTGCTTACGAGAATGGGGAGAGGAAGGATAGTGTATTGATGCCCAGTCCGACCAAGCTCGAGAAGTTTCTCACCGATTGGTCCGATAAGGCTCATGAGATAGGTAAACGTGGCTGAGAAGAAGTGATTTCGGCAGCAGGAGCCTGTTTTCTAAGAATGGAGATTCCATGATGGATTAAGAGGCGGTCCTCGCATGGTCATATGGCATATTTCCCCTTCGGTGAGTGTCATCGGCAGTTTGGACTATAAGATATGTGAGAATAGCAAGAATTGAAGGGATTGAACCATAAAGTCGGTAGAAATGTCATCGTTGTGTTTATGAGATCCATTTTCCATCTGTTTGTTTTCGGCTATGCGTTCGGCTACCCAAGTTGAGTTTGCCGATATCTTATCACGGCACCTCAAACGATCACGACTTGAAGAGAGCTGACGTCAGTGCGTAGACAAGGACGTTATTCCTCATGTCGCGTACTTTTTCATTTACATATTCTTGGCAAGGTTTCTAGATCTAAAAATGTAATAATTAACCTCAGACTCCAACAACCCTTGACCTCAAAAGACACAGATACAAAGTTCAGCTGGCGACCAGCTGGAGAACCGCATCGACAGTTTCCTCAGCCGCAGTAGCAAAGAACGCATGGCTCGCCTTCTCAACTGTCACTTTCCTGTCGATCCCCCCTACAGCCGCATACATCTCCTGTCCCGCAGGGGGCACCACGCGATCAGCCCCGCAAATAACATAGCCTGCCTTTCCCTTGTAATTCTCGTCTGTCAGCGGAGAGTAAGTGATGGGCGTGTTCATACTATTCAACGCTTGATCTCTCAGCAATGAAATGTAATACTCTGCTTCAGCGTCTGAAATGTCGTGGTACATGGTATCTTTAGCTCCTGTGAACTTGACCCAGCCCGTTGTCTCCTGTTATAATTAGAGTTTGTTAGTCTGTGAGGTTACCCTGTGAGGTTACCCTGCAGCACAGGGGAGGAGATGTCGAATTACGTACATTATAATCAACCCATGGAGGAAGATTCTTTGAATCTGTTCCCATCATGTCCAACGTTGTTTTTCCTTCAACGGGCGTCACAGCCGAGACGTAGATCAGGGCAATTACACCACCGTTCTTGCCCACTTGTTCCCGCTCTTTGTGGCTTAAGCCCCTAACAGCCTGTGAGCCATACATCCCGCCATAAGAATGCATCAATACGACGATATCCTTGCCATCCTCCACAAGCGGGAGCAAGAGTTCCCTCCTTAATGATTCAGCGTCATCTTGACAAGTGCCGTTTGCATCATGTAACCCCGGTGCGTTTTGACTGACGAATAGGTATCCCTTTTGTGTAAAGATCTTTTTTATGGGCTCGAATGACTCCACGGTATGCCACGCACCCGGTACGGCCAAAATAGTAGGAGACATGGTAAAAGGTAAAAAGAGGTCAATGGCAATGAAACCGCAGATGATGGGTTGTTGGCGCAACGCAGATTTATTATCACTTATTCAAGAATCAATAGATTGAGTCTCCTGTTATATGTATACCAATAATTAGCCTGACTTCCACGAAACCGGGTTCCAACAGAGATGCCGAGAATCCAGGGTCTTTCCATAAACAGTATGCCGACACTGACCTCGTGACCGACTCATGCTAGTTTTCCAAGTGAATTCACCCTAAACTTTAGTCCCTTTTTAAACGGTCTATTCTCCATATGACCTAGCAATATGGCTGCCAATGGAAGTAATGTTACCTATGATTCGGATTTTCTCAATGAGAGTCGACAGAATGAGCCTTGTGCGACGCATATCGCATTTTTAGTCCTGATGATTATGTGTCGTTTTGGTTCTTTTCATCGAGGTTGACAAAGAAGTCGCTGCCTTGGGACGATTGGCTTGCACACTTTGCAGCGGTTGACTATACCCATCTCCCTGAATTCGACGTGTCTGACATCTTCTACAGTTCAATAATGTTGTTGTTTTCATCGCAAGTATGTTGTACCTTCGATTTGGCCCAGGCAGGCATCTTCCATAGGTGATCTAGGACGAGCCGAAGAACATCGAAAGCTTCTTCAAGGCCATCACCGCCAATGAGATCATTTATACGACGGCTTTGTCTGTGCGAGTCTATCGCTCGTAGCATTATTCTACCACATCTTCGGCCTCTCAAGCATGGGATATTTTCCCATGGATTCAAAGCATTTATCTCGACGGCAAGGTTCACCACCCAAAGGCTCCCTGCATTCAGAAAATGCTCATGATCGATCACAAGACTCCATCGAGGCGCATGATCAAGCTTGAGTATAGAGTCACTACCAAGAAAAGAAATGGACCATTCATTCTTGAAGTGTTTTTGATGAAAATCCGGGTCACCCGAGCCCGGATTGTCTAAATCCCGAAAGTGGGGTGCCGGTCCCGAACCAACTGTGCCGTCCCGTCATGAATCCGATCTCAGCGTCGGACCCGGAGCGTCCCTTTTCGGGCTGATCAGACTTTTCGGGTAGAGCTATATATAACCCAATTTCCCCATCGAATTACCGCTCATTCTATCAACAACTTATCTTTTCTACAGACAACATGGCAACTATCGAAGAAACATCCGTTGTGATCGTTGGAGGCAGCCTTGTAGGCCTTTCTACAGCGCTCTTCCTCTCCCATCTCAACGTCCCCACCATCCTAATAGAGCGCCATCCCGGGAGTTCTCTTCATCCCCGTGCAATTGGCTACACTGCCCGAACAATTGAACTTTTCCGCACCGTTGGCGTTGAGTCCAAACTCAAAAGCATCCAATGGTCTGGCGGTCCTCCCCGTCGCATCGTTGTTGAGAGTCTTGCTGGAAAGTGGACTAAAGAGCAAGGCTGGACACAAAAGCCTAAAAGTGGACCGCCTGTTTCGTTCGCAGAGTACTCTCCTACTGAAGGTGTTGCTATCGCTCAAGACGTAATCGAACCTGTCTTGAGAGATCGAGCGAGGGAGCTTGGTGCAGATCTTAGACTGGGCTTCACTGTCACGGGCTGGAGTCAAGACGACGAAGGCGTTACAGTCAGCGCCACTGGAGACAACGGTGAAGAAATCCATGTCAAGGCAAGTCACATGGTCGCATGCGATGGCAACCGCAGCCGTATTCGAGAAAGTCTCGGTATCCAACGTCATGGCGTTGGTCTTCTCCGCAAGCTCCAGAGCATCATGTTCAGATGCGAACCTCTGCAACATTTCCTCGACCACGGCTACAGTCAATTCCAGATTGAGGGTCGCGAAGATGGCTTCGAGGCTTTCATGACCACTTATGGCGGGGGGCGTTGGATGGTAGCTTGGAACCAAGAAGTCGATGACCCTGAAGCTGTCCTCGATGACGCGACCCAGCGCAACATGATCCGCAAGGCTTCTGGGGTACAGGATCTCCGAGATGAGGACATTGAACTAATCACCACTGGAAAATGGGACATTGGTGGTCTTATTGCTGATAAGTTCTCTTCTGGTCGTGTCTTCCTCGCTGGTGATGCAGCTCATGCCCTACCTCCAAATCGTGGCGGTTACGGAGCAAACACCGGTATAGCTGATGCACATAACATCGCATGGAAGCTCGCATCAGTGCTCCGCGGCGAATCCTCGCCGGAACTTCTTGATACATATGGCGTTGAGAGAAGACCCGTCGCAGATGTTCGACATGACCAGATCTTTGCCAGGGAGGACTACAAGCGATACGTCGTCGACAAAGAATGGCCTGGCAAGAACGTTACGATAATGGACGATGTAGCAATGGAATTCGGATATTTTTATAACTCAAAGGCCATTGTCGGAGGTCCAGATGGCTCTGTTCCTGTCAAAAGGCCAGATGAGTGGAATGGACAACCGGGTACCAGAGCCCCTCACGTTGCACTTGAAGGCGATCATGTCTCAACTTTGGACTGTTTCGGTACATCCTGGGTCGTTATTTCAAAAGAGAAGAGATGGAGCCAGCTCGTGGCAGAAGCATGTAAGGCAATCAACGTAAAGATTACGTTTATGCACGTTGGAGGTGATGTTACCGAGAAGAATGAGGGCGATTTCAACAGGTTGTATGGGGTGGACGATACCGGTTCTTCATTGGTTCGGCCGGACGGTTTCATTGCTTGGAGAGCACCGTCATGGCCGGCTGAAGCACAGAGGGAGTTAATGCAGGCATTGGGTCAGGTTACCTTCTCGCTACAGCATACAGATGGGTAATATGAAACTCAGTGGTGATCGTCTTGGCTGGCAAGACAAATCTCTATAGATTATTTATTCTTATTTGTAGCTAACCATTATATTAAAAATTATTATAATATTAATCTTAAAACTTAATTAGCTTATATTCTTTTAGCTTTTAAAGCTTCTAGTTACCTAAATATAACTTACCTTAGTAAAAGTATTAATACTTTAACTTTTCTAGCCTAAATAACTTAGTTAATAAAACCTTTAATAATTTAACCTTTTTATTATAGTATATATATAATCTTTCTTAAAGTTATTTAATAACTCTAATTAATAACTTTCTAATAGCTATACTATATTATTACCTTTATAGCCTTTTATAATACTATAATTTATAGTAACTAGGTAATATTTTTTATAGCCTTTTAGTTATATTTTTATTTTCTTTTTTTATAAGCCTTTTTAGTTTCTTAGCTTTATAGTAAGTAAAGTTCTTAAGGTTGCTAGTACTTAGGTAATTAGTAACTATAGTCAATATTTTATAGCTAAAAAGGGTAATCTTAGTATAGTCTTTACTAGGGATATTAATATAATTAAAAAGCTATTTCTTTATAGAAATAATAACCTTAAGGAGTATTATAAAACCTATTTACTTAAATATATACTTAATAATCTAGATATTAAGGGTAATAAAGATAATAAGGAACCTGTATATTATTATAACTAAACAGGTAAAAGTGCTTACATTACATAGCCCTTACTTTTTTATTAAATTATTAAGCGGCTTACACTTTAACCCTGTTAATATTATAAGCCTTATAATATAGCTTGTAATATAGACTTATAACTTACTGTAAGCCTGGCTTATAATACT